AAAGAAATATCTGATGAAAACGAACAAGAGTACAACTTTAAAAGAAAGCCAGTGAATGACAGAGTACACAAAGACATGGACACAAAAACCCCAGAGGGTAAGTATCTTAGCATGTATCATGCCCAGCTGATAAAGATGTTTCCATCTGCAGACGGAGACCTCTCCATTGAGGCAGGAAGGTCAAATGCACTTACAAACTTCCTAAGAGCAGATCATGTTAAAAAGGATGCAAAGTACATCCTTGCAGCACTTCTTCTTCTCTCAGAGGGTGTTGACATTAAAATAGCAGTAGACTGCAAAGGAAAGAAAAATAATCTTGTCATAAAAAGCAAGACATGCAAAGAGAAAGAGTTTGTGAATGTAGTGATGCATACTGCAGGTATAGACCCAGTTACAAATGAGCAGAGTGAAAACATCTACCAAAGTGAGGCAACTGGAGTTGTCAAGTTCTATATGCAGTGCAGAGACAATTCACTGCTAAAGAAAGAAGGCAAGTTTGCAATGCCAGCCACTAGAGAAGAGTTTGAGAGCGGAAAGTTTCTGAACAATGCAGCCTTCCTTATACAGACATATATATACGAGTTTATTGACACAGCAGAAGACTACAAGAACTTTGTAGAAGCAGTGCATGAACTACTGATTGATCAAGTAGTTGAAAAGGAGAACCCGGAGCAGACTAAGAAGAAAGGCAAGAAGAGCAAAATATTCGATGAGCTTTTCATAGCGAAAGATGCACTTAGCGAAAACAAAAAATATATTGAATCGTTCTGTGATCTTCTAAAAGCCAAAAATGAGAATACTAAATTTCCCTTCTACAATGATAGTCAGCTGCCAAAGTATACTAGAGTGCCGCGTTGTAAACTAGACAAATCTGGCTTTGAGAAAAGCCAAGCCTTATACTATAGTGACTGTGTAGAAACAGCCCTTCTTGGACTGTTCTGCTGCCTGGCATATAATCCAGAGACAGGAGAGTACCAAACCAGCCATATGGGGGAGGGAATAAGTAAAGAGCTAAAACAGTTCTTTGAAGACTATCCTAAGCCAACAGAAACTACTGACTTTGAAATGCACAAACAATGGAGTAAAGTTGTTGCTTGCTTAAAGAATGACAAGATTGACTACAAGAAAGAGAAAAACGAACTTATAGCTGGGGTTGGAAATATACTTCTTGCTATTTCAGAAATAACAGGCCAGAAGAAAGAAATATTAAAGCTAGTCGAATGTATAGAAAATATATGCAGAACAGGAGAATTAGATGATAATCAATCTGAAATTGCAGATAAGATCGAATCGATTATTAAGGCTTTATCAAAGAATAAGAATGTGAGCATAGAGTGCAATGACATGGAACTTGGGAAGAGGTCAAGTGGCAAGGCAGATATTTTCTCTAAGATTAACATTATTTATACTTTCGATAAAGAATGTAATGAAATTTCTTTGGATATAATGCAAGGACATGCAAATCTTATTCTTCTTCCATCTTCAAATACTAGCTCTGCATATATTAAAGAAAAGTATGAAGAAGTAAAAAATATTTACAATGGTATGGGCTGCTATATAGGATACATTGCGGATCAGTACATTGGTGCAGAGTTAGATGCTTTAAGTTGTAGTGATTATAATCGCTCTATGAAATTTGCGAGAATAGTGCTCCAGATTATGCCGAAAGGACCCGAAGGAATATCTAAAATATTCTTATTAGGAAAGCTTGTTTCCCATCATGTTAAAGGTGCTATTATAATGAGATTTATATTTTCTACCATAGATAAGGAAGTGGGCCCAACAAACCCTCTAATACGGTTTACTGCAAACATTTTAGGAAGTGTTTCGCTCAATGATTATGCATCAAGACAACCAATGATAATGTTCTTCCCATTTCACGCAAGCTGGCAGAAATTTTATCCAAGGCTTGGATTTAAGCCATCAGAGCCTATCCCAAAAGAAGATGCTGTTTGGACTTATCTATCAGGACAAAAAACATATTTATGCAATATTCTAGAGTCTTTTTCAGTGCCTGCTACATCAAAAGCCATATGCAACTATCTTAGAGTAGCTGTGAATGATCCAAGGATGATCGATTTAAGTGTAGAATTTATAACCCGAGCGACTCTAATTTATCGTATTATGTATAGTGGGGGGATAGAGGACTTGGTGGAAATTCAATCCAATATCAAAGAATATATGAAAGACCACAACTTAAACTATGTGTATATTATCTGGTTTATGTACGTATGCTCAGGTCATTATAAATTCTCATTAGAATCTGCTAAGACAGTTTACGACTTTATAGTCTTTGATGATTATCCAAACCCACTTGAGTTTAAAGAAGCAATGTCAGGACCCGCGGAATACTTTAAAATGGGTTTAAGCATTTTAAAAAAAAATAAAGCACTTTTCTGCTCGAAGGATGACAGGAAAAGTATGAAAAAGTATGATGCTGTGTTAGCATACTTCTTGAAATTCTATCGGTTGCAAAAGAAATCTAAATCCTCAGCCTGCACTATAAGTTGATTTTGGTCATTGATTTCCGGGGATTTTCCTGCAGAAAAGCACGCTACAAGAGGCTCTGCTTGCTTACATATAATTCATTTTGAATGGATTACACTCTTGGCCATTATTCGTTTAAGGATCAATAGTTAACTATCCCCTGATAGTATGATGAAAAACATCTTCTAGAAACTTATGTTTTTTGTCTAAAAAACTCCATTCTGGGCGGGCATAAATAAATGACAGGAAATAAATTTATTCTATATTTTTGTATGATTGAGTATCGTATGCACTGACTAGCAGTTGATGCATTTCATAATCTTAGTTTATTTTTATCGCCATGGAGAAGGATACAGGTGATTGAAACCTTCCATTATTAGGAATTAAAGAGCCCATAATCTGATCAGTCTAGATAGGATTTAGAAGCAGAGGATATTTCATTTAAAACTACTTAAACAAATGGAAAACCAAATAAAGACAAGGTTTATAAATGTAACCTTCTAAAAAGCCTCTGTACTTCTTTACAAGCATAGCTCAAATAGCTAGTTCGAATCCTTGGCCGTAAATAAATTTTAGTAAAAGTAAAATAAAAATAGCATAAGAGGTTTAGTTATTACTACACACAGCTCAAAATTACTGCCAGCACACACCCCATATTATCCGATTCCTAAAGGCCTAAAGAGCTCTGATTACTGGCCCATAAGGCTGCTTATGCGTACCACTGCTGCATTCTCTGCTGAGCATAGTATGCACAGCCTTTCTTTGCTCTTAGCTTGTTTTATATAGAAAAGAGACTAAACCAAAGTCTCATGCCGGGATTTGTTTATTTTTGAGCTACACCCCTTTAACTCTTCTTGTACTTTATACAGCACTCTCACAATTATGTTTAAAGCAATATCTTGCCTTTCACCTGCGCTTTTTATTGCATCAAATGCTTTGTATGTGCTATATACTTCGCCAGCTGCAGATATAATGTCTTTCTGTAGATTATGCATAGTATTTAGCATAGCACACCCCTCTTTTATGCATTCCATACGGGCTCTGTGCAATTCTATTATCTCAGCCAGTGGCTTTATCTCTTTTTCATTTTCTTTAAAATGCTCTGCCTCTTTTCCCCTTACTAAGCACAACAGCACATCTCTGGCATATGTTTTTTTATTATTCTCTAAAATGCATTTGTTTACATCACTTAACTTTCTCTCCACCTCTATCACATGCGTGTGGTACTTCAAGAGGTCTTTTCTAGAGTTCTGCATGTTATTTTCTAGCTCTTTTTTATAATCAAGAGCTTCTTTGTATATATCGTCTTTGCACTTTTTTTCTTTTTCTAGGTTATTTAGCCCTTCATATAGTGTATTAATCTCTTTTATTTGCATGCTGTATTCATTATATATCCCGGTTAGTATTCCAAAAGGATTGCCTATGTTGCAGTACTTTATTTTTTCGCTTATAACATCTTTTTTTTCACTGATCATTTCGTATTCATTATTACATTCTTCATACTTCTTTTTATCTTCCGCTAGTTTTTCACTAGCTCTCAAAAAGATATTATAAATCAGATCTGCTGCAGTGTTCATCTCTTTTAGAGCGTCTATCTCTTTTTGGCACACTCTCTCAACTATATTCAGAATTTTGTATACTTTCTTCAACCCAGCATACACCTCTTTTTCTTCTTTTGTAGAAGAAGAATTGCTTTGTTCATCTGACGCATACATGTCTAAAGATGTAGAAGTATTTCCAGCACCTATTATATCATCCAATTGCTCAAATGGTATTGGCGTGCCTGCTTCTTTACTTCCTCCATCACCAGGCTCTTTGTTTTCATACACTGCGCTATTTTCTGAATATGTAGAAAATGTCTTCAGCTCGCTTATTATACTTAATGGACCTTCCTGCGATTTGCCTCGGTTGGGCGATGCGATTACGCATGTGTATAGCACCATTGATATTATTACTAATACACCAGCGGCTATTATCACGTATTCTTTTATAGACTCTTTGCTCGACTTCTTTGTGCTCGCCATGCTTTTTTCATATTTCCTGCTAATATACTTTATAGATCATTTAGATTTCTTGTTTGATATTGTGCTTCTCTAGATCTTTAGCTATTTCTATGGTATATCTAGCAAAAATATAAAATTAAAATTAAAGAGTTGTAAAGAACATAGTGATAATGCATCTATATATTCGGATTATATGAGAGGGGCGGTCAATCGGGTTATTTTCCTTTCTTTCTACACTATGCAGCAGCACATTCACCTTTCTTGCGAATTATCAGTATATGCCTGCATTCTTAACACATTTACAGTATTTTTACAAAAGGGGTTCTTCTATTGGTCCTAACTCTGCATATACCTATTAATACATCCATACTCTCTATTTATCTGTCTACTTTGTCCTTTTCTTCTCTTTCTAGTGCCTTCTTGTATTTTTATTCTCTTATATATTGGGAAATAAAGTATATGTTCCTTATGGTGGTGTAATTATATAAAAAGAGAATAAAACATGAGAGGCAAGGAAAAGAAGAAAAGTTTCACAGCCTAGAGAATAATAATTAGTCGGACATAAAGAGAAAAGAAAACGGAGAGTAACATACTACAAGCAAATAAAGAATGAAACAAGTATTTATTGACAGCTAGGCAGGCTACTACTAGGCATCTGACTGCGTCCCAACATCATATAGTTTTTATAGGCCTGAATAGCCAGAATAACTCATGCCTCTGCAGCAGATGGCACACCATTGAATCTCTTTGCTAGGAGTAGACTTATATTCTTGATCAGACTCTGCTTTCTCACACATAGACGCTCAGACAGCCCCTCAAGCCCTTTCTGTCTTTTGTGCAAATAATCCGAATCGCTGATTGTTTGTGCTATGCATGGCAAAGAATAGACCTAGACTGCACACTTATTCCTCTTGCTGCAGCATTTGGATGTGCCCATCCAACTCCTCCTTTTCTTTATACAGCAAGCTCTTAACTGCACTAAAGACTCTTTTCTGCTCTTCATGCGCACTTTTTCCTTTCTCATACGCTATATACGCATTGCATAGCCTATCTGTTTCGGATACAATGTCTTTCTGGCAGCTGTACACACAAGCTAGAGCATCATTCCTTTTCTTCGAGCACTTCAGATGCTTTCTATGCAGCTCCACTATCTCTTCCAACCGGGTGGTCTTATACCCTGTATTTTCAAAGTACTCGATCTCTCTGCTCCTCACTGCATGCAGCAGCTCTTCTTTGAAGTATATTTTTCCAAACATCGCTAAATTGCACTTAATTGTGCGATACAGCTCTCTTTCAGCGTCTAGAACCTGTGATAAGCATATCATTAGGCTGTCTCCTGGGCAGGCGTTTCTCTTTTCTTGCTCTTTTGCAGACCCCGGGCATTTGGCAGATGTGCTTCTTTTAGTCTTTTCACATTCTGCACACTCAATTGTCTCTTTGCATAGCGCAATAACCTTGTTTACTTTCGCGTTGTATGCATCATCTATGCCGCCTGGCACCTCGGGAACATTAAGTAGCTTGTAGCATGTGTCGATTTTTGAGTACTGCGCATCTGCTTCTTTATAGGCTAAGTCGTATGCAGTATTGGACTCTGCATACTTCTTTTTAAGGGCCTTTAGCTTTTTTCTACTCTGAAAGAAGAGGGTGCGTGCCGAAGAAACAGTGCACTCTAGCTCTTCTAGTCTTTTTGCCACCTTTTCGCACTCTTTTTCCGCTATCTTCATTTTGTACAGCGCTGCATTAAGAAGCCCTTTTTTTTCTTTTGACACAATTCGGGTATTTTGGACAAAAACATGGCTGTCTGCAAAACAGCTGTCTAGCTGCACAGCAGACGTGTTTAGGCCGGGTCCCATGTCTGCTTGTTTCGAGTTCGGGAGGCGGTCTTCACACACGGTTCTGCGCTCTGGACAGCCGACTACCTCGCCTTGTATACTCAGTGGCTCTTCATGCAGCATGTCTGGGTTCGGGGGTATGATTGCGCATGCATATAGCCCGAGGACAAGTACTCCAAGTGCACTCTTGGCTATTATTTCAATCTTCTTTGTAGACCCTTTGTTCCGCTTTCTTTCGCTTATCATGCTTTTTTTATACTCATTGTTAATATACCTTACATATCACTTAGATCTTCTCCTTAATATAGCTGAATAACCAGATATAACCCGAATTTCTTAGCTAGTCTGTTGCTCTTTTTGGCATGCCAAAAATGCATTTGAAGGCCCGAAGGACATACCCAGCAAGTATTTTATACTTAATAGAGCTTCCTATGGCTTATCTGATTCGGGTGGCCCTGCCCTGCACACATATAACCCAAATGCCAGCATTTCTATTTCTATTATACACATGGCCAACACTGAAGCTTCTATTATAACTTTTTCGGGTTATATGAGAGGAGTGATCAGAGAGGCTTACTTGCATTTCTTTCTACACAATGCAGCAACTTACTCACCTTTTTTGCGAATTATCAGTATATGTTTGCACTACGAACGCATTTTTAGTATTTTGCCAAAAGAGCCTTATGCTGGTCCTATCAGTGTATATACCTATCAATACATCCATGGTTTCTACTTATCTATCTATTCTTTCATTTCTACGTATCTGTCTACTTTGTCTTTTTCTTCTCTTTCAGTGTCTTCTTGTATTTTTATTCTCCTACACATTGGAAAATAAAGTATACATATAGCCCTCTGAAGCAATTTATTTTACATAGTTATAAAAAGAGAAATAAAGCACTAGAGGCAGAGAAAAGAAGAAAAGTAGCACATTCCAAAGAACCATCATTGGTCAGACATAAAGAGAGGATAAAGAGAGTAACACACTACAGGCAAATAGAGAATGAAACAGGGATTTATTGACAGGCGGACAGACACTTTCTTCTACTCACATCACAATAGCCTATATTCTGCACTATACTATAAATATAGGCTGAATAAAAAAGCACCAGCTGAACTTCGGGTTATATCTGATTTATGCGTGCACATGCACATAGAAACAAAAGCTAGCACATAATAGAGCCTTGAATGCGTACAGTGTTTCTTAAAGAACTTAGAAAAACCCATAACACATAAGCCAGCCTCTTCTTTCTAGCACACTTAGACTTTTGGGCACTTCACCACAAATAAACTACTGCTAGTGTTATCTGCTATACAAGGCCAGCCCTAAACAGCTAAGTAAGAGAGCGAGCTTAAAATATTTTTACTACAATAATAAAAGTTCCTCACACAGCAATAGGTGCTATTCACACTCTATGGCACTTCTTCCCGCATGGTACACCATCTACTGGTTAGAATATCATTTGCCTCTGGCCAGCCAATGGGATAAACATATATACACATATTTTTATTGAGTGAAAACTATTGATCAACGTATATAGCCCAAAGACCAATAAAAATGCCTTACAACTCCCCCTGAGTTTAACCGTTACTATATATTAAAAATGATTTATTTTATTTAATGAAAATGATTTCTTCCGTTATTTGGATCAAGGCAGTTGCCTTAATCAGTGTTCTACTGATGAGCACGCACAGAGCAGACATGACATTGGACGAGGTGGAGGCCACTCTGCAGTTTGAAATTGCAACCGATGCAACACCTATAAGAATAAACCCAGAGGGGCCTCTCAACTTCCTCCGCGGATGCATCTACCAGAAGATGGAGTGCATGTACAACAAAAGGTTCTTTGCTCCGCAGATTAAGACAGAGTACCTTTTAAAGAAAAATGAAGAGAATGAAGATTATACATACAACCGAAATGAACAAAAGGACAAAGCATACAAAGAACACCCGACTAATAAAACGGATACATATACCGAGAAGTATCACAATCATCTGATCGAGCTGTTTCCATCTCCAACTGGTGACATAACAATTGAGACACGGGGAAACCAGTCCTTTGTTCAGTTCCTTCGAGCAAAGACAACAGAAAAGCATGCATTGCAAATTCTGGCCATGCTACTTCTTTTCTCTGAGGGAGTGGACATTCCTATTGAAGTCACCAACAGTGTACTAAAGGTATATGAAACAAACAAAAAAAAAGAAATATACTTCACAGTCCCTATGGAAATCCCATGGCAAAACCTTGTGGAAGACAAAGTACAAACATTCCAACAGAAGAAAGTTAAGCAAATGATCAGCTTCTTCCAGAAGAATGCAAGCAAACATGAAGTGCTTAGTATAATGGAGGACAAGTGTACGAAAGAGGAGATTATGTCTGGAAAGTTCTTAGACAGCTCCAAGTTTCTGATCCAGTCGTACATATTTGGGTTCATAGACACAGCACAGCGTGCAATTGAGTTTATACAGACTATGCACACAATGACAGAGAAGTATGCGCCAAAGACAGAGGCACCAAGTAAAGGTGACTGTGTGTATGACAGACTTTTCAAAACTGCGAGTACAGAAGCAGGCACAAACTGCATGGCTCTAATGAAGAAAACTCAAGATATTTTAAATAGATATCGGGTATTTCCATTTACAGACAGCACGCAACTTCCTTCATACACATCTGTCCCATGGCGCGACCCGACAACAAAAGAGTTTTCTACTGATCCGTTAGAAAACTACAGCAACTGTGTGGAGTGCATGATTCTCTCTCTTTTCTGCTGCTTGGCATATGACCCATCTGACTTTACATATAAAACTGACCACATGGGGAATGTCTCTGAAGAGCTTAAAGAATTCTTCGCCCCAGAAGAGAACAAGTCATTTGACACAACAAAGGCAGAGTTCCAGATAAGGTGGTGCAAAGTTGTTGCGTGCTTGGATGAGCCTATGATTGCATACTGCAGAGATAGAAATGAGATAAACTGTGGCATCATAAACATGCTCTTGGTTATTGCTGAAATAGTAAATATTTCTAAAGAAGAAAAAGACAAAATACTTGGCTTTTTAGAGAGGTTAAAGGAAAACCAAGGAGAATTGGATGATATATTGTCGAAGGATATTCAAGAGTACACAAAGATGCTACTTAAATGCCTATCCAAGACAGAAATTGTAGGAATAGAGTTTTCTTGGATTAAAAGTTATAAGTGCAGTAATGGAAGATACGATGTGTATGGAGAGATTGCTATTTTATTTGAGCGGAATGAGATCAAGAATAAAATAGTCTTGGGAATATCAGGCTTACATAGTACTACTAGCATGAGATCTGCTGTTATGGACTTCGAAGACGATCGAATAGAGAAATTGAATGAAATTGCAGGCATCTGTAAAAATGGAACAGAATTTGTTGAAAATTTATTTTCTGCGTATGTTGACTATGAGACAAGAAAAATTGATATGTATGGGGATGCTGATGACTTTATGAGGGCACAGGTGAGCAAAATCATTGAGAACAACTTCACAGACATAAATAGACTGCTGCTCATACAAAAGATCAATGATTTAGACTATAAGGCGAGATTAGTTGCCTGTTCTATGGTCTATACCATGGACCAAAAGCTATCTCCTGAGCATCCCATTGTTCGGTTTACCTCCAACATATTAGGAAGCACAGAGCTAGATAACCCGAGAATTCAAAGGGAAGTGCTTCCCTCAATTACATTCACAGGCCTGCTTAATAAAAACAGCAAAAGTCTCAGCTACCCGAATATAAATCTGTCAGAAGAAATGTATGAAAGAATTATGAAGGGCGCAGGAGGGTTTGGGGTTTCTGAATATGTGATAGATTGCGATATATCCATTTTTATAATGTGGATTAAATACTGCGTAGAGAAATTTTGTTTATATAGTGGGAAAGCGGTTTATATATTATTAAACTGTCTGATGGATGGGTATGTTTACACATATATATTTAGAGACCAAAACATGAAGTATGCCGATTTAGTTTGTGAGGCAATAACACAAGGCTGTTCCGAGAAGAAAGATGTGATACTAAATCATCTTCACTATATATGGTTCATGTATTCCATTTTTCAGAAAAACCTAAATATAGAGTTAATTACCATACACTTTAACACGATTCAGAATCCAAGCTACATTCCGGGTAATTTCATATATTATGATAAAAAGAAAATTGTCCAAATCCTTAAAAGGCTAAAGGACCAGCTATGCACTAGCGAAGACGCTATTGCCAAGTTTAACGAGCTTCTACGCCAATATAACCCGAATTCTACCACCTCATGAGGTGCACAAACCTAGACACTTCTTTGACTAGAAGAACCTTTATAGAATATTGCAATAAAAGCTTTTTCTCTACTATTTCTAAGGAAATCTAGCTAAAGTACTTTGTACAAGGCTTCTTCAAATAGCACAGCTAGAATTAAAATATTTTATCTCTAAGAAACCAGCAGTAAATAATCGAAAATATGGTAGTGTATAGCTAAACTAGCTGTATAGTTGCTGATTTTCCTTGCCTAGAGAGCATAAACCCTTTATCTGGGCTAGCAATGCAGATTATATTGGGCATTGCCTTTCGGAGGTTTTTCTGTAGAACAATACACTACAATGGGTTTTACTTGTGTATGCGCTATCTAGGCTGACTTAGACTCTTAGCCTTTTATTTGTTTTGGACGAATAATTAATCATCTCCATAAAATATCATGAACGACTTCTTTTGGAAATTTCCAGAAACTTTATTGTCTAGATCTAATATTACCTTGAGGGGGTCTATAAATACCCCGAATAAACTAGAACCAAGTTTAGTATAACTAAGTGTAATAGTTTAGAGAGGAGAATCAGCTGAAATGACAATCGGGATAACTTACTTAGGCTCTTTCTACTAAACCAGCTCTGTAATAAACATATATATCATCCTTTATGCAAATTCATTGTGTCCTATCAGTGTATACTTACATTCTTAACATATTTACAGTACTTTGCCAAAAGGGCTCCTTCTATTGGTCCTAGCAGTGTATATACCTATTAATACATCTATACTCTCTATTTATCTGTCTATTCTTTTATTTATATGCATCTGTCTACTTTGTTCTCTTTTTCTCTCTCAGTGTGCTTTTTGTATTTTTATTCTTGTATATATTGGGAAATAAAGTATACATACAGCCCTCTGAAGCAATTTATTTTACATAGTTATAAAAAGAGAAATAAAGCACTAGAGACAGGGAAAAGAAGAAAAGTAGCACATCACAGAGAACCACCACTGGTCAGGCATGAAGAGAGAAGAAAGAGAGAAACAGAGAGAGCAGCATACTACAGGCAAATAGAGAACGAAACAGGCATTTATTAACAGCTAGACATACTCTCGTATACACTTATCATAATAGTGTGTATTATGCACTACACACATATATAGAGATATTTTGTCTGCGCATCCATCACATTATACACATGTATAGCATAAAGGCGGCTCTGTTAAACATCCTCTGGACACACTCTGAGTTGAGTTTTATTTTTATTTTCCTCTAGCTATGCACATATTGAAGGAATACACTTTCTAGTGCACAGACACTGCACCAGCCCACTACCACTCAACTCCTTTATTTAGACTGTCTTAGTGCACATATCTTGGCTATATCAGAGTGTTCATCTAGCATATTCAGGCTTCGGAGTTTTCAGTATACTTCTGTTAACACCATTGCATAGTATACTAATATATCTAGATTAGATGATAAATACACAAAAAGACAGCTATTCAATAGGACAGGCTTTGTGTAGCCGAGTCTGTTTTATGAGAGAACCATACGAGTGTTTTCTAACTATTGGTCTGCAGTACAGGAGAATAGTATGAAGATGATCTCACTGGTGTATTTACGTATGCAGATTGGATACAATCACTGGCCCAACTAAAGCACAGAACTGTTTTTGCTTATTGGCTAACTATAAATCGCATGCAAGTGACCTATAAAAAAATGATTTATATATAGAAATAACTGATGCTAAGGATAATAATGAAAAGCGAGAAATTAAATCGGTTAAAGAGAAAATCTTTTTTCGATTTGCAAAAAATGATCGGCAGGCTACTTTTGAACTTAATAATGGTGCAAACGATTCTTACAAGAATCAATATGGAAGACATAAAGACAGTACATGAGACTCTAGTTGGCAAGAAGCAGGATGTGGTTATTAACCCAAGAGGATCATTGAATCTCCTACGTGGATACATTGGAAACCAGAATGGATATATGTACAACAAACGGTTTTATTCCCCTGAAATAGACACAGATTATACGTTGTCTAAGAAAGGACTATCTAGTAAAAACAAACAAGAGTACAACTTTACAAGAAAACCAGTTAATGACAGAGTATACAAGGACATAGCCACACAGACTCCCAATGGGGAGTATCTTAGCTCTTATCATGCCCAGCTGATAAAGATGTTTCCGTCTGTGGATAGAGACCTCTCCATTGAGGCAGGTAGATCAAATGCACTTACAAACTTTCTAAGAGCAGATCACGTTAAGAAAGACACAAAGTACATTCTTGCAGCGCTTCTTCTTCTCTCAGAGGGCGTTGACCTTAAAATAAGTATAGACCGTACAGGAAAGAAAAATAATCTTGTCATAAAAAGTAAGACATGCAAGGAAAAAGTATTTTTGGATGTAGAAATGCATATGGAAGGCACAGATCCAGTTACTAAGAAGTACAAAGAGGATATCTATCAAAGTGAGGCAGCTGGAGTTGTCAAGTTCTATATGCAGTGCAGAGATAATCCACTTCTAAAGAAAGGGGGCAAGTTTGCAATGCCTTCCACTAGAGAAGAGTTTGAAAGTGGCTTATTTCTGAATAACGCAGCCTTCCTCATACAGACGTACATATACGAGTTCATTGACACAGCAGAGAGTTACAAGGACTTTGTGAATGCAGTGCATGAACTAATGGTTGATCAAGTGGCTGAAAAGGAGAACCCGGAGCAGACTAAGAAGAAAGGTAAGAAGGGCAGAATATTTGATGAGCTTTTCATTGCAAAAGATACACTTAGTGAGAACATAAAGTACATTGAATCATTCTGTGACCTTGTAAAATATACAAATGAAAATGCCGATTTTCCCTTCTGCAATAGTAGTCAACTGCCACAGTTTACTAGAGTGCCGCGTTGTAAACTAGACAAGTCTGGCTTTGAGAGAAACCAATTCTTATACTATAGCAACTGCGTAGAAACAGCCCTTCTTGGACTGTTCTGCGGCCTAGCATATAATCCAGAGACAGGAAAGTATGAGACAGACCACATGGGAACGGAAGTAAGCAAAGAGTTGAGAGACTTCTTTGAAAAGTATCCTAAGCCAAAAGAAACCACTAACTTTGAAATGCACAAGGAGTGGAGCCGAGTTGTTGCTTGCTTAGAGGATGAAAAGATTGACTACTGGAAGAGTAAAAACGAGCTTATAGCTGGGATTGCAAATATATTTCTAGTAATTGCAGAAATAACAGGCCAGAAAGCAGATATATTAGAGCTAGTTGAGTGTATAGAGAATGCATGTAAATATAAAGAATTAGATAGTAAGCAATCTGAAATTGCAGATAAGATCGAATCGATTATTAAGGCTTTATCACTGAATAAGAATGTGAGAGTAGAGTGCAAACAAATGAGACTTGGAAAGAGGTCAAATGGCAAGGCAGATATTTTCTCTGAGATTCGGGTTATATCGGGTTTCGGTAAAGTATATAATGGAATTTCTTTGGATATAATACCGAAGCATGCTGTTCTTACTTTTCTTCGATCTTTAAAGAATAAATCTGCACAAGTTAAAGAAAAATATGAAGAAGTAAAAAATACATACAGTGGCGTAGACTGCTATATAGGATACATTGCATACCAGTACGTTAGTGTAGAATTGGATTCTTTAAGTAACAGCCGTGAAGGCCTTTCAAAGAATCTTAGAAAAACCATAGAATCAGTTATACAGGAGGAATCTAAAGGCATATCTAGAATATTCTTATTGGAAAAGCTTTCTTCCAATGGAATTAAACGCTATATTATAAATAGCTTTATACTTGATACTGTAGACAAGGAAGTAGGCCAAACAAACCCTTTAACACGGTTCACAGCAAACATTTTAGGAAGTGTTCCGCTCAATGACCTTAACACAAGAAGTATAGTTCTAGAAAGCTTCCCATTTCATACAAGCTGGCAGGAGTACTATCCAAGACTTGGATTTAAGCCATCAGAGTTTATTCCAAAGGAAGACGATTTTTGGAATCAGCTAGAGCCAGTGGATGTATACAGAACTCTACTAGATGATATTCCAGAATCTGCTGCATTAAAAGCCACGTGCAACTATCTTAGAGTAACTGCAAATGACGCGAGAATGAACAATTCAAGAGTAGCTTATATAACCCGAGATGCTTTGCTTGATCTTATCGTGTCTAAGGGAATGATAGAGGACTTGCTGAAAATTCAATCCATTATCAAAGAATCTATGGAAGACTGCGATTTAAACTATGTGTATATTACCTGGTTTATTCATGTATGCTCAGGCGTTGATGGGCCCTTATTAGAATCTATTAAGACGATTTACGACTCTATAGCTTTCCATAGCCATTCAGAATTATTTATGCGTAAAAAAGAAATTTCAGGACCTTTGGAGTATTTTGAAAAAGGTCTAAGTGTCTTAAAAGAAAATAAGTATTTATTCTGCTCAAAGAATGACAAAAAAAGTATGAAAAAGTATGATACGCTGGTATCGTACCTTTTTAGATCCTGTTGGCGGCTAAACGAAAAAAATTGCACGAGATGCAGTATAAGTTGATGCTGGTCATTGCCTTCCGAGGAATTTGGCGGCAGGGCAGCCCGCTAAAAGGGGGTCTGCTTGCATACATATAATTCATTGAATGGATTAGACCCTTGCCTTTATTTGTCCTTCAGTGAATAATTAACCACCTCCAGACCGTATGATGAAAAACATCTTCTAGAAACTTATGTTTTTTGTCTAAAAAACACCATTCTGGGCGGGCATGAATAGAGGACAGAAAATAAATTTATTCTATATTTTTGTATGATTGAGTGTAGCGTTTCATAGAGGAGAAATAAGCTATACTTCAAAACAAATTAACACCAGTGTAGTATTCAGAAGGCTGCTGGAAATTCGGGTTAGGCCCACCCAATATATGAATAATTTTAAAGGCTATTCTTTGAGTATCCGAGCCCTTCCAAGTTAAGCCTTCTGGTAATTCACCTACTGTCTAAGAGCGAGACTATTGTAAAATATTTATTAGAACTTAGGCTATATCAAGTGTTTCATTCGGATTATATTCGGGCTGATCAACTTTCATATTAGTTGGATTGGATAGATTTATGGTTTCTGCATATTCAGAAAGAACATGCATACTATAGCTGTCTTTTGGCATTTTGCTTATTTTCTCTGCTAAAATGTCAATTTTTGGAATTTCTGATAGTAAAAAACACATGCCAATTCCTAATTCGACTATTTCTGGTGATATAAAACTAATAATTATTGGCTGTTTTCTGTTTTCTGTTTTATAATAAATCTGTAAACTTCCGGCCAAATATTTTGTTTCTATACGTTTAGTCAAATACTTTTTAGTATATGTGCTTTTAATTTGGTAATCCACAAAGTTCATATATAATATTCTTGGTTTTTTATCTTTAAAAGATGTAGAAAACCGGTTCCTGAAGTCTTCAGGCATTCTATTGTCGAATTTTCTTGACAATACCATAGAGAAAATACTTTCTACATATCTTATAATGCTATTTAAATCCTTAACTGTTAGGGGTTTCTCATACCCGGATCTTTCGGATTCGAACAGTTTTTTATATGACTGTATTTCTTTCTTATTTATATCATAATACATTCCAGTAAGCTTTAGCATTATTATGAGAATATTGAGGATATCTTGTTCAATCACATGCCTACCGTTCGTTAGTTTTATGTAACTTATGTCCTCATCATCTCTCACTAAGCTCTTAATTATTTCACGCCATTTATCCCAAGCCTCTTTTGTTATTCCCTGCCCCATCCGTATGACAGGCATATCATTGCTGAGTGGGTTGTTTATGGCTGGATTTTCACATTTTTCGGGTGAATCGCTAGACGTACTTGTGTTTTTAGATGGCATGCCAAACAGATTCTTTACTTCTTCTTGCGCGCACGGAATTTGATCAACATTGTATGTGTTTGTCTCTGGGTCATATACAAAGCAGCAGAATAGAGTAAATAGTGTAGATTCTATATTAGGTGAAGACGTGCATGTTTTATAATATTCATATTTAGGCCAATAATTCTTTTTTGTGGGAAGGTACAGACTATTATTTTTGAAGGGAAGTGGTTTAATTTCTTTCTCGGCTTCAACCAAATCTTTAAGCTCTTTTACGTTACCCCACCACTCCAACGTTACTGACCTATTTGATGTTTTTGTAAGCCACTTTTGAAATAGCCGGGTTGAAATCACTGCATTGTTTTTCTCTTTAAGCTTTGTGAAGCAAAGCCTTAATTTGTCAGACATCTCGTCATAAAAGTTAATTGCATCCTCTTTAGTCTCCAGATAGTAGTATATGTACGACTGTATAAGCCAGGCTGGTGTCTCAGTAAACTCATTCTTCCAATAAATTTCTTTCTCAGTTGATTCCTTCAGCGCTATACTCTCTTCAAGTTCCTGGCTGGACTCTGCATTAAGGAAGTACTTAATAGTCTGCACTATTTTAATGCTACTTTTTTTTATATTTGCTTCTTCATTAGAGCTATTACTTTCCTGTCCTTCCGTACTAGTAGTGTATATAGGAATACTGAAGGAGTCTTTGGGTTTGTATTCATTCATCCATGTAAGTTTTGGGCATGCGCTTTCTTCATCCTCAATTCTCAGAGACACGGGCATCCCCTCTGCCTGCAGAAGAAGTACTGCAAGAATTCTATGGGCATATTCCTTGACATGTTCACTCTTCAAGAAAGAAGTAAAAGACTCTTTTCGGAGTTTTTTAGGATAGATGCCTATTTTTCTCTTTGGGGAAGGAAACATATTAATTAGTGCATTGTAGTGGTCTACAATTCTCTTTGGTATCTTCTTTCCCTCTGAATCCTCTTCTCTGGCTATGTGGTTTGTTTGGTATGTTTTATGTGAAGTATCTTCTTCCTTTATTATTAAAAAACAGTTACTTATGTATGAAGAATCAAATCGCTTATTCTGAAGAGTGCTAGACCATTCGTATAGATATAGCATAATTGGGCTAAAAGGCCCATCCAGCTTCAGCATAGTATCACCTTTTGTTTTGCTTAATATTGCTTTTATCACTGCTTTCATATCCTCCTCGCTCAATAATCCGAAGACGTTCTGCACAAATAGAAGCGCGCCCATAAGAAGCACTTTTGCTAGTAGCTTGATAGATATCTGTCTGTTATTTCTCTTGTATAGATGTTCATGTGTTTTTCTTTTTATTTTCATGTTCATATCTTAGTACTGAAATTTTCAAATATTCTTGTATTTAAGCATTTAAATTGGGGTAATTGATCAATAGTGATTAATTGCATGTGCACATTAAGTATTAAAAGACCATTCTATTTTCGCAGTAAGTTTTTTAGTAAATTCTACAGAAGAAAATTTAGGCTATGTTGAATGCCCTATGCAACAAAATACAACTCGAATTTAACTAGTGCTATGTACTTATGTGTCCATGCACGGCTTGTTGTTTTTCTCTACCTCGAAGACGCAAATCTCTTTCCTTGGGTTAGCAATATGGTATAGAATGTACTATTTTCTTGTTCTAAATTAAATTAATTAAAACCAACTAATTATTAATACTTCCCCTTTTGACTATTTTTTGTTAATGAATTAATATTTATTCAAATTATTGTGGTAAACTTTCTATTTATCCAAAAGCCTGTCGCCACAGTATATCCAGACATCTGCAACAATACACGAATAAAACTTCCTTAACAACTACACTTTTTATTCTAAACTATAACCTCCTCGCGGAAACATCATCTCCTCTTGGGCATGTTAGTTAGATTGTGTTTATTAGCAACTCCATATTACTAATATATTAACTGCTAATGGTCTATAAATAGACAGCGAGAAATAAAGGATGCTTCCAAATAGAAAAACCAATTCTAGCATCTTAGAAAAATAAATTCAGCTATTCCCACACCAAGCCATCTTCTGGTTATATATAATGTGTTCCTGGGTTCTTTCTCTAGCATTTCCTATTTAAGCTGCACCTCTTCTCTCTGTTTACAAACATAGCATGGCTAGTTTGAATTCTTTTCCACTAATAAAATTTAGTAAGAGTAGCAGAGACGGCTTAGCTATTACTTTGCACAATTTAAAGTCACTACCATTGCATATTACTTAGAAATACCACTACTATGTTGTCTGCTGAGCACAGTTTGCATACTCTTTGAGTTACTCGAGCTATATGTGGCAGAGGCTAAGTCCAACTTACCCTTCTTTCTACACTATGTGCCAGCTCAGTCACCTTTCTTACGAATTATTAGTATCTGCTTGCATTCTGAATACATTTGCCGTATTCAGTCAAACCAGCCTTGTATTGGTCTTAACCCTGTTTATGAATGCTACTCCATCTATACTCTCTATTTATCTGTCTATTCTTTCATTTCTGTGCTTCTGTCTACTTTGTCCTTTTCCTCTCTTTCAGTGTTCTTCTTGTATTTTTATTCTCCTATATATTGGGAAATAAAGTGTATATTTCTTTTTGTGGACTAGTTTATTTTACGTAGGTATAAAAAGAGAAATAAAGCATGAGAGACAGGGAAAAGAAGAAAATTTGCACATCCCAGAGAACCATCATTGCTCAGACATGAAGAGAGAAGAAAGAGAGAAACAGAGAGAATAGCACATTACAGACAAATAGAGAACGAAATAAGCATTTATTGACAGCTATACACACACTCGTATACACTTATCATAATAGTGTGTATTTGGTGACACGGATATATATACTTTTCGCAGTATATATCTACATCTTAGCACTGCACTGCTTTTTTTTTCTTTTACCATAGACTTGCGCGCGCCCTTTTTTGTGTAGGAGCACTGTTGCTACAGTACACACTTCTGCTCTCTACCCTGTATAATGTACATATATGCACCCCAAGTGATGCAAGCACCTGCATACTCAGCAAAGCGTATTTCAGTGAGCCTCTTCTCTGTACGTGCGCACTGCCCATTCCTGTGCATATCTCTTCTCTCTTATTCTTTCTGCTACACCTAATGATCATTTAGATGTCTTCCTCAATATTGCACAATTTTGTGTGCATGTAAATATGTGCTACTGTGCACTGTCTAGTGAATGTGTAAGAAGAAAAATAAAAAGCTGTAATGAATTTATTCCATGGCCAGCATATAGGCCAGCTGCAGCCTTACCGCATCCTATCCTATTACATATTCACAATACAGCACGGAGGCTGCGCTCCAGACAGCATCGCTCTCCTGGCGCGCATACACTACTTATGCACTCCGCATCTGCATTATCTGCTATTTTAAATGTGCATATTCTTTTCTACCCACTGCCTTATGCTATAAACTGCATATACTGTTCTTTAGCATAGATCTATGTTTTACTATTTGTTGCACATTCGTTTATATTCTTTTGACAGGATAGCTGCAAGGTCATTTTTTGTTTCCACCACTGTCCTCTTCTGTATATATCTATTTTCTGCTTTAATAAACGCTTCATACAGGTCTTTCTGTTTTATTTTCATGGATATACTATTTTCGCTTAGTTTAATCATTTGGGTTATAACCCGAATATTATCCTTTATAAGCATATGCCACTTTTTATATATTTTGATATAACCCGATAACTTATGCTTTTTAGCGAAATCTTTTTCATGGGTGCGCTCTTTTTTCCTTACTAAAAGCAACGCCCTTGCTTGGGCATTTAATTTTTTAGTTTTTTCTAATAGCCCTTTTAAGAGTTCAAATAACACTTCTTCTTTTTCTATTTCATTCGAATAATATTCCATATAGGCTTCTCTTGATAATATATATTCCATTTCTAATTTTCTCTTTTTTTCTAAAGCTTTTGTGAATAAATAAAGTTTGTTATAAATCAATTTATCTAAGCCATTTATCTCTACTGTGAGATTTTTAACTTGTTCTACACATTCATTATACACAACACATTTAGCATTTGGTATTTCTATATTGCAGAATTCACTCTCGAAAGTTTTAATTTCCTTATCTAGAACATCTGCTTCTTTGACGATTAAATTATATGCAGCCTCATATTCAGTATACTTGCTACTAGTTTTCACTATTTCATCACTAGCTTGATTATATCTAAATTCGAATGCATTTAATCTATGTATTGTTTTTTTTAGATTTTGCATTCCTAATGCGCTCCTTTCAAAAGCCAAATCTACCATCTTTTTATTTAGATTTCTCACCATCTCTTCTAACACTAAATTATTGTGGCTTTCTTTAGCTTTTATATAAGATGTATCTTTGGCTTCAGAGACCGTATTTTCCGGTGCGTCTATTTCATCTGGTATCTTTTTACTTTTGTTGTCTTTTTCTTCTTTCTCTTTTGACTCTAGTGCAAAAGTGCTATTTTCTGTTTTTTCATCTATATCTTCTGTGTCTATTATACTTCTTGCAGAGGCTGCTGTTTTGTTTAAATTTACATATTCTTCTACATCTTTTCCCTCTTTCTCACTGAAAGCCTTTTCATCTGCGCCCAGCACATTACTTTGCACGCGTATATATGCCATTTCCTCCTTGCTTGTTTTTTCGGCTATTATTTTCTGTAAATTTCTGCTATACATCATATACATGCCCAGACATACTATGAATACTGCTAATACGCATATAATTATCTTTTTCTTGTTAAAATAAGCCATTGCTAAACTTTAGTATTTGTATGAAGGCAAAGCTTCTTAAATAGTTCTATTTTAATATATCCAGTGATTTAATACAAACAAATACATAAATTAATTGCTTTATTGTTTTGATAGCGCTACCATGCTTATTGCTGCATAAAAATATTAGCCCAATAGCATGGCCATAAAGAAATAAAATTAAAGAATTACAGAAATTTCGCTCTTAGCTAATACATGCCCAGACACCAGAGAGCACACTGCACATTGTTTTTTTAGTAAAAGTATGTTTTTTGAAAGAAGCTCTAGCAGAGACACGAAGGACTGCCAATCAATGCTTTCTGTTCAAGGAAAGTTATTAAATTTGTTGGGCTTTTCTTCCTTGAGAGCGCAAAGCCATTCCTTAAGTTAGAAATATTCCATGAGGGTTGTTTTTTCGTACGCCAAATTAAATTAATTATCTGCTCATACACTTATCTTTGTTTATATTTTGTTTGTTAATGAATTTATATTTCTATTGCGGTCTTTGCTATGTTTATTAGTAATTACATATTACTGATAAATTAATTACTAGTGGTCTATAGATAGACAATAAAAACAAAGAATCCACAGTGTTAGGCAAATAAAATCCCATCAGCCAAAGCAAATTCTGTTTGAGACAGATAGATTTTGGATAAACTCCATATGAATTACTCTTCTTTTTTATTCACTTCAGCTTTTTATTATTTGGCTAGATGTTTAGTATCTTTTTGAGAGACCTCCAGTGCCTCTGCAATTAAAAATACTGTTCTTTTTGACTTTCGGGTAGAAACATCTTTATCAGAAGCAGCCTGCAAAACTATAGGTTTAGTTTGATGCCAGCCAAAGTTTTTCTCCTTTTCACAGCAGAGGGGCTTAGTGTCTCGAAGGATGGCTCTATAGATTTCTTCAGTGTTAGCTGAGTACTTTTTATCTTTCCATTCTGCTTTACTCCATCTTCTGTGCTGCTCGACTTTGCATTATCTTGTTTATCCAAACCATCCATGATATCGATCAGCTCTATCTTTAGTATGTTATTAGATAATTTTTCTACATCTGGCGCGCTTTCTACATTGCTATTTTCTTCATGCGAAGATGCAGAAGTATTACTGAGTGGGGGATCTTCTGTACGCCGTAGGTATTCTACTGCTATATAAATAAATGCAATAAGAAGAATATATATCCCTAGTGTGTTTAAAGAATTACTAATTATTAGATAGTTTGTGCATGCATCGCTCATTATTATTTTTTTTATTCTTTTTGTGTTAATATTTTATATCTTGAATAATCATTTTTATCATAGTATATAAAGACAGTTTCTCTTTGCATCGTATTGCCGTAGATACTTTATTGTAGTATATGGCCTGGCTTTCCTCAAAACAGAGTCTTTTCTTCCCGCGCAGTAACACTTTAGTATACTGGCAAACAGTTGGCCTTAGAGAACATGCTTCTTTATTTGTGCTCTTTAAAAGAACACAGAAAGACACAATATTGGTGTATGCATGAGCAGGCAGACCCATTACTCAGAAACATTTTGTAAAATATTGTGCTCTTCCTTCCAATTTGCACTATCTGTATTTGTCTGGGTAAGAAAAAGTGTATGCATTGCACCCACAAAGCCTTTATGCTTCTCACAGCTGTCAATAAGCTGCTAAATGCCTGCTGAGTATGGCCGCTTACATGGGTATTCTATGCTGTGTACTTGAATGATCTTCGTGTGGCTTTACAGCTTCTTCGCCAGTTGCAGGATTTCCTTGCATGCTTTCGTATAAAATTGCACTTATTTCCTCCTGAATTTCTTCACGTGTAGCATCTATTGAGTCCACTATGCCTCCTGAGACTGCGCGAATAAATCGGCACAGAAGAACACTCGCCCAAATCATTAGAATACCTATTGCTAAGAGCAGAACGTATAATGCTGTCATTGGGCAGGGCGTCTTGCCTTTCGATGGGTAGTTAGACATGCTACCACAAAGAAAGAAATATATAAACGCCGCACAATCAAAAGATGGTTTAAAATATATTGCAAGTCGAGTTGGCTATCTTGTGAATTTCTAAACGGTCTAAGTGAATATTCATCTATTTTATTTTGCTTGTATATTTAGCATGCTTTAATTCAAAGCCAAAGTATAAACAAAAAGACCATCCACGGTTATTTTGTGCACACAGCTTGCAGTGTGTTTTACTTACCTAAGGACAAAATATATGCGGAGTGCTAAGATGTACTTTTTTCTTTGGAGAATAAAGTTATGCTTTTTAATAAAGCTTTATAAGGAGGACTAGACACTTACCTTCTAAGCAAAATTATAAAAGAAATTCTTTGTAGACCTTCGGGTTATAGAGCGCAGTATGAAATGCAATATAATTGCAGCCCGTATATTTATATGCACAGCATGCAATCTTGGCAAATAAGCTCTCAAGCCATATGTACGCCTTCTATAAATATATTTATGCGTGTTTTGTAAATCCAATGATTCTTTTTTTATTACATACCTAATGCAGTTTTCTCTACATCTGATGTATATGTGCTTGGACCTTCCATTTTACCCATCTTATCATCGTCTTTAGGACTTTCGCTTTTTTCCACATATACACATATGTCTTTATTCTTGGCATCCTGCGTCTTCAGAGGCTCTGCTAGGCTGTCTAGCCACCACGCTATAGAAAACATCCCACCAACTGTTAGCCCGTATAGGATAGCAATGATTATTCTGTATCTTCTCTGGGAAAGCGTCTCTTTCTTTGGTTTATCTACCATATTTTGCCTAAAATAACTTTTTTACACACAAAAACCAAATATATTTTGCTGAAAAAGCATATGCGCATAGCCAAACCAAATATATTTGATAGAAAAAAGATGTCTATATGCATTCATGTGCTGCACCATTCTTTTATTGTGCGCGTATGCATCTAGCACTTTATGCATTGGGCAAACTCAAAAATTTGCATACACTGGTGTATTTTGCAGCAGTCTTTTTATATGTGCATATATATATACCTTTATGACTGCAAGAGAAGAGAAGTTCTTTTGGTAGCTATTAATTATCTTCAAATAATTTAGGAAAGCGGGCAGTTCTAGATCTCATTACTTCTGTGTCTTCACATACACGCACAAACTAGCTCAAGTTCAAGGACTGTGCTATTTTATTGTTAAACTTATATACTCCCAAATATGATCCATGCTGTTTATTAGCTAGCACATGACTCTGTCTCTAATAAGAGATAGAAATATTTCGGGTCAGACTTAGCGAAAGAAGCAGCCAGAGATCTGGGGTGAACTAATTATCTACTGTCAGGCAGAGGTTTCAAACAGTATACAGCAGCTTTGCAGAGCTCTGGGCCAGTATATTTTAAATATATTCGGGTTATATCAATCAAGCAAGAAGGCATTCTCATATATATTCTCGCTTGTGGATTGCTGTGCAAAGAATATGAGTTATGTGTATGGCTGGCTAATAGAGCAGGCTGCATCATCGCCTGCATGTGTTTATCATAAGGAAGTGTGCTTCCGAGGATATTTCACAGAACGCGTACCACTAGATGCACTGCATCTGGTCGCAGATGCATGGGGTGGATTAGAAACAACAAAATATGCTCGTTCTTGTGCTGGGTGCTGTTAATCTGGAGGATAAAAAGAGTTTATTAATACAAGTGAGCCTGTTCGCAGCAGAACTTTCTATGAGACTTTTCAGAATTCTTTCTTAGAGGAGGCAAGTCTTCTCATATAAATAGTGCAAAAGTAGGGGTGCAATGAATGTGCAGGGCCTTCTCTATTACAGGACTTAGTGCACACAATACAGCAATTTTACAGTAATACGTACCTTGCAGCAGTATTTCACATGCCGTGTACAAAAAGAAGACTAAAGAAAATCTAAGAAAACTGGCACTCGTTTATTTATTTATAGTTTCACACACGTGTCTAGTGGGCGGCATAAAATCAACTAAACTTATACAGCAAATAAGTTATATGTTCCAAAAAGAGAGAACAGAATACTTCCTACTAGTATACCCCATGAAATCAAAGTAAAAGAAAGCTTCTTCTTTTGCGATGCAATGTATGCAATGCTGGGAAGAGAGAACATAATATAGCAGCTAGCAGTGTTTGCAATTAAGTTCATTACAAAGGTGTACTTGAAGTCACCGAAGGAAAGAAGGAAAATTGCAAGGGTTATCACCCCAGTAACTGCTATCTCAGTAAGCCGCCTGTTGCTTTCGATCTGCTTTTTAGCCAATAAGTTCAGGAAGGAGATTACAGAGTCTCTTGTCGGGTGCATCTGCAGAGGATATGCCCCAAGCAGCACAACCGACATGGCCATCTTAGACAAAGAAATCAAATAGAAGTACATATCTCCCATGCCGGGCCCAAAGTTGCTGTGGACAACCTTGTAAAAGTATCTATCCTTGTCCATGAGTATGTCCAGAGTGGACCTGTCTTGACCGTTTCCGCCTGCAATGTATCCACCGTTTGCAACCAGGAAGTATGCAATTGAGGCAGCAAGAATTGCATAGCTGCCTACTTTAGCACCGTTTGCCTTTGTTGGCTTTTCCATAAGAGAAAACACACGCACCATGTTTTGCTGGCACCCCAGACCGAATATGTAGCATGAAAGCGCTGCAAAGATGTCAGCAGGGCTGCTAGTTGTTTTCTTCAGCACATCCCGCTTGATGTTGTTGTCTGGAAGAAAAAGAGCAAGGGCTCCCGATACTAAGACAATAAGCGAAAGGAATGAAACTGAAATAGTGGAGAGAATCGACATAACTCCAAGCTTCTTCAGGTTCTTTTGCATGGCTAGGAACGTTGGAAAAAGAATAAGTCCTATGCTGAACAGCACATTGTATGGAAAACTTTTTATTTTCTCCTCGATCCCAAGCATGCCCGAGATCCATCCTCGAAGAATTAAGAAGTAGACAAAAATAGAGCCAAAGCCCTGCGCCCCAATACTTCCTTCTGCTATGTATCCAAGCAGAGAGAATGTGTTCTGGCACACTTTGAAATACGAGGGATCGCTGTCGTCTAAGTTCTTAGCACAGTGCACGAGCTGGAACAAGGTAAAGGCGCATATCGCTGATATGAAGGCAAGAATGGGCCCGGATATCATATAACCCGAGAATTCAACTGCCCGTGGAAGTGTTAAAATCCCTGATCCTAGGATTGATCCTATCATGGGGAATACTGCTTGTGAGACTGAGAGTCCTTTCTCCTTTGCTACACTTTGCATTAATAAAATTTTTCATCAAAGTTTATTTATATAGTTATATGATTTGGGTAATAAAATGCCTATATATGGAAATAATAGGCCAGTCTGGTTCCCTGATATTTAATTTCAAATTAATTTTATTTTTGTCTTACTTTTCAGGGCAGCAGAGGCATTCTAGATGGTTTGATACTTAAAAATCTGCTGCAGGAAGCGCACAGCATCATGTTCTTTTATGCCTTTGCTTGCAGCATACTATAAAGCTCTTTACAAAGCATTAAATATCTAGCTCAGCGGTTTCCAAAAAGATCAGATCACTTCATCCTGTTATTTTTGCACAAATACTTTTCTAGGGCGTGCTTTCATAGCTGCAACTATCCGATATGCAGTCTAGCCTAGCCCAAAACAACATTGCCTTAGACTTAATAGCCAAAAGGTGCAGAAATAATTGCTTAAACAGCTTTTATTTTACCTGTAAAGCCATTTAGTTGCACTTAAATGGAGCGTTCTTTCATCTGGCGCACGTGCTTCCAAAATTACTCCTTTAGTATATTACGCTAGGCACTGTCTATAACTTATAGTTTGCAAAAGTATTTTGTCTCTTCTATGCATAGCCAGCACTGCTACTAAGAATGCTGTATTAGAGTGGGCTTCAGAGGTATAGAGCCTGTGTGGCCAGCACGCAGTGCTTTTCTTTAAACATTTGAAGTGCTAGATTCATATGCACCTTCTGCTTGTAATTCGGGCTAGAGACTGGAGTAAAATCCCCACTTCTCTACGCCAAGACCACAAAATTGCTCGTATAAAAGGAAATAGTTCCAAAAGATGGATAAGTCAATAGAAGCAGCATACGAACGCATGCGTATATAAAAAGGCAGTATGTGCCAACAATAAAGAACACACTAAGCAAAAAGACAAACAGACATCCCTCCCAGAAGCCTGCAGAGTTCTACAAATAAAGCACTCTTGCTAACTATTGTATTTATTCTCAACAATTATTTTTTCAAACTTGCATTTTACTTTCTATTATTGCGCGTTAAAATGTTTTTAATGTAGTCCACATTTTCTAAGTCTAAAGCTGATGCACCCCATAAGTTGATATTTCTATTATTCAATCCATTGTGCTCAAAGTAAGAATTTTTCTCAATGCTATGTTTCTGCTTATTGATTGTTTTTTCATAATTAGCTACTATATCAGAGCTTACTGTATTTTTGTAGAAGAGGAGTTTGTATACAATAGAAAACATATTGCTGTTCACTCTATTGTTCACCAAAAGATTGCACTGCTCAAGAGAAGCATTCGCAAAGATGCACATTGTAAATCTAACCAATGCAATGAGCTCTGTATGCGAATCGCACCAAGTCTCTTTTCCTTCTGTATTCTTTTCAATCTTGCTTAGAAGATACTCTATATTGGCGAGCACACTTGCACTGAATGTTAGTATTTTATTCGGGGAAAGTATATATAGCTCGCCACCGGGCAAAGTCTTAGAGATGGAGTTCAGTGCAGGAACAGAGGCAGAGTGGCGTTTAGAAGCTGATAGAGATCTGTTTGTTCTGAGATTCAAAGTAGACCCTCCGTGGCTGGAAGCGTTGCAACTTGAGATAAACCCGCTACATTCTTCAAAGAAAATAAAGCCAATGTTCTTTGAAAGTTTACGTCTTTTCTCATCAGCGTCTTTCAATAAGTAATATATAACTGAGGTTTTTTCCTTGCTTCTAGTACTCATTTCATCAAAAGTAATAGTTGTTTTAACTTCTCTTCTCCTGTTTTCTGATTGTTTATCTTTAGGAACTAAAAGATTTTTTATATTGCATAAAAAAAACTCTTTAGGAGAAGTCTTATTATGCAGGGTTACTGCAGCTGGTGGGTGGTTGTCTTGGTGCGTATTAGCTATTTCAGATAAGTTGAAATCATCTATATTACCTAGATCTTTATGTGCTTCCATAAAATCGCTAACACTCTTTTCAATTTCTTCTGCATGCGTTTTAGATTCTTCCTTCCACGGCTGCAGTTGATCCTGAGCTTTATTCAAAACTGCTTTAATTTTTTCTTTTTTTAGTTCTTGAGAATTGGATGGTTGCCGGATATTTTTGTTTTGTTTGTGTTGTTTATCCGTATTCTCTATTTCATTATCAAGCTCTTTTCTTAAGTTGAAAATTATATCTCCCTCTTTTAAAATAGATTTGCTAGAGGTTTCTAAGAGTGAATTAAGGAGTATAGTATGGAATACAATCGACTTCATATTTCTGAGTACATCAGAATTATGATTTTGGTTTTCTATCTTTTTGATGCATTCGCCTAGTGTATTCGTCAAATTCTTCATATCGATAGTTTTTGGATATGCATCGCCTTCTTTCACTATTTCTATGTATGACTGATTATATCTCAGCATATGCATAACTGGATCCTGCATTGACTTATTAAACTTGTTTATAGATATATTCAAGCTATCTTTGTTCGGCGAATCAACTGCATGAAGTAAATGGTTCCATTTAGCCCCGCTTTTATCTGTAAACACTTTTTGGATTGTTAGAATGTCTGACACTGAAATATTTGCCTTTTTTGCATTGGCTTTTACGCTAGTAGAATCACTATTCTCCTCATTAGTCTCTGGGGGCTGTCTCTCTTCTGAGTTAGAAAGTATTTCTGATTCGCCACCAGAAGAATTCTCCTCATTAGTCTCTGGAAGCTGTCTCTCTTCTGAGTTAGAAAGTATTTCTGATTCGCCACCAGAAGAATTCTCTTCAGTCTCTGGAGGCTGTTTCTTTTCTGGGGTTAAAACTGTACCTGGTTGGGAATCAGAAGGATTCACATCAGTAGGTGGGGGCTGTCTCTCTTCTGGGTTAGAAAATATTTCTGGTTGGGAATCAGAAGAATTCACATTAGTATGTGGAGGCTCTCCCTTTTCTCGGATATAAAGTATTTCTGGTTGGGCAACAAAAGAATTTCTTTCATCTGTTGGGATGGGGTTAGTCACATTTAACTGTGGGGGGTCTTCAACACTTTCTTCTTTTAAATCGTCATTATTCTCACTTGGATCTAGTATTAGCCCGTTCGCCCTTAGATCCGAACCCAATTTTATTATCTTAGTGGTCAAACTACTTTCTTCTTCTTCTTCTATAGGAGGATTATTTGGTGTACCGACATTCGGTTGTACTTCTTGCTGGAGTATGGATACACCTGTAGTTTTAGTAGTATTTTCAGCTTTAGTAGATATAGGCGGTAGATCTGATGTTATACTAGGTGTGCTAGTTGTACTAGATGCATTTGATGCACTGGATTCACTAGGTATACTAGTTGTACTAGGTGTACTAGTTGTACTAGAATTGGATTGTTCTTGATTTTGGCGTAGTTCTTGTGCAATAGCCCGGGCTTTTTCTATAATTTCGGACATACTAAGATTGGGCTGTGGCTGTACTTCTCTATCTTTAGAATTATAGTTGGGTTCCTTTGACTGTGGATTCTGAATTCTTGTATTAGTTGCATATTTAGATAGATGCACATTCTCTATGCATATTTCATTCGCACCATAACATACATTGTTCTTCTTTTGGTTAATGTCCGTATTATTCCTTCTATCGTCTGAATCGCTAGAATTTGGATACATTTTAGAATAACTGTCTTCACATTTGACCATATTTGGCATATACACTGCACTATCTGGCCTATTTAGGCTTATAAATTCTTCTGTACTCTTGTTCTTATATGCATTATTGCGGTAATTTCTAATGGTAGCTATCCTTGGGGCTTCAGCCTTTTTTTTAGAAGTATTTGCATTATGCAAATACACACCTGCTATAAGCGACGCACCAAGTACAAGCGACACTAAACCTACTATTTTTATCGATGGTAGCATTTTAAATTCTGAATATTAAAAATTATTCTATTAAATACCCCTCAACGATCAGTGTATTTAATTAAAAATTTCATTCTAAAAACATTAAACAAACAGATTATGCTTTTTAAGTTATAAAATTTATTTTTTTTACTGTATTCTTGCATAAACTATTCTTAGCTTGCTGTTATCCATGGTAGTTTTATTACGCCATCCTCCTACTCCGAATAATTTGCATTTAAGCGGCATGTTCTGCTGGGCTTCTCTATGTATTGAAGGTGTTTAGACCACTTTGGCCAAACATGCGAATGTGTTTATTTAGACGTCAACAATCATCTTTTGTTTGTTTTTGTATTAAAATTAGTTATTTACAAACACGCAATTTTAGTTATAAGTAAAAATAAATTAAAAAGTCTAATGCTTCAGAGAAAATGGGCTTAGTAGTTAAGAAATATTGTAAATAGTAGGGCAATAAAACTAACAATAATAAGCAAGTATATCAGGATTGCACTTCAAAGAAAACACCAAAATACATCCCAGAATTTCCAGAAAATTAGACTGCTACACACTGGTTGTATGCATAGATTAGGAATAAACTTAGACTATTTCGGGCCACTCTGGATATATTTCTGCTAATTTTATGCAGCACATTTAAATCTTACTTGTGGCTTAGACCAATAATTGGGAAAGGTTATTTATAGCATACTGACATTTCTTTAGAGTCAGCGCAATAGTATATTTACACGCGCAGAGTACAAAAAGCAAAGAAACACGGTCTATTGACCAGCTCATGTTTTTGGTTTCTTTTTGCTTCTTGTACGTATATGTGTGTCTCTGTGACCAAAGAATTCTCATTTATATAATAAAGTCTTATATTACTTTGTATTTTTATATACTATACTCTATAATTTATGTTTCTATTTGTATTCTTGCTCTCTGCAGTGCAATGTAAACTTGCATTTATGCACACGCGTGCATCCAAATTCACTCCATCCGTGCATAAAACACAGCACATTCATGCTCCCCAGGCTTCTAGAAGACATGCAAGTCTAAAAGAAGAAATGCAAGAAAAAGAAGAATTTTCATATAGAGAAGCTTGATTCACCTGCGCCACTAAAACACTCTGTATGCTTTTATTTACTCATTTACAATGCGAAAATAAATTGGCTGCCAGAGAACTTTTTAAGCAAAACACATCTACTAGGCTGTGCCAAGTTGCAAAAAAAACACCCGGGCTATGTTTATGCCTTGCAGACTGTTTATGCAGCCAAAGTAAGAGCTTTATTGCATTTTAATTACTCTTATATCTTATTGATCGATTTCATATGCTATTTATATTTCATTTATTTGGTATACCATGCATTCTATTGGGTGCTTGCTTTACCACGAGCTATCAATTCCTATCCGATCTTTATCTCTCAAAATACAAATTCAGTGCAAGTATGATATAGACACTTATTTTGTGCTGTACAATGGGAAGAGGAAAACATGGATCATGGACGATGAACTGCTAACAATTCAAAACACACTGATATCACTACCCAGCGCGAATTTCATTCTTTCGCTGCCTATTCCTTCGGACAAATACCTCTACGAAATTGAAGATATTGCAGTGCTAATTCTAAATGAAAAAGACCAGCCTGTCTATTTTAAGACACTGTACAAAAAAATAAAAACGAAGTACGGCGAAAAAACAAAGCCAAAGAAGTACTATGCAGCACTCCTAGCAGATAGTATCTGCTTTATACAAATACGCATGTTTGATGCAATTGGAAACAGTCTGAAGATATGGAAAGTGGACAAGACAAATCTTGGGAATTTCCAGAAAGTGAAGAACATGCAGCAGAGCATCAGTATTAATACAACAGATTTAATGGAAAAGGTGAATGTGTCGTATGACCAGAAGACAGCAGAGAGCACTACAAGCCCATACATATCACAAGAGCTGCCCCAAACCTTCTTCCTTCCAAATGGTCCAGTTCCCTCAGAAGACGCAAAAAAGAGTCTGCCCCATAATACTCCAACTCCTAGATACTCATTCCCATAGAATATCCAGTGGCCTGTCTGCTTCCTCAGATATGCACTCTAGACTTCACCATTATGCAAGCCAGAGCAAGCGGGTATTTCTTGGAGACACTTCTCTATATAGCATATCTCGCAATTAAAAATGTCTGGATGGAAGAAGTGTCTTTAAAACACGTTAGATTATGCAATGGCATTATATTCTAGTTTTTGGGAAAATTCTTCAAAACCCCCGAATTGGCCTCTTTTATAAATAATAAAATTCCGGGGTTTCTGGCTAAATCTACCTATAAGCGGTATTTTTGTTTATTCTAGGTTGGTAAGACTGCTTGTATGCATATTCCTTGAGGAAATAGAAAGAAAAGAAGCAAATTCAATCCAGATAAAATTACACATATATTTTGTGCTTTTATAATTCTCTTCTTTATGCTGTATACAGACCCAGTTGTAGTGAACATAAGAGGCTAAAATAACCAGAACCCGAATTACTCAGAATAAATAAACTCACTTGTTTTATGCTCTAACTAGCATCAAGCAGAATGCATATCAGAAATAACAAAGATAATGCAGTTTTGATATACAAACAAAACATTAAGTTTTTTGGCTGTTTATATAACCCGAAATAACTCACTTTTGCATAAATAATACAGCTTAATAGTATCTTCATATAACCCAGCACTTTTATTCAATTCTTTAGGTTATTTTTGCACTTTAAGAATCTGCATAAAAATAGTCCCCTTCTATTCACTAGTCCCTGTCTGGGTTTCATAATTTAAACACGTGCACTGAAATTCTTAAATATAAAAGATACGCGATGCATAGTATGAGCAAAGACTTTTATGAAATACTCATGCAAGACGTAAAATGCGTATATAATATGACTAAGTAACCAAGCCTGTTAAATACAACGTATTCGGGTTATACTGTATACAAATATCCGGATTATGCTTTATTCCCTCTTCTCCTGCACCACAAGCTTTCTAAGGAATCAATCCACACTAACATATCTGAGTATTTATTTACATAAACACTTTACATGCATCAGCACAAAAATACTCTTTTCTTTGTAACTGAATAAATATATGAAACACCACACTCTACAAACACTACACTGCACACTCTACATACACTCCACTGCTTCGGGTTATTTTGGGTTATATCCTGGGTATCTGCCTCTTTCTGGATGCAGCAGGCACTGAATACCCCAAGTTTTATCGGCCTATAAGTACGTCTAAAAATAATTTTGCAGCATGAGCAGAGCCAAGCCTTTGTCAATGGAGGAAAAAACAAAGCGTGTCCTTAGCCTGCTGCAGGAGAAGGATGACGTATTCAACATGAAAGACCTGGAGAAGATATGCCAGAAGGAAAAGGGAGTTGTGCCGCAGAGCATGAAGGAGGTGCTTGACATACTCATTTCAGAGAGAAAGGCAAAAGAGAAAAAAGTAGGAGCAACAAAGTACTACTGGAGTTTCCGCTCAGATCTAAAACTGCACAAAGAAGCTGAAGTAAGAAAACTTATCGATGAGAATGCATCTCTCTCCAAAAATAAAGAGATTCTTGCAGACGAGCTTAGCACTCTCAAAGAGAATAGATCCTCTCCAGAGAGAGAGGAAATGATCAAGCAGCTGGAAGAAAAAAAGAAAGAGCTTGAAAGCGTAAACCAAACAGTTGCAGTAATGAGCGAGAATGACCCTGCTAAAATAGACTCACTCAAGGAAGAGCTCTCAAATGTCCAAAAAGACCTCGATGAGTGGGCAGAAGCATTCAATGCACTGCAGCACCACATCCGGCAGTCCTTCAATCTATCCCACAGTATGTTCACAGAAGCCTTTGGAATCAGCCAAGCTGACATGGATAAGATCGATGAACTATAGAAGACACCCACACTCTGCGCAATAAAATACTGCATGGCTTGTGCTTGTTAAAGAGTCTGTCTGTTTCAACTGACAAAAAACACTCAAAATAATTTTATTTTTTGCCCTTGCAATGAACCAAGTGCACCAGCTAACTACAAGTGAAGTAGAAAGTAAAACAATTGCATCCATCAGAAGAATGAAGGATTTCATAAAAGAAGAAGCAGAGAAGAAGGAACAGGCAGAAAAGAACAACTCCATATACGTCCCTGCAGAAGTGCCATTCTTCTTCGTTGTTAGAATTAGAAGTTCCAACAAGGCATCCCCAGATGTCATGTGCGCACTTGACACCCTCAGACTAAGAAATGTCAACACCGGAACATTCGTCATAAACAACAAGTCCTCCAAGTCTCTCCTCCAGAAAGTCAGAGCATACGTTGCATACGGAACTCTTTCCCTTGAAACAATCAGAAAGCTCATCTACACAAGAGGATTTGGAAGATACAACGGATCTTCAGTAAACATTACCCAAGAGCTGCTATTCACTAAATTCGGAGGAGCTGTAGAGACCCTTGAGGACATTGTAGAGGCTCTTTATCTTGGAAACAGATCAGACGCATCTGCAATCAACAAGTGGCTCAGTCCATTCAAGCTAAGCTGCCCAAGAAAGGGATTCGGCGGAAGAAAGATAAAAGACTTCACTGAGGGAGGATCAACAGGAGATCGCGGTAGATACCTCGATGATCTCATTAAGAGAATGATATAATAAATAAAATTCCGCATTTTTTATGAAAGCTACAGTTACTAAAGACACATGGGTACTTATTCACACAGCAGACAAAGGCCCCATTAAGTGCGTAGGCATGAAGAGAGACGCCTTAAGGACTCTTTCCTTGGGAAGAAGAGGCACTTTCCCTGTCTCTGCCCTCATGCACGCCCCACTCAACACGCCCCTCGTGTGGTCCCCTAGCAAGAATGCCTTTCTGGAGTGCACGCCCACAGAGAAGCCCACAGGAAAGCACGCACAGAAGAAATTTGCCAAACACTCAACAGAAATTGTGCTTACAGTCCCAACCCTCCCGGGTATAGTCGCAATGTACTTGCAGAAGGGAGACTTATCTGTCTCGCACGAAGCAGTCAGCCAGATCCTCTTCCATGCAATTGGAACTAAGTGCGTAGTCGTAAAGGACGACCACAAATCCGTCATCCTGTCAGCCGTGGCGGCAGCCCGGGGAACACAAAATCTATACAGAATGGAAGGCCACACTAAAGATATACACGTCCTAGGGGCACTTGGCTACCCCATGGAAGTCATGGAATATATCTGTCCCCAGTATACACCACACGATAAAACTCTGTTTAAGAATACAGAAAACACTAAAGCAGAAGACAAAAAAGAGACAGAGAGTATAAAGAAGACAGAAGATTTAAAATGCACAATAGAGACAGAAGAGAAGAATTTTAAAGTGCAAGACAGAAGGAAGGGATTTCTTCTAGTACTAGCACAAAGGGATAAATATAAGCCAGAAGAAGTACTTCACATAATCAGCACAATTCCAGAGACATTTACATCAGGAGGCCCAGTTGACTTTATAATACACCACACAGCAAAAGAAGGCATTCTAGATCTCTTTAATTCAATGATGAGCAATAGAGCATTCTGTCTTTTAGACTTAAGAGAAATATTCTACAGAGAGTACCAGAGTACACTTGGTGCACTGCATCCTATCATGTGTAGGACAAGCCATTCTGGCTTTATTTTGACTGGCACATTCCTTAACAAGTAGTCAGATAAAACACAAATAGTGTGGAAATTGTTTGTTTTCATGCAAATATTCGTGAAGACACTAACAGGTAAGACTATTACACTAGAGGTAGATAACAACGATACAATCGAGAATGTTAAAGCAAAAATCCAAGACAAAGAAGGAATACCCCCCGACCAGCAGAGGCTTATCTTTGCAGGAAAGCAGCTTGAGGATGGGAGAACCCTTGCAGACTACAACATACAAAAGGAAAGTACAATCCATTTGGTGCTGAGGTTACGGGGAGGCTTTTGAAGTCGCCTGCAAGAAGGCATGAAATTTCAATAAAGAATTCTTCTTCTTATTTTTTATGGACAAAGAGACATTGTTTGCAAAGCTAGAGAGAATGACAAAAGATGAAGCCTTCTCAGAATATAATATAAAATACTACACAGTCTCAGATTTACTAGAAGATCCCTTACTAGGAAGAAGTGTAAAGAGCCTGTATGAAAGGAACTACATGTAAGTAACATATTTAGATTTGTGAGTATTTCAGATATTTTGGGATATATTTCAGTGTATGCAAGGGCGTATCTGCTTGATTATATAATATTTTCTTGCAGTGCATATAGTGTATGTATATAGTGTCTATTATTAGTAATATTATTGTGTATTTCTGTTGTAATTAGTCTACTGTTATGTATATACGTATATTTCTGTTGTAATTAGTCTACTGTTGGTGTGCAATAAATAATTTATTTTCTCTCACAAGGCATTCCTATGCTGCTTATATTCGGAATATTTCGGGATAATAAAATCAACGACAAGAAAATGCCTGTGATAAGAGACTGACAAGAAAATACTGTTAGAAACTATATATCACAGAATAATGAAGTCATAAATCCATCTATTACTGATGACTATTTATTCACTAGTAAGGCATCTATACAAGAGTACTACAGGCGCCTTCTATAATACTCAGAATATACCCAGAATATAACCCGAAATTACATCCAGAATATAACTGTAAATATGGCTGTAAATTTATACCCTAAATCTAACTGTAAATTTATACCCAGAATATAACTGTAAATATGGCTGTAATTTTATACCTTAAATTTAACTGTAAATTTATACCCTAAATCTAACTGTAAATTTATACCCTAAATCTAACTGTAATTACATTCAAGAATCTAACCGCAATTACACTCAATAATCTAACTGTAAATACACTCAAGAATATAACTGTAATTCTGCCCAAATCAAATCCTTATTATCCTCCCATATGGCACTGCTTGTATTGCAGTTATATTTCCTTCTGTTACTTCATGCAGCAGATTTATAAAGTCAATTATTTTTTGGTTTTCTGTTGGGATGTTTATGCTGCTTATTCTTCCATGAACTGATATGCTTCTGTCCATGTGCACTGCATCATCCATATACGTATCAGAAGAGTACCTTCTTAGTGCTTCAATTGAAGATATATCTGCAATATATTCCTGATCTTCTTCCGGGATACTTTTCATAATTGCATCTACCATCCCTTGGTACCACCTTACCACAGGCACACTTCTTCCTAAAATCATCTCCCCAGGCACATCTATCCTTCTGTCTATTTTTACTTTTTTCACAGGCGCATCAATTCTTCTTACAGTTTCCTCTGCTATCTGCCCAGAATATATCTCAGAGAGCATCTGCACCTGAAAGGACCCCATTCCTTCAGATAATACTGCACTCCCCCTGGCACACTCTATTTCTTCTTGCACTACAGTCTTATTCGCTTGATAATTAAGTACACTGCAAAGTACATCCATGTTGTAATTGTATGTTATTTCTTGCTTGCTGTATATTCTATTATGAACTTCCCTTTCAGTAGACGTGTCCTTAGAGATAACCCGGACTAAAGAAGAAAGTGCCTGCCTGTAATGCACCAGAAGACTTGTCACAATAGAGATCATCAAGCGAGACTGCAAACGCAAGGATAAATTATCCCCATCAACAGCAGACAGGCATGCACCCAGTAAGTCAACAGGAAGTGCAGTATTAACTCGTCTCAAGCAAGAATGTACATACATTCTATACAGCAGGCTATCTTTACATACGAAAACACTTGGATAAAACATAAATACATAAAATATTCCGTATTATATACCTAAATATAACCCAATAATCAGATTGATTATTCTGTATATTATTATATATTCTGTTGTACTGTACTATTGTACTGTAGTATATAGAGACTAGAGAGACTAGAGACAGGAGATAAAAATATTTTAAAATTACTACAGTACTACTATTAGTATAGTACAGAGAGACTAAAGAAAGAAGATATTTTAAAAAATACTACAGTACTAGTACTAATAGTATAGAGACTAGAAACAAAAAATACTACTATTATAGTATACACTGGAGACAAAAAATAATTTAAAAAATACTATAGTAGTATAGTAGTATAGTAGTATAGTAGTACAGTAGTATAGAGAGAGACTAAAGATAGAAAATAATTTGAAATTACTACTACACTATAATACACCATAATACACCATAATACACTATAACACACTATAATATTATGTGACTAATTTGTCATAGAAATAGAAGTGAGGTAGTATAGGAATATAGAGGGATATATAGATAATATTATGGTGTGTTTTAGTGTATTGTATTTATGTTGTATCTTATTGTGTCTGGTTATATCTTAGTGTATCTTGATATTTTTGTTTCTTAAATTGTCTTGTTACTTTTTCCCTTTAATGCCTCTGCTGTGAATGGCTCTATAGTAGTAATTTTAGATGAATTTATCTTTAGTTTTCTAATATATCTCCCTAATATTTCTCTTTAATAATTTATTTTCATGAAAGACAAAGAGACTTCTTATTGGAAATAATCCACAGATACAACAGGAGTATTATAAGGGAAGAATTAGTTATGAGATACTGTAAAAATATATCATAGAGTATGTAATATGGTAAAAAGCACCCGATACGGGACTCGAACCCGCGACCCTTGGATTAAAAGTCCAATGCTCTACCGACTGAGCTAACCGGGTTATACCAGGGTCCCTCAATAAACATATTTTCGGGTGTCTAACTAGATACAGTTAAATATAGGGTATATTTATTGGTTATACATATATTATACTCTCTGGTGTATTTATTGTATTATTAGGATATTCTGTTGTATTTATTAAGGATATGTTGTATTTAGAATATTCTGTTGTATTTAGTGTATATTCTGCTTTAATTATTGTATATTCTGTTGTAATATATACTAATATTATACTCTCTATTGTATTTAGTATATTATTATTCTGTTATATTTAGTCTGTTATTATTCTGTTATATTTAGTGATATTTAGTCTACTATTATCTACCCCCGCAATATTTAGTCTACTCCCTATTTCTTTCCCCTTTCTTTCTGTATATCCCTGTTACGCATCTTTGCCCACATTATATAATACGTGACCCCTGTGGAGTGCACCATTATAAAACTGGATGTCCCTGGGGTAAGTTCGAATCCCATCCATTCCCCAAATATATTTATTATAATCATAATACTGTTATATATTATACCCCATATATCTAGTAGTCTAAGTATACTGCGTCCTTCTGTCTCTGTTAGTCTGCCTGTGTATATATATCTACTAATTAGTGGTCTTCCTATGATAAATGGACATGGGCACATACTGCAGAATAATGTACATCCCTTGATTATACTTCTTTCTAGTCCAAATCCAGATATAAATGTATATATAGACCATACACCAGATATAAATAGACTAATATATGATATATATGTATTATATTTAATACAGCAATTATTAGGCTTAATTATTCTTGCTAATATAAAGCACCATGTCATTAGGTGTATATGACTGGATTCCTGTATATATTTATGCATAAATATATTAGTAGTAATTAGGGCCACTGTGACTGCATCCTTATTACTTAGGGTGTGCATGAATATGTAGCATGAAATAATCAGGGAAATAGTCAGTGTATATACGGTCTCATTAAGGAACAGCAGGAATGTACTAATTATAAAGAATATTCTGTCTGTATGGAATATTTTCATATTTATTTATATATTTAAAGATAAAAAGAGAATATATAGATAAAAATATAAAGTGTACAGTTTAAATTATTATATATTATATATTATATGGGAGATAAGTGAAGGGTTTTATTTTTATTTTATTGATAAAATATTATTAATATACTGTTGTATTTAGTGTATTATTAGTGATATTGTGTTGTATTGTAGACTAATTAATGTATTATTAGTATATATTATTCTATCTCTGTATATTCCTGTTATAATTAGTCTATCTCCTACTGTATTTGTGGCTAACTTATATTTCCTCTTGTAATTGGTCCTTTTCGTTGTAATTTGTTATAATTAGTCTATCTACGTTGTATTTATAACTAACTCACCCTTCCCACTATAATTAGTCTATCCCTGTATATCCTGTCTATTATTAATATAATAAGGACCCATAAACTATATATACCAGAATATATTATAATATATGCCTGATAAATATATCCATATGATCCTTAATAAGATACTAATTACAACAGACACTACAATACTCACACCAGATAGTATAAATAATAAACCCTTCAGTAAAATATATTATAAATATATTCCAAATGAACACATTTATAATATTATTAATATATTAGATAAAAATACAACAGAGTCAGTTAATATACTAATACTATTACTATTACTAACACAATTAGATATATCACATATATATATAATAAGAAAGATAATTAAGGATATATTATATATACACAGTATATATGAACTATTATATAATATATATATATGTAATATATATAATAATATACTGTATATATTATATAATATATATAATAAGATATTATATAAAGAAGATAAATATGATATATTATATAATATAATAATATCACAGGAATATAAGGATATATTAGAATATACAATTAGTAAGGAATATACAGAGTATAAAGAATATATGGATAAGACTAATTGTAACAGGGATACTAATAATATGACTAATTGTAACAGAGATAGTGGGAATGTGACTAATTATATTAGGAATAGTGGGAATATGACTAATTATAACAGGGATAACACTAATTATAACAGGGATACTAATAATAACAGAGATAAGACTAATTACAGTGAATATAGTGAGAATAAGACTAATTACAGTGAATATATTAATAACCTGACTAATTGTAACAGATATGATACTAACTATACTAATTACACTGAATATAACACTAATATTACTAATTACAACGAGAATACTAATAATATGACTAATTACAGTGAAATATACAATGAAATAGACAGATTATGCTATACACAAGAATATACATTAGACATGAAACAAGAATATACAATGGTACCCCCTTACAATGATATAAATACAGATATAAATACGACTAAATTCTACAGTATTAATGAGAATACACTAAATACAACAGATAGACTAAATCCAACAGAATACACTAATAATACACTAAATACAAAGGATATACTGCGTAGAATACGCCTATTACTGCCTGGTTGCATGAAATTACTGCAAAATACGTATAAAAATGGGATACCACGTGGAAAAAGCAGTGAATTCTTTGGGAAAGGGTCAGCACCCAGGGTAAGAAGCATATTCCATGAAGAATTCAAAGGATACAACGATATAATGGCAGATGACCATTTAAACCACATGGAGAAAAAGATAAAAAAAAGAGTGCAGGGAATCGAACTTGCCATAAAAGCAATAAATCAGATATATAATATAAATATATTCAAAAATAAAAAAAAAGAAATATTCCCATTGGAGATACTGGAGAAATTATCAAATAAAATTATAACTGCCATAAAAAAAGAAAGAAAATCAAAAATGAAAACAAAGAACCTGACAGTTAAAGAAATGCGAGACAGAATCCACATAAAAAGAATCTTCTCAAAATTATTCCCAGAGAGTGCATCCTGCATAATATTATTATATAAGCACAATATAACAAGTAATATATGGCAGGATACTCTCTTCCTAATATTCTCATTAAAAATAACAGAAAAAACTGTTAACAAAATAATTAATAAAATAAATAATAAAATAATAAAAAAAATAGACACTTTCCAAAAAAGAATAAAAATAAAAACAAAAACAAAAACCCTTTCAAAAGTACTCACAAAAAGAATAAAATCAGTTACACTTAAATATCTCATAAGAAAATCACCTGCCCACATATTAAGTAAAGTACACAGGGAATTATTAAGACTATTAGACCTTGGGTTATATAAGGATATATCTTGTAGTAATATTAGTCATAATATATGTAGTAGTATTAGTCATAGCATATGTAGTAATATTAGTCATAATGTATCTGGAGCAAGTAATTGTAGTAATATTAGTCATAGTATATGTAGTAATACTAAGTTTACTAATAAGTGTGTTGAAAATGTGACTAATAATAACTTCCCTGTTAATAATGTGACTAATAATAAGTGTGTTGAAAATGTGACTAATAATAAGTGTGTTAGTAAGTATACTAATACCTTCACTACTCATGATCACAGTAATAGTTGCACTGCTAGTCATAATAATTTCACTAAAAATATCACCACCAGAGACCCCCTTACTAATAACCTTGAATTATATATATCTATTATTAAAGATATATCTAATATTATAGAAGAAAAGTATCCATTTGTCTCTTATGAAAAAATAAAAAAATATTGCATGGATAGAATAGTAGACTAATTGTAGTGGGAGTATACAGGGAATATACAGTAGTAGACTAATTATAGTGGGAATATACAGTAGTATACTAATTACAACAGGGATAGACCAATATACACTAATATATGCAGTAGTAGACTAATACACACTAATATATACAGTAGTATACTAATTATAACAGAATATCACTAATATACACTAATACATACTAGTATATGCAGTAGTAGACTAATTACAACAGGAATACACTAATACACACTAGTATACTAATTATATACAGTAGTAGACTAATTACAACAGAAATATACTAATATACGCTAATTACAACAGTATACCAATATTAGCCTATAATGCAACAGAATATCACTAATTTCCAAAATATCCAAACATCTCCAATACTCCCCCCTTACACCCACTATTATTCTATATACCCAAGGGTCCCCCCTTGTATACCCTAAATTTCCCTACTAATTTCCGTATATTTTCCTACTTAAATTTTTTTTAATGTACCCCATGCATGCAAATAATCCAACCAACAGAGCATAAAGTTAAGGCCCCAAAGAATAAAAGAGGAAGTGGCCAGAAGCACACAGCAGAAATGGCAAAAAAAGAAAGAGATGCACAAGATAAACTAATAGCCAAGAAAAAGACAGCATTAGAAAGTGCACTAAAATGCCCACCTGCCATACACCAATTCAAACAGAAAATATCTGATGACTTAAAAGACAAAATAGAAGAAGTCTTTAAGAGATATAGACCAGAGAACCCAGAAGAGAAGGCTGAGAGAGTAGAACAAGGAAAAGACAAAAAAGTATCAATTATATTTGGAATAAGACAGATAGTCAAGTCAATTGAACAGAAGAAGGCAAAATTAGTACTAATTGCTAATGATGTAGACCCATTAGTCGTAGTCCTATTCCTGCCATCACTCTGCAAGAAGATGGGTGTAAGTTACGCCATATACGACAGCAAGAATAAACTAGGCTCACTCGTAGGCAGGAAGTCAGCAGCCTGCATAGCACTGAATGAAATGGTGCCTGGCCTGCAGGAATTAGTCACAGAGGTTGATGAAGAATTCTCAGAGAAGTACGCAGAGAACATGAAGAAGTGGGGGAGACCTGCAGCAAAATAATCACGGCAGAAATAAAGGAGTTTAAGGAGATTTAATAAGGTTGTTGGTTAAATTATTTCGGGTTTTGTAAGGGAAGATTAGTGGGCTGTAAGGGGGGACCCTTGTGTTGTATGTTTTATAGACTATTATTAGTATTATGTTGTAATTAGTGTATATTGTTGTATTATAGACTAATCTAATATGTCTGTTATTATTAGTATATTATTAGTGTATTCTGTTGTAATTAGTGTATTGTTTAAGCTCTTCTGTTGTAGTTAGTAGTAGTACGTTGTAATTAGTCTACTATTGTGTATTCCCCCTATAATTAATCTACTCCTGTATATTTCCCCTATAATTAGTCTATTAATAAGGTGTTCACTTGATTTTAATTTATATTTTATATAGATACAGGTTATTTCTGATAATATAAATAAAATAGGGTCTGGAATGTGCATTACTTATGGCACTAGTGTATTAAGTCCTGTCAAATGCGACTAATTACAACACAAATTCACTACTTATTACGCACTGACTATAAGTAATGTAATATGTGACCAAATACAACACAAATTCACTACTTATTACAATAGTACCATAAGTTCTGTCTAAATTGCATTATATATTACACTATGTGTATTAATTAATGTTTAGTATATATTTTCTTTTTTTTTAATGCCCATGCAAAACTTCTCTCTTCTTGCAGAGCAAGGCCTCTTCCACCAGCTCGCACAAAATATTCTGGGCAATATAGACAAAGTATCAGTAGAAGAACTCGTGTCAGGTTATAATTTGTTAATTTTAACAAACAAAAACAATGTTAATAATAAAATATTGGCAAAAATAAGCATAGAATTATCAAGGAAAATAACGGACACTACCGTATATGGTAATAAAAATAATGTGTTAATTAATACATTAGTTATATTACTTAATAAGGAAAACTTAGTGAATTGTGGGGAAAATATGGAAATAACTGGTGAAGAGTCACCCAATAAGGAAATTACTGAATCTGTAAGTAATAGTACTCCTAATAAGGACGTTTCCTCATACAGTAATAGTAATATTACGGATATTACTGCAAATGGCAATTTTAATTATGAGAAAGTTGTTAAAAGTGCATTACTTATTACACAAAGATGCGAAAGTCTTGTCAGAATTCTAATTGAACTTGCAAATAATTTCTTAATTAACAACCACACGGAAGTTTTTTATTTATCAAAAATTATTCTTTATGAATGCAAGAACATTACCATATATAGTAACAGTGTAATTAGTGAATTGTATTTTGGGCTAGGCTTGTTGAATTTTAAAAGTACGTTAGGATACAATTTCCTAATTGAGTACATTAAAATTGTTAAGAGCAATAATTATCCAGAAAAGGAAATATTCCCAATTGGGAAAATAGTTGAAATGGCAGTTATATCTGGTTGTTATGCTAATGAGATTTACTCTTTTAACGGGCTGTTTGAGAATCTGCAAATTGAACTACCCGAAAAGGTAACAGAAAAGAACTTCAATGAAATTTCCTTAAATGGAAAAGAGTCAAAATCTCTTTCAATGGCAGTTGCAATAGAAAATGACTTAGCAAATTTGGCAGTCAAACTTTCTGAAGACTTTGGTGCAGAAATAACTGAAATTGTCAAAAAGAAAATAATCGTCATAAAATTGTTAAAGTATTTCTTTAACTGCCAAAACAGAATTGTTAATCTTAATGAAATATCAGGTGCTTTATCGTTGCCAGAAAAGGAAGTAGAAGAAAATCTTTTAACAATTCTTGGCTGCAATTTAATTAAGGGAAAACTTAACGGGATTTCAAAAGAGTTCACTTTTCACTGGATAGGCTACAAATATTTGAGCAAAAAAGAGATTAAAACAATAAGCACCGTTATTAATGAGATAAAGAAAAGAGTTGACGAAATAGTCCAAGACTTATAACACATGGTGTACTAAGTAATGGATAATAGTGCAGGACTTAATCCACTTTGACAAGACTTATAGCGAAGTGACAGGACTTTTTACGTGGAGACAAGACTATGGCACTTTGTAAAAGAATGTACAAGACTTTTTACATTATATCAGAATAAATGACAGAATTTAATCCACTTTATATTTATATAAACAAGACTTTTTCCACTTTATACAAAACTTATGGCACACAGAAAAAGTCTTGCACAAAGTTGTAATACATATTTTAGAGTGCTATAAGTCTTGCACTATTATCTTGCTAGTTTTGGGATAGAGTGGATTAAGTCTTAACAAAGTGGATTAAGTTCTGTCATGTTTTATTAAGTGAGTAATAAGTTCTGTCATGTTTTATTAAGTGAGTAATAAGTTCTGTCATGTTTTATTAAGTGAGTAATAAGTTCTGTCATATTTTATTAAGTGAGGATTAAGTTCTGCACAAAGTGCCATAAGTCTTGCATAATGTGGAATAAGTCTTGGTCAACCGTGAGGTACGAAGTACAGTCCTTGCACAAAGAGAAAAAGGACGTAATGAATGTAGTATATGACTGGACTAAGAATGTAATGAAGCTAAATAAGTATTGTAGTATCCGAAATATTTCTTGATAGTCTAATCCAAGTAATACTTCTGTCATATAAATGCGTTTTAATCCACAAAATAAGCCATAAACGTAATTTACCATTTAATTAATAAAAAGACCCACCCATTCAGTACTAGAAGTATTCTAAATATCCTTTAATTTATGTCTATATTCTAGCAGAATAATTCTATCCAAGGGATTAGTCTAAATAAAAGTGTATTTTAGTCATTCGGGTTATATCGGGTTATATAAGTGGCTGTGAAATTAGAAAAAGAGAGAAAATGTCAACAAAAATAACCTGAAAAACAGACAAAGATATTCAAGTATATGACAAAAATATACCCTTGATAACTATCTACTGTATATCTACTGTCTATTCTAGACTAATTATCTCTTGTCTGGAATATTTCGGGTTATATCGGGTTATACTATGCAATTCTGCTAATAGGACTGAAGGAAGTATACAGAATTGAATACTTTGGTTATTTAGTTCAGTACCTTCCTATTACATTAGAGATAACCCGAGTACTAGTCTAGTACAGATGGGAAATAGACTAGGGAGTGAAATATATATTAATAGAACAGAATAAACCCGATATAACCCAAATTCCTGCAGTATGCAATGCTAGGCTTGTCTAGGTCTGTACCAATTCTTCTGAAATTCACCCTTCGTTGTGTCAACTGGCTGGTTCTCTTTAGAGAAGAAGAATTCTTTAAGTTCTTCAGAGACTTCCCTCTTTAACTTCATCCATTGAGCACGTGTCTCCATCATACTAAGTACTTCATGATTGACTGAATTCTCTTGGAAGAAGCTGATCAGTTGCTTAACCTTCTTCTGTTTGAATTTTTCTTCTTCTCTATTGAACTATGGACACTTTAAAGTATATTTCGTCTTTTTGTCTTTTTCATATACCTCTAGTATAGACTGAGTGACTATTCAATGGGAATATTCAGTCTCTCAGAGAAAAGCAGCAGCATAACCAGAACCATAAATACCCTACTCTTTTGCTAAGTATTCAAGGTAATGGTACAGTGAAGAGGATATCCTAGCTAGTATACCATATATACCAAGGATATTTTTGTAGTAAGAAACTTTTATTCTTCTCTAAGGACATTCTTGACTGCAGTTCAGCAGATTTCTTTAAAGAACTAAATCTGGACGTGTTTCTCATAGAGACAGTCTAACATTGCTGAAATTACTGCATGGTGGATATTCCTACTGTAAATAAAGTAATTCTATGACAGAATTATTCAGTCTATAAACTTCTTTATTTTGGATATTAAAGGCATAGTATGAAATCATCTAGTCATACGCAGAACTATATTCTGCTTAGCACTCATATAAAGGCTGATTGGGTTTCGGGTTATATTTGGATTTCTGTGTGAAAACAAACTAGAAATTAACATTAAAGTACAGCATAAATATAGCACAATACAGTGGTTATAGTAGATGTTTATTGAGGTTTATTCGGGTTATATTGACCATTTAAAGGAAGAATTCTTATTCGGGTTTAATTCGAGTGAATTATGGCTAGATCTAATTTATGCTTAGTTTATAATACTCTTAGTCTAACTATAATTAAATCCATTCTAGTCCATATAACCCGAATAGTACTAGAACTCTATGAAGTAGAACTCTATGAACTAGAACCTGAAAATTATCCAAACTGCAATCTCAAGTATAACCAGTCTTATAAGACGAAGTACAAGCTAAAACTATCTATTCTTAATGAAACTTCATATTTATATGGTATTCCAGTACTAAGTCAATATATTCCCTATAGACATACTCTAATATAAACATAGAACATTTTGTTAATTTATAAAGTAATACATTGCCCTATTCCGTATACTGGAAATGTGTCTTAGTCTCCCATTGAACAACACGTATAATGGATGTGCTGTGGAATGCACAGTATAGAAGACATCCATCCATTCTACCATGCAATTTGTAGCTAGTTTACCCGGGAATATTTCCCGCCTTTTTATTTAAAACTATAAATAAGAAATATTTCTGCAAATAGCAAATGGCAGGAACAGGAAAAGGAAAGAAAGACCCAGCATCAGCAAAGAAAATAAGCAACCACAACAAGCCAGTATTTAAAACAGCACAGCTCCACAGAATGATCAGAGAGAAGACAAAGATGAGAGTCTCTCACAAGGCAATTGTAGCCCTTGGGTCAGTCACAGAGTACACCCTTGGAGAAATAATCGAAGCATCCAAGATGATCTGCGATGAAGAAAACAAGAGAAAGATTGTCTCAAGACACCTTGCAATAGCAATAAGAAAGGATGAAGAGCTTTACTCACTCGGCCGTAACTGGCTCATCAAGGAGGGAGGAGTCTGCCCATCATCCCAGCTCGAATCAAAAACAAAGAGTGACAAAACCAAGGCAGTTTCCCAACAGGAACTCTAAAGGTAATTCATAGTACAGTAAATTACTTAGCAAATCACTATATTACATTATTAATTGTTACTAATATACCATAATGAATGTTTTGTATCGCATGTTACACAGTTATTACAGTTATTTTTATCTATTTATTACTCTACAACTTTAAAGAAGCTTCTTCTTTTTGGCACCAGCCTTCCCGTGCCCACATATATCCTGATATAACCAGAAACCTTCTTGTGCACTACAGGCCCCAGGAGTGCTCGTCCTTTTCAGTGCTGCCCTGGGCCTCTTTATATACAAACTCCTTGTAGATGCCCTTTTGAGCTAGTGCACGCCTTATCTCGCGCAAGTGAGAAAGGGGCTTTTCAGCTGGTTCTGGTGGTGGAGGAAAGTAGATCCACTCACTGGCCCTTTTGCTCTCACTTCTGGCTAGCTTTATGAATCTGGTGTCCCGACTGAGTACCTGACGAATTGAATTCTGCCAATTTGCTGAATTATCTGCACAGATCCCTGGGTAGTGCATCTGCGCGTACTGAAGTACCTCTGCTAGTGTACACATCCCGTGAGCTGACGATTCAATTGATCTAGCAATCAGGGTAGCATATGTGTGTGCTGTATTCCTTGTTCTTGTGCTCCTGACTGCTGTGGGCTGCATACTTACCTATCCAGTATAAATTTATTGAGATTTCATAAGAAGATTTATTCTAAATTTATTCAAGAATAGATGGAAATACAGCACAAGAAGAGAGTCTATTGCTGAGGTATAATGAGAGACAGCATTGCTCAAAATATGCAGAACTTCCTTGCAGAATAGGAAGTTGCACCAAGTGCATTATGGCAGCAGCACACACCAGGAGCACACTGTAATTGCATCTGTATAGAAGACCTCCCAAGATAAGAATGGAAATGTAATAGGATGGAATATAATGGTGAATATATCTGTCTCTTGCAATAAGGAAGTATGGAAGGTAGTTTGACACATAGGCTGTGAGCACAAGAAAGTGAGAAAGTGCCTGGGGAAGTTCTGTTGTAAGAACAAGAATAAGATAAATTACAAGACCAATAGATGCAGAAATAAGCAGAACTGGATTTTGCACTAGAAATATTTCTATGGACCGACTACTCAGCGGATCTGTAAATTCAGAGACAGAACCACTCCATAGGTGTATTATATTCTGCTTATATAACCATGCAGCAGGGAGTGATTTATATGCATGTGAACCTGTTACTGTCTTGTTGCAAAGGTACATTACTTTGTTTGACTCAATAATTCTCTCTATTAGAGAGGATGGCTCTATGGTAGATGAGCATATACGGCTGCTTTTTGTGCTATTTTGAATTGACTCTATACTACTATGGGGGTGAATATTTCTAATGGTTCTTTTAGTGTCTGCTAGAGTACCATGGATGGTGCTGTCTGTCTGCTGGGTGGGTGTTCGCTTTTGCAGTAGAACTACTGGCTGCAGGATGGGTGACCATGTGGCACTTTGCGTCTCTGACAGGTTTAAATATGAACCACTGGGTGATTTAATGGCGATGTGTTTCTTGTACTTTGAGATGTAAAGAACTGATGGCGTATATGAAAGGAATGATGGATCTGTGCTAAGATATAGCCCTGAGGTGTGCTGTATGTACACGGGCATACCATACTCCATTGTTTTCTGTGGTATTATTTTCCACTCTGGCTCTGCACTGGGTACCCTGCTAATTGAGAAGGTTTGGTTGCTTACAGTGAGAAAATGGCTTATTTCTGGGATGGCTATGGTAATAAGCTTGTTTGGTGGTATAGTATCATGAACATATTCTATATACGGGGAGTTAATGAAGGATGCATTATAGGAGAAGGAGTGCCAGTGGATTGTCTTTTCAGATGATCTGTTCTGGACTGAGAAATTTACGATAAAAGTACTTATGTATATTACTATGGAAATAAGAAGGATTATGGTGCCTTGTATAACAGGAAGCAACAGACGCCTTTTCGAAAGTGACTTTTTTTTTGCTGTGATTAAGTCTGTTAAAAGGTATAGAGCAATTGGAGCACCCATTGGAAGAACTGCCCACTTAAATGCAGAGCCAATTCCCAGGGATATGCCCAGAATGACCGACCACTTTATTCCATGAATATAAGCAATCTGTAACTTGTTTGCCGTATGGCTGGTTCTTTTCCTTTCTTCATCTTTTTTTGTATTCATATGCTTCTGTGTGGTATTTTTTATAGAGTTAGTGAGGATGGGTGTAAGTGCAGAATGGTGATCTTTTGGGGATATATTGATCTCTTGTAAGATACCTTTTTGTGACCTGTAGATGCGTTGTAGAAGATACCTTTGTCTGTTCATTTTTAGGAGAGATAGGAGAATAAGACTGATTGATGCTAGAACATAACTGTCTATCATGAATAGACGGAATATACTGAACATAGAGCCATCAAATAGAAGAAGAGTAGAGAACAGAAGGGCACTGCCTTTTGATACGTTGAGTTCTGTGAGTATTTCATGCCCTGCAACAACAGAAATGCATGAAGTAATTGCAGAAGCAGTCCTAAGCATAATGTAGGCACTTGATAGTATTGTATTTGCATATGTCTTTCCTATGGAGACAGATGCTTCATCAAACTCATTTGGTACATTTATATGGCGTAGATAGATCTTTGTGATTCCATAGACTAATAGTCTTCCAAGGGGTGGATGTACATCTACTACTGTTTCTCCTTTTATGTACATTAGAATGAATTTTGCATAGTGATTCTCATCAAAGACAACTGAGCTAGGGTTTGCTATGTTGTATGTCCTAAGAAGAACACTAAGTGCAAAAAGAACTGTTTTATGGGGCACCTTGACTGTCCTGAGCATTTTTATTATGTTTGTTTACTTTTCTATTTGTAAAATAATAAATGAAATGATACAATTCTATATAAATTAACATGTACCAAGAGAAATCTGAAGGCTTTTATTTTTAAAAAATGCAGGCACAGGAAAATAAGAAAAAGATAGATAAGAAATAGAATAGATAAATACTGCTCTAGTCAGAACATGCTGGTGTGTTCTATATTGAGTATTATAATAGAATATGCAATAAGTGTTATATATTGTGGTAAAAATCCCAATTTCTTTTGGTTTGCGTGACTTAGAAAGTATAAAATATGGATATCTATGGGATAATAGCATGAAAGATAAGATATAACCCGAACATAACCTGATATAACCCGAATGCTATTGGTTTTCTTTACCTGAGGACATTGGAATCACTGGGTCAGCAATGTATATTGGTGGTCTTTCAGGGTTTGGCTGTAAGCCAACACATCACCAGGCGCTCTACTTGTTTATTTTGGGTTATATCAAAGTGATTCTAAGTGGCATATATTTGGTTTTTGCTTCTCGAAATATTAGACTTTGTCGTTCTAACTGAAATTTATTTCTCGTTCTCTATTTATAGATCCCTCGTGCAGGGATACCTCCTTGTCTAAACACGTTCACTGTAACAGCTACTAGCAGACTTAGAGTTGGATATGCCTGATAGCCAAAGATCCGGAGGGCAAGGACAGTCATCAACTACTTTCTGACCTGGAGAGATTCAATGTCCTCAAGGCATCCAACACATATATTCGGGTTATCCTTAGGTTCTGGAAAACTTCCATTGAATTACTTTGATATAACCCGAAGACCTATAAATAGACGGCAAGAAATAAATAAAATCTAAATTAGTATGAGTGAGACTAACACTTCAAGAAGAAAAAGCCTGCTACAAATATACAACTATGCTATAAAAGTACTAACTCAAATGAAAAATGCTATTTTAGAAGCAAAGAGCATTTATTCTTCATTTGAATGCATTTATTCCTTTTTAAAGTCTACTCTTGCTGTCTTTTCATGTTAAAGTTATTTTTAGTTATTATACTACGGGGTTAAAGTGAATATTCTAGAGATTTTATTTGGATAGACCTAGAAAGCAAAAGGTCTCAGGATGGGCAATGATTTACTGGGCATAGTAGAGTACATATGAGATAGTAAAATATAACCCGTATCTGGCTACAAAATAGACCAGTCATTCTGTCCTTTTAGAGTATATTTCTTTCTTGGAAAAGACAGAGATAAAAATGCGTATTTATATTGATAGACTATAAATTAAGAGAGTAATAAGTACATGAAAGGCTGCAGTGTGGTTGCATGCTCTTTTGTGGACATCTTTTTCAGTTGAATACTGTCGGTTATTTATGAATTGTTTTGCAGTAAAATTTTATTATGGCATACAGTAAAGGACACCGGAAAGACAAGAAGTCGTTCCATGGAAAAGAAAAACCCCATAGAAATGCACCAACGTACTACAGAGGAGAGAAGCAGCAGACACAAAAGCCAAGAACAAAGCTGACCCGAAATGTTGTAAACAAGACATTCAGAACAGACTCAGAGCTGACTGAGTTCATCCTCACTGAGGGAACATTCAAAGACAGAGTGACCGCCATGGCACTCATCATAATAAAAGAACAAAACAGAAAGGCCCTGGAAGACTTAATCCACATACTGGAGAATACAGAAGGCGGAGACAAGGCGTATTTAGCAATTACGCATGCAGTGAAGGTGGCAGAGTACTACTTGCAGTGCAAGAAGCAGAAATCAGACACACCTGAAAACGAAGAAGAAGACTCATCTGATAGCATAAGTGAAGAAATTAAAGAACTTGATGGAGAGAGTGAGGAAATAAAAGAGACCAAGAAAAAGACAGAAGAGGAAGAGAAAATAGATGAAGATAAGTTCTGCCAATTCATAGAGCACTCTGGGTTTATAAAAAGACTTGTTGCAGCACTTGCAAAACAGTTAGAATTTCCGTTCTTGAAGGAAAAGATAGCAATTCTTATTAAGAGTATGATTGAAGCAGATACACTGAGTGGTCAGATGATTGATATTCTATTGGATGCAGCAGACCATCAGATAGATAAAGAAATAGCAGCCATCTTTACATACATAGTAAGAAATAGAAAGATAAATCTAATCTCTATTCTAAGGGACAAAATAACCCAAACAATTCTATCCCATAAGAACATGAGGAAGGTAAAGTACTTTGTCACCCTAGCCCTTCTCCTGAATAAGTCAGAATGGGTGCAGGAAGACGCAGATTACCACGTATACGTATATCCTCTTATAAAGGGATTCTCGCAGATACTCAAGAAAGTGGCAGAGGAAGTGGATAACCCAGCAGTCAAGTCTAAGTCAGGCCTGGCAGTTGTATCTTCCCTTCTGAAGGGACTGCTGCGGTTCATAAAGTGGCAGAGAACAATTCCATCCCTTAAGAAGAACTACACAGAGGAGATCGTAAAAGACATAGGATATATCTTCTTTAAGATGGCGTACAATGAGAACACAAAGTACTCCCTGCCTGCACTTAACATCCTTGAGACAATCAATGAAACCGAGAAGATTAATTACAGCAGAGTACTTGGGGATACAATCAGAAAGTACATCTACCTAAATGACCTCAGCAGATGCGAAATATTAAACAAGGCAGTGAATGTGCCAGAGAAGGAGGTGCAGACAAAAGTCATACAAAGCGCATACCATGCACCCATTGGCTCAAAGTACCCCCTAGGATGCCAAATGGTCTCCCAGGAGGCTGGGATAGACGTGCAAGGCAGGCTGGGGTACATCCTTCTGACTGACTCCTACGATAAAGAAACCGCAGAATCAGCGGAAATGCTAGTACAAGGCAAGAATATTCCAGTATATAATATATGGTCATAAAACAGCAGCAATTAATAAAGATAATAAATATAGCAGAAATAACGGATATAACAAATATAATGGAAAAAGTAGTTATTAGTGATTGATGTAGTAAGACAACTAGGTACTTGGCACACTTGATATATTTGGATAGACCAGTTACACATGAAATATGTCTAAATATAGCATAGTCCATTTATATCCTATGAATCAACTAGTAGAGTATACTTTAGTACGCATTACTGTGGTAAAACTAGAAATACATGACTCTTTGTGCTGCAAATATTCCTCTCTAGCACAGAAATGCATTATAGACTATAAATATTATTTAAGTTCTGGTTAAGTTGACCTGGTTAAGTTGTCCTGTGATATTTTCACTCTTTACTGCACAGTAGCAGGACAGAGGGACTGGCAGGCAGTATGGACTAGTCTGCCTGTAAAATAATTTATTTTATTTTCACCCATTCTAGTTATACTAGATCACTAAAGACACATAATAAATTGATTTGAATAATATTTGCAGCAGAGTTCTGTTATGGGAAAACTCATTCTCATTTGGCCTGATGTAGTATTTAATTTTTTTGTGCTGTAAAAATTTTAATGGCAACGGAACAAAGCAGAAGATTTCTATTTACATCGGAGTCTGTGGGAAAAGGACACCCAGATAAAATATGCGACCAAATAAGTGACTCAATTGTGGATGCATGCCTTGAGCAGGACAGATTCTCCAGAGTGGCTGTGGATGCAGTCATTAAGTCCGGCATGGTCATGCTGGTTGGTGAGCTCACTACAAGCGCAGTGGTTGACTTTGAGGAAATAGCAAGAGAAGTTCTGCGGGATGCAGGGTACACGCACGAGTGGGGACTAGACCCAGAAGCATGCACTATTCTCACGCACATCACAAAGCAAAGCATGGACATATCAAATGGCCTTGAGCAGACAAATGTGGATAGATGGGACTTAGGAGCAGGAGACCAGGGAATTATGTTTGGATACGCAACAGACGAAACCCCAGAGAGAATGCCCCTAACAGCATCACTAGCACATACACTTGGAAAGGAGCTGGCAGTTCTAAGAAAAACAGTTGCATGGCTGGGACCAGACAGCAAGACACAAGTAACCATGGAGTACGAAGAGAGCGAGAAGGACGGAATATCCGTGCTTGTCCCAATAAGAGTAGACACAATTGTCATATCCACACAGCACAAGGAAGAGGTGGAGACAGAGTACATTAGGGAATTCCTGGTGGAAAATCTAATTAAAAAGGTCGTTGCCCCAGAGCTGCTTGTAAACACAAAGTACGTGCTGCAACCAAGCGGTAAATTTGTGGTTGGTGGGCCAAAGGCAGACTCAGGCCTGACTGGGCGTAAGTTAGTAGTGGACTCATACGGTGGCTGGGGTGCCCACGGAGGAGGTGCATACTCAGGAAAAGACTGGAGCAAAGTTGACAGGACTGGGGCATACGCAGCCAGATGGATTGCTAAGTCTCTTGTTGATGCAGGCCTGTGCAAAAGAGTATTAGTGCAGGTGTCATATGCAATTGGTGTAAGAGACCCAATCTCCTTGTACATCGATACATATGGCTCCTCTTCATTCACAAACCAGAAGATCCTTGCAGTAGTAAAGGAGAACTGGTCCCTGCGCCTGGGTGACATTGTGAAGACCCTGCACCTGGACAGACCCATCTACAGGGCAACCTCTGTCTTCGGACATTTTGGAAGGAGCGAGTTCCCATGGGAGCAGTCAAAGTCTTTAGACATATCCGTCGTATCTGCACAGGAGAATGGAAGATCACATTCCCTAAAGAAATAGACGCACAGTAATCAAAATCAATAAAGATATTAACAAAACAGAGTTTACATAAATCTGAGCAGGTTCATGACAACCATGCTATGCATAATACTTCTACTATACTTCTATTAAAACATTTCTACTATATTACAATAGAATATACTGGGAATAAAATAATATGCGTTTTGAATATTCTGGTTATATTCTAATTCGGGTTATTCGGGTTATTGTTATATTCTGGATATGGGTACTTTCTAAAGATCTTTTGTAGAATTCCCTTGGAGAGTGCAGAAATAATAGCAGGATGCAGGGCATTTAATATATAGATAGTTCGGATAGATCATGACATGCATTTATTTATGAGATTTAATCCCAGGACAGATTCTTTTGAATTTCTATCTTTTCGTTAAGAACAGGTGCCTCCTTCCTCTTTATTTCCTGGGTCTCAGTAAAGTGCTGGCCGCTGTCGTCCTTTTTCTTGTTGAAGCTGCCTCCAGAGAAAGACTTTCCTCCTCGCCCTCCTTTTGAGCTCTTGGCTTGTGCCATGTCCTGGAGGAACTTTGGCACCTCTTGGTTTGCCTTCTGCAGTATTTCTATTAGGCTTGCTGCCTGTGGCTGGTCATCCCATGTGAAGAAAGTAATCGATCTGCCTGTCTTCCCTGCCCTTCCTGTTCTGCCAATTCTGTGGATGTACTCCTTCACATCAGCTGGCATCATGTAATTAACCACGAGCACAATTCCAGGGACATCTAGGCCACGTGCTGCAACTGAGGTGGCAATGAGGATTGGCATTGTGTCCTTAAAGTCAGACAGTGCAAACTCTCTTTCCGCCTGCTTCTTGTCCCCGTGCAGAGTTGTGCAGAGGATCCCACGGGAGTGCAAGTAGTCTGATAGAGTTGTGCAATCTTCCTTCTTTTCAACAAAAATAACGATCTTCTGGGTGCTGGTCTCTTTTTCCTTTTCTTTCTTTTTGACGGGCTCCTTGGTCTTATTTCCCCACTGCATGAGTGCTGCTGGACTGCGGGGAGCAAAGAACGCCTTCTGCTCTACAGCTGCACTTGGTGTGTACCCGTACTCCAAAAGTATCTTCATGAGTCTTTCGTTTCTCTCTGTGTGCTTCTTGCTGTGTCCTTCGATCTGGATTATTTCCTGCATGATATTCTCTATTGGGCCGTTCCCTATGTGCACCTCCTCTGGAGCCTGCTGGAAGAACTCCTGTGCTAGTTTTCTTACAACAGGAGGGAATGTGGCTGAGAACATCATAGTCTGTCTCTTTTGGTTACGATCCAGCCTGGCAAGTATTCCTCGAATCTGCTTCTCAAATCCCATGTCCAGCATTCTATCAGCCTCGTCAAATATAAGCACCTGTATGTTTGAAAGATTTAAAAGGTCACCAGGATAGTTAAGGTAGTCTTGGATTCTGCCAGGTGTTCCAATCAGAAGATCCACTCCATTGATAATTGAGGGAATCTGTTCCTTCTTTGGGACTCCTCCGTAGGCACAGGCACATGTAATGGGAAGTCCGTTCATAAGGGCTACACTGTCATTATATATCTGGATGGCAAGTTCTCTAGTGGGAACAAGTATAAGTGCAAGTGTTGGCTTTTTGACTCGCTGGAACCTTCTCTCTCCAGAGAATGATTTAGTTTTTTTGGCAAAGTTGCCGACCGTTGAATAGAGGAAGTTCAGCGTAGGCACCAAAAAGGAAATTGTTTTCCCCATGCCGGTTGGGGCAGAGATCAAAAGATCCCTTGCATGCAGTGCCAGAGGCATAACATATCTCTGTACAAGAGTGGGCGTGGTTATTTTGTTCTCCTTCATATTTTCAAGTATCTTGCTTGCAATAAGCTGGCCTTTAAAGGAGGACATTGGTGTTACTTTGTCTTTTGTCTTTGTACGGACTCCGTTTTCCTCGGACTCCAAGAAATTCTCCTTCTGCCTGTTCATGCTAGGCGGAATGTAGTTATTGGTTTCTGTCATAAGAAGCTGCAAATTTTTTTATAATCTACTTGGCTTGAAAATCCGCGCATTAGTTAAAAACCCATCACTGGAGGAAATTATCAGGGAAAGGCTGTCCTTTCTGTCGTATATTGTTTTAATATCTGTAATTGGGAGAAAAGTGCAGTCTTTTACCCTTAAAACCAGCTGCAGTGTCTTTGAGTTAAAAATGTATAAATGCCTGCCCTCTGACACAACAAGGTAGTCTGCAGTAGAGAGGGTGCAGACTGTGGAGGTCGTAAAGGGGCTGATTGCATTTGTAATTAAGTAGTCTGGTGGGGCCAGAATGTAAACCACATGTTTTCCTTCATGTGTGGCAGATGGCAGGTACAGATGGCCGTCCTGCGAAAAAGATATTCTTCGGAAGAAGAAATTGTGCTTGTCTGTTATAAGGGACTTCTTAGATACTTTTCGAAGCAGTTTGCCTGACTCTGTGAATATTTTCAGCACACGATCATTTCCAATTGTGGCATATACGTCCTCAGTGCATGCAACCCCCTGGATCACGTCTTTGTGCTGTCTCTTGGATGAAATGCACTTTGATGTGATGTTTGTGGTGTACTCCTCAATTATTCTCAGTTTAATCTTCTGGGCTGGTTTCTCTGTCTTTGTTTGTGCACTGTTTACGGGTACGCTTTCATTCGGGTGACTATTCTCGCTCTGGGTGGACTCTTGTGGGGTTTCGCTTAATTTCTGAGAGGCCTGGGGTGAATCACTTGCCTTCTCCACTCTAGTAGGCTCCTGTGAGCAGCTGTCTTCTTGCAGTGCATCTGGTGATTTACTGGATATCCTGTACTGTTCAATCCGCCCTGTTGATGTCCCAACAAGAATTCTGTCCTTCAGCCATTTTACTTCGTATATATCTGTATTATCTGTCTCTCTTATGACTATTGGCTGGCCAGAGTACTTTTTATCTTCTTCCCCTGGGGTACTCTGCAGGATGCTTTGCATCTCCCACAGGAAAACTGCTCCTTTGTCTCCTCCGGACAGCAAATACTTCCCATCTTTACTGAACTGTACGCTATTAACACTTCCCTGGTGCTTATTCAGTGTAAACAAGTGCGTCACTGTGCACCCATCAGACATGGCTGTTTTGTACTCAAATGGGTCTCTTGGGGGATCTGCCTCGTATATATACTCCCAGAGACGAATTGCCTTATCCCCGCCTGCTGTCGCTAGTATTGTCTTTCCTTCTCTTTCCATTACATCAACGGAAAATATTGCTGCATCTTCGTGAAACTGCAAGTTTAACTTGACAAGAGAACATCTTTCCTCCATGTCTTTAAAAAATCTCAGCAATTTAAATTATTCAGAAACCGTAGTGAGTAATTGTGCTTTATTCAGTGTTTTCTGCAGAATTCAGATACTTCCATCTATGTTTATATCAATATCCTGGGATGCACCTTGCTAAGGAGTGTTATTCTTGGGGTTATCTGTGGAAGAGTCTTTATTTCTTACAGACTGTGTTGTAATTTCAATCTCAAATGACCCGCATTCTGTACAGCCCAGGAGTATTAGAACAAGAACAAAAGCTTTACTTATTTGCATTGTATTATTTGTTAATTGTCGATACTTATGTAATTCTTATTTGTTTGGGAGTGCGAATATCAGCATAAATAATAGTAGAATACTATACAATGCGCGTAGTAGCCACTTAGGCCATATTTATCTATTAATTCAACAATCTATCCTGTATAACCGTAAATTTAATACTCAAGAAAAACACACAAGAAAAACACACAAGAAAAACTCATCTATTTCAATCTTCTTAGTGGCACTCTGCATATAATTTGGGTTATATCGGGTTATGTCGGGTATATTGTGTTCATGCTGTATCTATGCCAAGCTAAAATAAAAATGCACAAATTCTCAACAGAAATATTGTTCTGTAATGCGTATATGTAAATAATTTTATATGCAAGAGTGTATATCTGTGGGTTATTGTGTATATCTTGTGGGTTATTAATTAGCTGCTTTAAGTATTTTCATTCTGCTGGCTGGGTAGGTAATGGTTTAGTTTTCTACTATTTATATATTTTGCATTTGCAGAAAAGCTTTATGACTCTAGAGATATTTAAAATGCTAAAAGTAGGAAAGGACTGCACAGAAAAACATGAAATGTACTTTGGGCAAAGAACTAACCCAGAGGTTCAGAAATACGAAGATATCTTTCACCAATTAAACCTTAGATTCACTGCAAACAAAAGTCTTTGGGAGGAGTGGCTTAAAATCAACGATGTCCAAGAGAAAGAAGACATGGAGTGCGAGTATATTAAGTCTTTGATCATATTCGCGAACAGCAAAAAACTAAGAAAAGCATGGAATGCAGTGCTTTCAACACATAATATAGATACAAGCCAGACAATTTCCAAAAAGCAGGAGACAAAAGAAGACATAGCAATGAATTTAATGAATTACAGTAGAGTAAAGAAAGCATTAAAACACCAGAGATCCATGCAATGCAACATATTAAGAGAAATAGACGTAAAAGTAAAGGAAATGAAGGCAGAGATTAACAAAATAATTGAAGAAAGATTGGAGACATTTGCACGCTTTATAGAGGAAGATAAGAAAATAGACAGTAAATTAAAGGAGTACACAGATACTATACCAAAAAACACAGATACTTTGAAGAGGTCTTGTTTAATAGGGAGCAAAAAACAAGAACTCCTTGAAGACACCTGCAATGACCAAGAACTCACAAAGTGGTTAGGTGAGAAGGTGGAAGAAATAGAAAAAATGGAGAATTCAGACAAGATGCAAGATATAATTGAAAAAGTAATGAAGTTAGATCTTACCAGTGCCATTATATAGTCAACCCATAAGCTATTAGTTTGAAGTCAGTCTGCATGAAGAGTATTCTAATTTCAGCATAAATCTATCCGCATAAATTCAGATTATTTTTCTCATTTCAAGTTGAAATAAACTAATAAGTCACTTTATTACAGCATAAGAAAATACAAAAATGAAAGAAACAAGGCATAAAATAAAATAGAACTCTTTTAAGACAAAATATATTTATTCTGGAGAATTCTTTCTACTTAAAGACTGCAAGATTCATACTGCTGCAGACTAGGCATATGATAATTCTGTTACTTGCAGATCTGCTGCTACTCTACCATAAATTTCTTTGCTAGGGGAAATAATTCACTTTTAAGGGGGTTTCTGGACAGAATACGCAGTCTTCTGATAAAGCACTCTTTATTATGCATGCGCAGACTAGAACAAGTGCATTTTTACTTCAAGCGATTAGATAATTATTTAACTGCCTATTTTATTCATTTGTGCTTGGCTGTGCTTGGGTGCCTTGAGAGCTGGTGTGTGTACGGGCAAATAATTTGGCAAACTCAGTGCCTGCAAGAATCTTCTGGCAAAGATCAAATTGCTCTGCCTTGTACGCGCCTGCCAGGGCCACCAGGTTCTTGCCTGCAGCTGCTGCCCTGTGCGCGGCTGTAGAGATGTCCTTGGATGATCCTGCAAGGCATGCCAGAAGAACTTCATCCTCTGGGGACCCGCCCTTCTGGGCGCATCTAAGGGCTGCCTCTACTCTTCCTGCACGCGCAAAGAGGCTGCTCATTCGAGTGCACTTTGCCTCCGTGTCTGCCAGTTCCTCTGCTTCTTCTAGCCGGCCCATTTGTATGAGAAGCTCAAACTTCTCGTCTGCATCATCTGCCAGAGCATATGCCTCCTCAAGCATATGCAGACTGACCAGAAAGTGTATGCACTCTCGCAAGTGTCCTTCTGGCACAGGCCTCTTCTCCCCAAGCAAAATGCCTTCTTGCCAGGATATCACCTCTCTTGGGATATCCTCCATGCATATGCGCCCAGACTCCTTTATCAAGTACCACAGTGCATCCCCGCACGCACCAAGAAGAGTCCCAGTGACTCCCATCAAAGCAATTGCATGCATTTTATTTGCTGCTTTCTGGAGGTTGCCTTGCTTAGGCAGGGTTATTATAGAATAGATCACCTGCCCTCCTGTCTGTATGAACAGAAGGTTCTCCTGTGTGCACCAACTGACAACTTTGCAGGAAAGTGTGCTAATTACACTTCCATCTGCTGAGATAATATCGACCCTCTCTGGGTAGAAGAGAGCATAGACAGACTTATACTTGTGCACGCCTATACACCCTGGGATATCAAGAATATCTACAGCCGTTGTATCAGTCTGGCTTACAGAGATAATTCTAGCAACAGGATCAGATTCCTCTGCTGCAGATCTAATGAAATATTCTGTTTTGGAGACACCTTCAACAGAGACTGCACGCACTCCAGGCACACTTATTGTTCTGTCAGCCTCAAAGTCTGTGTATACAACTAGATTCCCTGCATGGACCACAATGAAGGACTCAGGCCCTGTCCACACAAGCGATGTCCCTGGGACGGATATCTGCAGAAGAAACCCAAGAACTGTGTACACAGAGACTGTTCCATCAGACTCAACAGAAACATACCGGCCACTTTCCGAGATAGACACTCTGTCTGGCAGAAAAGAGAGTGATGACACGACTCTGGGGTTATTTGGGGCAGAGAGTTTTATCTGTGTGATTTGCGTGTTCTCTGCAAGTATCACTCTTCCATCGATCTTATCCCTGGCAGTGAATGCGTAAAGTGTTCTGCTTTGCGCATGCTTAATGAAGGCAATTCCTGAGTCACCCCCAGCCAGTATGTCTCCAGACCGTGTGGTGGCTGTGCTCCAGACCCTTTGCACTGTAGCAGGTGTTACTGTCTCTGGCCTAAACCTCTTTGTACTCCATTCCTTAACCAGCCCGTCTTCACCTGCTGTTATAAACCCGTGCGGGGTCTGTGTTATTGAAGTGACAGGCCCTGTGTGCCCAGATACACTAGTTATCAGAGTGTATGCAGATGCATCCCAGACATGTATCTTCCCATCATCACCTGCACCTATGATGTACTTGTCTGTAACTGCCATAACTGCATTCAATCCTGTTTTAGTCGCTTTACTTAGGGTTTTAATGGGTGTACCTGTCTCAATGTTCCATGCAATAATTGCGTGGTCTAGTGAGCACGAGTACAGAATCTTGTTGTCCTTTGAAGAAAAGTCCAGGCCCATGACAAAGTGCGTGTGCCCAGAGAGTGTTTTAATCAGAGTTATATCCTGGGAGTAGTCCCATATCTTGATTGTTGTGTCGTCTGATGCAGTTGCCAGGTACGGAAGGACTGGGTGCACTGCAATATATCTTATGAAGTCAGTGTGTGCTGTCACCTGGCACTTTAGCTTAAATGTGTCTATGCAATAAATTCTGACTATTCCATCGTCAGCCCCAATTGCAAAGCACTCAGAGTCCTCAATAAAGGCAGCTGCTCTAATGGGTATTTCACCAATACTTCCTGACTTAATCATAGACATGCTAATTGTATTCCACATTTCAAATTCTCCATTGTAAAGGACCACCAAAGAAAGGGGTTCTTTTCTATGCGAGACAACTTGTTTTACACGCGCCTTCTCAAATCTGCCTGCTATCCTGTCTTTCATGAAATAAAATAATAATAAATGGCTAATAAATAGGATAAGAATAATAAATTATTAAAAGCCCTTGAGTTTTATGATGCATACAGCCAGTGCATTGTAGGATACTTGTGCATTGCAGAATAAAAGTACCTGTGGCTGGATTAAATATGTATAGTTTATGTGGTAATATTCCCTTTATGGTGTAAATACGTCTAGTTTATGTGGTAAATATTGTGTAGTTTATGGAGTAAATGTGTCTAGTTTATGTGGTAAATATGTCTAGTTTATGTGGTAAATTCATGAAGAATGACTGTTCTCTAGAAGATAAATATATTCTCTAAGTGAGTAAATATTCTCTAGAAGTAAGGAGAAGATAAATATATTCTATAAGGTGAAGACTAATGTAATGTATTTATTAACTATGCAAAGAACTGTTCTAAAAATGAGATATTCCGGACGGCTGCAAAGAGAGAATGCGCAATCTCTAAGGCAATCACAAATGTTTCCATGGTATAAGGCACATCGTCAGCCAGAAGGTTTGGGGCTACTATGTTCACTATGCCTTGGTAGGAGACTGCATTTTTCTCGCTGTGTTTTGCAGCCTGCTCAATTGTGTACACCGCGTGCTTTAGGAGCCAAAGAACATTAGATCCCATTGTAGGAAGCATAAGAAGACCTAGGCCATAGTCAATCTTCTCTGCAGGAACTTTGTTTGCTCTCTCAGCAACTGCAACGTAAAGGTACTTGGAGATAATTCCTCCGTTGTAGTTTCTGATGTACCGGTTGAATACCATGGAGAGTGCTCTGAGCTCATCTGGGTTGCTCTTCACAGCCTCATAGTCAATGGGCTCTTCCCTGTCAATCCATGCAGCATATTTCTCTTTTACATCAACTGTCTCTGGCTGCTTTCTGTATACGTATCCTGGGGTGTACTGCATCAAATCAACAAGGGCCTTTGACACGTTCAGGAATCCGTGTGAAACCCTTTGCGACGAGTTCTTTGTGAATACAACCTCGTCCTGCATTTCCTTCCTCCGGGCATCTTCCCACTCAGACAGCTCTTCTTCAACTGAAAGCAGAGGCACGGGCGCGTAGAAAAACTCTTCAAATGTCTTTGATATTTTTCTGAGAAGCTTCTTGATTCCCTTTAGCTTTGGCACCTGGCGAGACTGCAGTATTGCCTCTCTTTTCTTGGCTTTCTCAGTTGCGATTAGTTTTTCAATTGTTTGCTCCTTTAATGTGTCCATATACTTCGTTACAATTACATCATCCTTCACATGCATGAGTATCTCGCTTGACTCCCGGGCATTCATCATTTCAGAGTATGCATCCCTAAACATACTGCGCCTGCACACACGGATCTCTTCCTTTGCGAGTACATCCGTAAACTCCCTGTCGTAGAGCTTCTTTACTTTGTTGTAGATGTGCGGTGTGTTCTTGAAAAGGTTTTTCAAATGGTCGGGTACATTCCGGGTGTAGAAGCTTGCGTACTTCAGACCGCCAAAATACTGCCGAAGTTCTTCCATGCGCTGCTGTCTCTTCTGAGACTCCTCCTGGATATCCAGAGGGGCAGAAAGCCTTTGCAAGTGCATGTCTTCTTTCTCTACGGTGTGTACGTGGCATCTGGAGTCAGAGCAGGGACTTTCCTTTGGGACTTGTCCTACGCTCACGGTGAGTGTTGCACTTGAGGCAGGCGAGCCCCCTAGCTCTTTCTTCTTTGCACTAGTCTCACTGCCGCCAGCACGAATGAGGGATGGGCTTGATTTCAGAGGAGTGTCTGCAGTAATTTCCACTGAAGCAATTTTTGATGCAGGATTAGCACTATCTTTGCTGTTAGAAATATCAATCTTGTTGACTTTTTCTTCCTCAGCTCCCTCATTTATGCTTGGGGGATTTCTGCACGTGCTGTTGCTTCTTGCATTATGGGGGGCTATGCGAGAAGCAGCTCGTGCACCGTGGAAAGTGCTTAAATGAAGCTCTTCATGGTATATGGAGCTGGTGTAGGTGCACTCTGCTGTAAGTCCGTCTTTGTGCACAGTGTCTCTGGGTGCTGCAAAGTATAGGGCTGATGGGGCGGGCGTACTAGTGCTTTCTATTGCAGGAATAATTTTCTCCCAAGTTGCTGTGCACTCTTCTACAAGCTTGTCAATTTGTGCTTCCTGCTGCTGTGTGCATCTGTGCCCTTTGACTGCCTCGCTGCCCAGAATTATCTGCGTGATCATCTGGGCCTCTAGGCTGGCAATGTTTCTGTCTCTTTCTTCGCTCTTTGGCAGTGCACTTTCTGTGCGAATTTCTTCTGAAATTCTGCATGTCTCCTTTAGAATTTCTTCTGCCTTCTCTCTCTCCATTTCTGGCAGGCTGCTGGTTTCCTGGATCTCCATGTCCAGGAGCTCATGGAAGGCAGACAGGTCCTTCTTGCATGTCCCTAGCTCTGTCAGCACATTCATTACTCCCTGGATTAGAGGAGCATACATATATATCTTCCCAGACTTAAGTATTTTTCGAATAGGATAGTTTCTTAGGTCAGTGCATACCATGCGCACTGCATTCTCAAAGTAGATTTTTCTGCGTATTCTAAGGCTTCCCACCACTCCCCCGCCAATCAGCAGAGGCGGCGAGTAGTCTCTGCAGGCTTTGTCTATTAGAAGCACAAATAAAACTTCGTCAATAGAGGAAGGGGTAGTTCCTGTGCGGCCAATGGTTCGGGTGTACAACTCCCGAATAAGTGCCCAGACATCTGTGTTCTGTCCTGTAAGAATGCTGTTCTTGCTTTGGTACACCGCATAGTGAAACTCCTTCAGAATATCATAGTACTCCATGTCCTGGATGGAAGTGCTTATGTCTCCTGTGTTTCTGAATAGTCTCATTGGCCAGTGCGTGATAGATTGTGCTGATTTTCTTCCTATCTGCACATCTGTATTATTTCCAGTTGTTTTCTTTTCTACGCCAAATACATTATTCATAAGATTTTCGAAAAAATCTCCATTTAAATCTCCAATTAAAGCATGCGCCTTATTCCTGAGGACCTCGTGTATGAAGCGGTACTGTTTCTCTCCTTTGCGAGTTCTTCCTGCAGGGAGGCCCAGAAAGTATGCGCGCATTTCCTTTGCCAGATGCCCAAGCACAAAGACCTTTGTCTTTTTGTGCTCCCTTGAGCCTTCAAAGCTCTGCAATACGGCTGCGTCTATTTTTTCGTGCAGTGGCTGGATGCTCGCTCTTACACTTCTCAGATGCGCTACGCCCTTGCATAGGCATGCAAATGGCCTACTGAGTGTGTTGAAGATTGAGATTACCACGTCCACGTCCCTTGGGGCTGCCAAAGTTTTACTCATATCCAAACATTTCTAGCTATATTTATGCTTTAATTATGGCGCACTTTACCGCATTAAGAAAAGACTCTTCAGACCCTTAATTAAATAATTAATATGATCAATATGAGTTATATATACCTGAAATAGGCACGCCCAGATTTTCTCCAAAATATTAATTAATTCCAGGCAGAAGGCATGCATGAACAGCAGAGACTCTAATTAGTACAGGATTAAGTGATATGAACTCCATCAAATTCTAGTTATACCAGGCTATAAAAAGCCAGTGCACACCATGCCTATATAATCCGATATAACCCGAACCCAAAAAGGCTCTGAAATGGACTAAACAGCAGGATACGGAAATAATTGCGTATATGCATGACTGCATACAGCAGCCTGCAAAACGCCTTTACTGTATAGATATGTATATAGATAAGGACTCTGACTGCAAAGAACCATAGTATCTTTGATTTGTCTATGTCTTTGCTAATTAACTTTCTTACTTTCATGTGTGTTTATTTATTGCTCTCTTGGCCCCCGGATTATATTATAATTTCCTGGGCATGGATGAAGTACTCCAATTGCACACAAATCCTTTGCTATCTCCACCATAACCACTTTGTCCGGTGTTTTCAAATCTACCTTCCTGGGGATGCTTTCTGCTACTTTTGCTATAATAAACTCGCTGCTTATGTGTGCGCACAGTCTTTTTGACAGACTGATTCTAAAAGACTCCTGTGTTCCAATTAGCTCGCATGACTCCTTTGCTGCTTTTACTAGATTCTCCACAGAGAGTGTGAAGATGGAGTGCACTGGAATAATCCTTCGGACATACTCTGCACGCTGTGTGTGTGTTATCAGTGCGTTGTATATGCTTATTTCTGTGTAATTTGTGTCATTTCGTATGAAAAGTATATCGGAGTCTCTTCGTCCCCCAAGAACTGTAAACTCAGACTTTTTTGCTTCTGCTCTTTCTCTTTGCAGGTCCTCCCGGATTCCTCCCGCAGAACTAGCAATCTCAGCAGGACCCTCCAAATGGAATGCTGCCATTTTCAGCATCATCAAGACCTCTCTCATCCCGTTCTGTCTGCCGCCATCCACGCACGTTACAACAAACCCGCCCATAAAAACGATATAAAAATATTCAGAAGGAAAAGAGACAGAAAACGTCCGGAAGACCTCTCATAAACTATTTTAAAAAAATATCGAGTGAGAAAAATAAAACACAGCGAATAAACCAAAGACCAGGCCATGTGCCATAACCCGAATTGTAAACTTAGTCCACTCTACTCTACTATTAGATAATAATACTTTGCATATTCAGTTTAATTTACTGTGATCTTACTCCTTTAAATTATCAAATATAGTGATAAAGCAGTAGAATATATTTCGGGTTATATCGGGTTCTTGTAACATTCGGGTTATATCACATCTTTCTAGTCACGCATACTTACTATAGTGCCATTTAAAATAGTCCAAATAAAGGCCTTTAAAGTATGCTCTGATAGATAAACTTGTTCTTCTCTGAGAGAATGTATTTTCAATAATCTGCTGTCTTAATATACAGTCTCTTAGTACATAAATAAGTGGCACTTTCATATGATACTAAAATACTTTCAGTTATTCTTATGAAATTCTGTTATTTTTCAGTGCATTCATATAACAGAAATATATCTTATAGATAAGATTATCTGAATTTTAGTTCTCTAAAGGATCTTAAGCTTAAATATAACCTGACACACTCATTTCTGCACAAAATTCTAAATATGCTCTATCACTGTACTATATGCTCTATTACAGTACTAGTATGCAATTTGAACTTTTTCACTTTTTAGTTTTGCAGTGCCACTGTACGCCAGGCAGTCTCTACTATGGGGCGTTAAAAGAAAAAACAAACGCAAATTTTTACAATGGGAAAAGTTGGACCAGCAAGAAAACAGAAAGTCGGAAAGGCCCGTCTGGATAAATACTACTTCCTGGCAAAGGAACACGGGTACAGAGCCCGTTCTGCCTTTAAGCTAATACAGCTAAACCAGTCATTCAATCTTCTCTCAAACATACACACAGCTGTTGATTTATGTGCAGCTCCGGGTGGATGGCTGCAGGTCCTCTCAAAGACTGTGCGCCCACCCAGCAAGATTGTTGGAGTGGATCTTGACCCAATCAAGGCAATCCACGGGGTACACACCATCCAGGGAGACATAACAGACAAGCACTGCGTGTCAGATATAATGTCAGCAGTTGGAGAGACTGAGATAGATCTTGTGCTGCACGATGGAGCACCAAATGTAGGAGCATCCTGGGAGAGAGACTCGTACGTCCAGAATGAGCTGGTCTGTCATGCAGCCAAGCTGGCCTGCAAGATACTCCGCAAGAACGGCACATTTGTGACAAAAGTGTTCAGATCAAAGGACTTCAACTCGCTTGTGTGGATGTGCAGTCAGTTATTCACTGAGTGCATTACAACAAAGCCACGTAGCAGTAGAGATGAAAGTGCAGAGGCATTCCTTGTATGCAGAGGATACAAGAAGCCAGAGTCCCTTGACGAGAGATTCTTTGACCCTCTGTTTTTATTCGCAGAGAAGGATGAAGTGGTTGCTGCAGAGAACAATCTCTCTTCTATACTTGGAGACAGAATAGACCTGACACACTGCACAAAGGTAAACATCGACTGCATGAAGGACATGATTGACGAGGAGACTGCTATTCTTCTGTCAGATCTGCAGGTGGTGGGAGAGGCTGACCGAAGAAGGCTTGTCCGTACGCTGAAGAAAATACAGAAGGCATACATTGGCGTGCACGGAAAGAACTCACCAGAAGAGGTGCAGGATCTGCGAACACCTGCAGAAAGACAGGAGGCAGAGCTGCAGAGCGTGCGCAGAGCCATGGACAGAAGAGAGAAGATCCTCCAGAGAAAGATACTTGCAAAGAGAACAAAGAGTCTGGGCCTCACAGAGCAGGATATTGAGGAAATTGAGAAAGTTCATGGAGACTTCTTTGAGGACAATATATTCGATAGAGATGAGGACTCGGAGGAAGAGGAAGAAGAGCCAGAGATAGAGTCTGACGTAAAGCTAGAGGATGCTGAAGAAGATCAGACTGACAGCGAGGCAGACTCTTGCTCGTCCTCTCTTGAGATAGAAGACAAAGTCTGCGGGTACAGACTCCGTAAAGACGAAGATGAATTTGATGGAATTGACAGATACGTCTACGATGACGATGAAAACCTCCCACACTTCTTCAAAAATGACGAAGCAAAGTACAACAAGAGATACGTATTCGACGAGAAGAGGGATGACCTGGAGCGTAAGGTAACTGTCTCCAAGAAGCTTGAGGAGATGAAGGCCCGTCGTATGCGAAGAGTTGAGAGAAAGCTTAAGAAGATCAAGGAAAGATTGGAGGAAGGCTGCGAGGATGTCGACCTCAGGTCTATCAGAAAGAGCGCCATGAAGAAGGAGAAAAGAGAGAAGCCCAAGATTGTGTTTGCAGGCCCAAGCAAGACCGTTGCAAAGGGAATTAAAGGCAGATTCAAAATGACCGACAGGCGTATGAAAAAGGACAAAGCAGGTCTCAAGCGAGCAGAAGAAAGAAAGAAGGGAAAGGGTGGAAGAAAGTAGTCACAGGCCCAGAAAGAATAATATAGCCTAAATAGAGATCAAATAGCCTCCTTATATTCCTTACTTCTATGAATAAAACTATTTAAGATTTCTTCTTTTCAGATCTACCCACTGCACTCTCTGCAGTCCTTCTATTGCAAACTTGCCTCTGTCTTTTTGTGAAAATCAAGAATTATAAGACTAATTAATTTTTGTCCTGCAATTTATGCAGTCTCTTGAAGTATCTATGTCCTTTTCGCATAAATGGTACAGCAGGATGACAATTTCCTTCAGTTTATAAATCTGTTATAAGACTCTTTTATTTTTATTCACTATGTCACGCTTTGTTGAAGAGTTGGAGTTTGTGCAGTGCCTGTGTAATCCGCAGTATCTGCAGTACTTGTACCAGCAGGGATACTTCTCTAGGCCTGACTTTATGGAGTATCTTGCATACCTGCAGTACTGGAAAAGGCCTGAATATGCTAAGTATCTGTTCTTCCCGCAGGCCTTGAATATTCTGCATCTTTTGGTGACTTCAAAGGAGTTTGTGGATGCACTGAAGTACAAGCAAGTAGTAGAGCTAATTGCATCACAGCAGTACTTCCAGTGGAAGAACAGAAGATAGCCCGAATTTATTCTAGCCTCCTCTTAAGGCAAGCACCAAGTGCAGTACGTCATTGTTTTGTATACTGTATGTCTCCAAGGTGTTTGCATCTACTAATTGCTTGCCCCCATAGATCAATCTCTGCTGCTCTACTGAGATTGCCTCTTTTTCCTGCAGGAGCTCCTTGATATTTCTTATCTTCATTGACTTGTCTACCTCCAGCTGCACCTCAGTTCCCTCAAGTGTTTTAATCTTTATGTGCATACAGAAAATAAAATTCCTGTGAATGAACAAATGGAAAAGAATCTGGATATTAAGAAATTTAAGAAATAAGATGCATCTGCATGTTCGTATATTAGGCTAGAATGGCTTAGTGCCATGTTATACAGCCGGAAATACAGAAGAATATCACTTAACACAATCAGATGGGTTTGTGTACAGGATGCAAAGAGAAAGCTGAATAGAATGTGAGATTATTTATTTCTTTCCATATAGGCACTTCTCTGTGCAATTTATACTTGCAGAAATTGTTTATATAGTGTTATATTATATGCTAATTTTAAACTTGAAATATGATGTGCTTTGGATATGGTATATTAATTGACTACTACGCATCAATTGATCTATTATGTGTGCATGTAATATTTCCATCCATTGGATATATCTGACATTTATAAGTTGCTGCACAGGAGATATTTAGAGTCTATACTGGTAATAGAACCAATCTATGCAGCTGTCGTAGTATTTGTATAGTCTGAATGGTCTTTTTTGGACTAGTACAGGGGATGCGGGTGTAACAGGAGAGAAATTAACCCGGGGTATAGTGAAAATATCAGGAGAATGGTAAATATGTGCACTCTATAACGAATATCGGGGAAATGGCAATTTATAAAACAGGGGATATTTTCCCCAAAAAAAGGAGATTATCTCTCCTGGTCATCTATATAAGCATCTGAGAATAAAAGAAATATGGGTAAAACATTCAGAAAAGCAAAAACATCAAACAAGAACTATCAATTCAAGGAGCACAAGAATCCAATGGCAAAGCCAGTGCAGTCAATAAAGCTACCCGGATCACCAAGCATGCGCAGTGAAAGAGACACCAGCAGAACAAGCATTCGCACAGGTGTACCGCCAATCGGAACAATGGGGCGCGTAACCACTAGGCCCATTGAAGAAATAACACTTGACAATGCGCAGAATGACCAGGAAGTGAAACTTGCCCTGGGCGTAATAAACAAGTCAATGAATAAGATAAAAGAGGCACAGAAAACAAAGAAGTACAAGACATGGACAGCTGAGGATGCAGATTATACCCTGCCAATTGATCCAAGCAAGCAGACTGCAGAATTCAGCGATGTTTCAGAAGAAGAAGAGATGCCAGCAAAAATGAACTCTTTAAGTGAACAATCACTTGGATCTACCAGATCTAGTGGATGGAAAGACTTCCCTACAAAGGACATGCCTGTTGTGGCACCATCTGGCGAGAAGTCAGTCCACAAGAGCCTTCAGAGTATGAGCTTGAATAAATCCGAGTCTACACGGGCATCTGGGTGGAAGGACTTCCCTACAAAGACCATGCCGGTTGTTTCACCTTCTGGTGCCAAACCAGCTTCTTCATCTTTCGGTGCTAGGCCAGCTTCTTCATCTTTCGGTGCTAAGCCAGCCTCTTCATCTTTCGGTGCTAAGCCAGCTTCTTCATCTTTCGGTGCTAGGCCAGCTTCTTCATCCTTTGGTGCTAAGCCAGTTGACAGAAGTCTCCAAAGCACAGGCAGACAGCCCCTCTTCAGCAAGACAGAGAAGCAGCAGGCCAGAGAAAAGATTAAGAAAGAGCTCCTTGGGTACGCAGAAAAGGACTCTGAAAACCCAACGCTTCGCAAGATGCTTACAACACCTGCACATCTGCGCCACGGCAGGAGACAGTATGCAGCAGCACCTCTAAGCAAAACCCGCTCTGAGCAGCTTCCACCCAAGAAGTTTGGAGAGCAGGCACAGAATAGAATGCAAAGCACAGATAAAAGCAAGCCCCAGCAGACTTATAAGAGCAAGGATGTGACAGGCTACAGCAAAGTTGATCCAAACACAAACAGCAGAGCCACTTACTTCAGCATACTCAAGACCCCACTGAGCAGCCAGCAGATAAACAGCTGCCCAAGCGGTGCACGCTCCCAGCAGACAAACGGCTTCCCAAGCGGTGCACGCACTCAGAATGCAAAGGCAAAGAAGGCCATTCCTGCAGAAAATGTCAGACCAGCCCAGAAGGAAAGTCAGGCACTTGCAAACATGGCTAGAACCAACCTCTTGCCGCTGGTTGGCCCACAGATAACTGAGTCCCATAATGGTGCACTGCGGGTGCAAAGGACACAGCACGCATACGTAGTGAACAAAGTGTTCAAGTCAAAGACATCTTCCAAGAATGATCCATTTTTGAAAAGAGTCCACCACAACGTTAAAAACCGTGCTGGAATGAACGAGTATGCTAAAGAGTCAAAGTACTCCTCAACATACAAACAGCCTATATTTGAGGATGATCAATAAATAAGCTTAAGTTAATATATATACTATTCTCACAGGATTTACATTTCTCAGATCCAGGCAGCAGCATCTGATACGAATTTACCCCAAACCAGAATATCCAGAGTAGCACATAAATAAAGAAAAGCTTTTAATATGTATTTTAATACGGATATATTTAATTCGCACTATCTAGTGTGCTGCCAAACTGCTGCATAAGAAATATAGCACTCTCTATCAGTGCACTAGATTTAATCTATGCTATAGAAGGAACTATTCGAATACCTTAACAATTTATTTGTTGATTTAGATGCATGCTTATTGGCTCTTTTCCAAACTCTAGGCATTGATTGGCTAGGTATGTGTTAAATTATAAATACAAAGGAAAACAAAAAAAACCATGCACAACTACGCAATGACAAAGAGCGATAAATATGCAAAAAACAATTTAGCAGAAGAGTTGCAGAATAAGCTAAAGATATCTTCAAAGGAAAGAAGAAAAAAGCATTTCCTAGCAGACTATGCCACATATTCGCAAAACTCACAAAGCAGCAGAGATTCACCCACTAGCACAGCACTAGAGGAAGAGGAGAAATTGAAGAGAAACAAAAAGGACATTCGAGACTTGATTAAGCAGATAAGAAATGAAATAAACTTCACAGCAACCCCATACGAGGTTATAGAAAACCTGGAAGATCTAATATGGTTGGAAGAAAGTATCCGAGAGACATCTCCTGCTACAAAGGTAAGATATATATGTATAGGCATAAACACAGAAGTAAATCCAAATCTTGCACTTTTAAAAAGAAAAATGAAAGAGTACCAGGAGCTCCTGGAAATCAAGGAGACTGCAGGGCACAAAGAAGAGTGGAAGAGAGTGAAAGACGATCTGACAGAGATTATCTGCCAGTATGCAAATGAAAAGAAGTTTAAGCTTCCATCTATCAAAAGCTGCTACTATAACTGGGAAGTCTGGGTGAGCAGGGTTTTGTCTAACATCTGGTGCAGCAACTACACCTTAAAAGAGCTAAAAGAAGAAATAATGCGAGGCAAAAACTATCCTGTTAGGTGGGATGAAATAGACTTTACGCAAACCCCAAATCAGATACGGGAGAAGCTCATTAAGTACAGCGAATATGAAACAAAGGTGCTGGAGCAAACAAAAATCAACCTGGAGCAGGCTGCAAAGGCCCAGGTCCTGGAAAAGCCACTGCAAAAGGCACAAACGAAGAAAATAGTATGCACAGGATGCAAAAAGACAGGGCACACAACTGCACACTGCTATTTAAAAAAGAAATCTCTGGAAGAGTCCTCATATAAAGCGACAGCTGCACTCATGGAGAAAGCAAAAACAGATGAGACTGCGAGCAGTAGTACATCCTTGTCGCCTGATTATCCTGAAACAAAGCATCAGGAGAAAGGCGAAAAAGACATTATGCCGTATTTTGAAGGATCTGGAAACCGAGCACTATTGAAGATAAGAGACATACATAGTCTTTAGTATAAATGTATAATGACTAGCCTGTTTAAATAGGATGCCAGAGTGGCAGAAGCACTGATGTGCACACACCTAAATAGGCTTGAACGAAACAAGCACCCACGCAGCAAGCAGCAAATGAAATAGCAATAACTAAAACATCTTGAATAGAGATGCTGACCAACTAGGAATATCTTGTGTATAATCTGAATTAAAAGACATTACAGAGGCATAAAGACCCAAAGAAAGCATATTTATGGCTCTAGTTGTATGCAATGAAAAGAACCTGCAATCTATTCTAAGACTATTTCACAGCAATTATTATGCTGGCTAGCTTAAGAATGGCACCATAGCACTGCAGTACTATACACCTCAGCACAGTTAAGAACTAATCCTAATTAGCACCACGAAAAAAGTGCACAAGACTACATACATATAAATGCATATATAACAGTGATATAACCCGAATATGCTCTAATATACTCTGAATGGATATGAAAATTGTGTGATATGGATTGGGTATCCAGCCATGCAGATATATGTGAAATTAGTGCATGATGTAATGAAAATACTCTTTATCTGCATATATTGCTTAACTAAAAGCACTTAAATAGTGCGCTAAGTATATAATACTTGTATAACAATAAATAATAGGCACTTGTTTTAAGCACTTTTGGATATAAATTGGTCTACCCCTAGTACTCCTGATTTATTCAGCTTAATTTATCTCCACTGTATTTTCTTTACAGTATTCACAGGAGTATATTTCGCCTTGTTTTACAGGATGCCTAGTGCAATTGTATATTCGCATACTACTAGATTCATTATCTGAAAATATACAGATATCCAGGGTGGCTGCATAAAAGAAAGAAAAGAAGATGAATATTGCGTGTAAGTGCTCTGTGCTGCAGGCAGTATGAATAGTATGAATTTTGGAAAGTGCATTTATTTAGTCATCCAGAGAAGACTTGCTGCACTACGTAGATGACTGGTCAAATATGCACCTCTGCACAGGCATTTAGGGTCTGCATCTTCCGTTGAATCTTGGGTACAGGCATGCATGGCGCACCTTGGACACAATCTCTGGCATAAAACCCATGATGATTCTTTCAAAGCCAAGGCCATACCCTCCGTGCGGGAATGCACCGTAGAGTGCCTGGTCCGTGTAGAATTTGTATGGCTCTGGGGATATTCCCTCTCGCTTAAATCCTGCTAAAAGCTCGTCGTAGTCGCAAAGCCTCATAGACCCTCCTACTATCTCACCTACACCAGGGTATAGCAGGTCACAGCTGTTTGTCAAAGTGCCCTCTGTCTTCTCCATGTAGAAGCTCTTCATTTCAAAGGGGAACTTGACTAGGAACACTGGTGCTCCCTTTCCTACAACATCGCATATGAACCTTTCCGGTGCATCTGGAATGTCATCTGCGTATGTGTAGTCTGTTCCATCCTCCTTTTTAACTCCTTCTTTTACAAGGATGTCAATTGCCTCAGAGTGCTTCAGTCTTTTAAACGGCTTCTCTGGAACGGCAAGAGCCTCCATCTTGACACCAAAGTGCTTCAGTATAGAAATGCACTTTGTGTTGAACCCCTTTGTCAGATAGATGATCATATCCTCAATCTCAGAAAGTAAAGTCTCAAAGTCAATCCACGCCAGCTCAGCCTCTACGTGCGTATACTCGCTCAGATGTCTTCTGGTGTTGCTTTTCTCTGCCCTGTAAGATGATGCAATGCAGTATGCCTTTCCAAAGATAGGCGCGACTGTCTCCAAGTACAGCTGCGATGACTGAGTCAAGAATGCATCTTCCCCAAAGTAGTCCATCTTAAACAGTGTACTTCCTCCTTCTACCTGTGTCTGCACAAGTGTTGGGGGAGTGACTTCTGTGTATTCCTTTTCGTCATAGAACGCCCTTGCAAGCTTCAGAAGCTCTGCACGAACCTTCAAAACAGCTGTCTTCTCCATGTCTCGAATCAGCAGGTGCTGGTGGTCAAGAAGGAACGACTCGCTTGTCTGCTCTCTGTCGATCTCAAAAGTAGGGGCTAACTTGCCCCCAAAAATTTCAAAGGATTTCACGTGGATCTCACAGGGGAATGAGTCCTTGGTAAAGTTTTTTTTAACATCTCCTGTAACAATAACGGAGGTGTGCTTTGTCAAGTGAATCTTCTCTTCTTCACTGACATGCATGCACTTAGCCATATACCCTGCAGAATAAACCGTAAAGAAGGACTTCTTTCCGATCTGGTGGAAACTGCGCACCCATCCATGGAACCTAATTGTCTTACCTATTAAGCTACTATCTATGTCTTTTATTTCATATTCCTTAGAGCATATTTCCATATCATCAATCTTTAATGATTTCTCTCCATGCTTTGCTTCTTCTCCTGAACTTCTCATATAAATTTTAAAATTTTTTCAATATTTAACTCTTTTCAGGAATATAACCCGTTATTTTATTGCTGATTTCCCTATTAAATGCCCTATTTCTTAGTAGAACCTTGCTAGTATGCTTTCTACCGATTATTATAATGTATTTTGCTGTAATTTAACGGGTACTCATAAATAAAACTAATATTTAAATAACTATAATCCAAATAACTAAAATATAGTCTTATATGCTAAATAGTAATACTTTAAATTCACCTCTTTGTTGTCCCAGTCACAGGATAGTTTAATTTTTCTAAAATAGACTTAAAGTGTTTTCTAGCATATAATTATTCCCACATGAAAAAATAATCTAGCAGATTTCTCCAGAATATGGCCTAAATTTCGTGAACATCTTTCCAGTATGTACATAAATCCATGCAAAACTACTTATTTTCCATCCCTAAGAATGCCATCCTCTGCAGATACTCATTAAAGATCTTAATATTTAAGAAAGTCTTTCTCTTTATACGCTTATATCTTTAACCAAACAATCAAAGCATACTCTCCTTCACTCACCCAACTTCTTGAACTGCATCCACGCTCCATGCATCTGTTTTGTAATTTCTTCCAGAGACTGCATAAATACATACACGCATAGCTATACTGCAGCAAAAGTATTTCTCTCTTTTTACACCAAATATAACCAGAATGCACTCTAGTCTAGTACATATCCTGTATACATTGCATATAATAGTTGAAAGCAGCCTAATAATAACTGTATATTATTCACTCATAGTATGTATAGTATGTGATTCTTTGCAATATTCCACTCCCAGTACAAAAACATCTTATAACTCGAATGACTCTATGTACTGCTTATTTTTATCGTGACTCTACTACACATCACTTGGTCATCTGTATATTCTGGGCTTTCCATGTCTTTGAATAAACTGGAATTTAAATTCACTCAATTCTTTTTTTAGTTTGTTGCTGGAATATTCCACAAGAATTATAAATATTTAATGTTGCAAATTTAATTTCTGTCGATGTCCATTGCAATTAAGATCCCAAAGACATTGAAAAAGGGCAAGCTTACTGTTATAAAGTACAAGGATGGGAGACTTCTTCTTAAATCCGAAAACGCAGCGTACCAGGTGGTTGAATTCCCCTTGGAGTTTCCAAAGTATGTAATAAACAAAGAAGGCAAAACTCTTTCAAAAATAAGACATAGAGGCATAATAAAAAGGTCAATAAAGTAGAGTCTTTGTAAAAACTAAATAAACCCACCTTGTACTTTCTTTTAACCCAGAAATTGACAGCTCCTTGGGCTGCTGAAATTATTTAATTTTATTTTTTCATAACGCCCCAGTCAGAATGGAGCGAAAAGAGAATCCCATGCAGCAAATAAAACTAGAGAAGATCTGCCTAAACATATGTACCGGAAAGAATGACGATTCATTAAACAAGGCAGCCAAAGTGCTTGAGCAGCTATCAGGACAGTCCCCTGTGTTCAGCAAGGCAAAGATAACCCTCAGAGCCTTCGGTATCCGAAGAAACGAAAAGATCGCCACAAATGTGGTTATCAGAGGACAGAAGGCAATGGACGTGCTCACTGCCGGTCTCCGAGTAAAGGAGTACGAGCTTCCATACACCTGCTTCTCTAACACAGGAACCTTTGGATTTGGTATCCAGGAGCATATCGATCTGGGAATCAAGTACGACACCAACATCGGTATCTTCGGAATGGACTTCAGCGTAATCCTGACTAAGCCCGGAAAGAGAGTCAGCCAGAGAAGAAAATGCAAGGCAAAGGTAGGAAAAAGACAAAGAGTGTCCCAGGAAGAGGCTATCAACTGGTTTAGAACTGTCTTTGACGGCACTGTTCTAGTAGAAAAGACTGGAGACAACTAAATAAATCGTTTAAATCTTTATTGCTTCTGATAGAACCGTACAGGATCTGCGTCCTTCTCTGAAATGTGCACCTCTGCATTTGGAAGAGCTGTTTTCAAGTGCACCGCCAGAGGCTGCAGAAATCCCCTTTCGCTTCTGGAGTGCTCCAGGATGATCATGGAGACCCCATTTCTTTGGAAGCACAGCATGTCATGGTGCGATGCTTCTCCTGTGATCACAATAGATGGCTTTTCATCGCTGCTTTTGCCTGTCTCCAAGATAAGCTTCTTCAAGTTCCTGGTGGATGCGCCTGCCCCAATGGACATAACGGATGGAACAGTGTCCTCCGCATGCCCATCCCCCAATACATACCGTATTGTGTTTAGACCAAGCTCCTTCTCAAGTGTCTGCAGGATACTTTCTATTGTGCATGAATTTCTAAATGTCTGAATATATCCTGTTGTGCTGATGGACTCAGCCCCCGGAATGAGCATGCCCAGCCAGTTATTGATTCCGTTGTTTCCTCCATCCAGCGCAGTGTGCGGAGAGTATATTGACACCTTGTTGTTCATGCACTTGCACAGAATGGGACTCTCCTGCGTAATACTTTTTAAGGGCGTGAAAATAGGTGGGTGATACGCCAGAACTGTTTCTATACCTAGATCCAGGGCCTCTTGCAGAACAGAGTCTGTTAAGTCTATGCACAGAAGAACACTTTCTTTCTCGCTCTCATAGAACTCCATAAGGATTCCTGTGTTGTCCCACGAACTATCAGCTCTTTCTTTTGGAAATTCTAATTCCACAGCCTCTGCCAGCCGATGTATAAATGCCATGTGATTTGCAAAACATAAAATTTATTTATATTAATAGTCTCCATGGATGCAGCTACAAGCGACAGAGCAATTGGAATAGGTGAAGGGATTGATAATATTTTAGCAAGTAGGAGTATGGGAGAATATAAAAAAGGTGTTATTTTGGGGTATTTTGATTCCTTGGACTTGCATCCAGAGAATATCTCAGGAAAGACTACCCAGAAGGCCCTTATGGAGATGCAGGAGAAAAGAAGAGATGTGTACACAGAGATATTCAAAGTAAAGAATCTTTTAGAGTGGTAAAGTATGCTTTCTGCAACAGCCTGATGTAACGATAAGTTTGTGCAATTTTTTTTATCCTAGCATGAGCAGAGCAGTTGACCAGAAATCCCGGCACAAGAAGGAAAAATCAAAGAAGGAAGAAAGACAAGATAAAACAGACGACAAAAAAGTAGAGAAAGTGCACCCCAAGGCAAAGCCACTTTGCCCATCCGCTGTAACCAAGAAAGTGTACGATCTTGTGAGTCTTGCAAAGAAGAACCGCACTCTAAAGATCGGAGTGAACGAAACCATTAAGAAGCTCAACAAAGGAGATGCAGAGCTAGTGCTTCTTGGCGGAAATGCTCTTCCTTTTGCAATTGTTGAGCCACTTGTAGTTCTGTGCGAAAATAAGAACAGAACATTCTTCTTTGTACCAAGCGTATCCGCCCTAGGGAAGGCATGCGGCCTATCCAGACCAGTTGCTGCTTGCACTATAGTCTACTCAGAAGACTCCAACATTACAAGACTAATTAATGAAATAAGAGAGCAAATGATAAATCTTTAATAAAGAATGCCACTACAGTTGGATTGTTATGATTTTTGATGCATCTCGAACGATCTGCTCGTAAAATGCGCGCACACAGAAAATACACACGGAAAGAAATTGCATTCAAGATAGAGCAGTGTATTCCCATGGCACTGCATAGGATAATATTTAATATTCCAGGCACATGCTATTTCTTATTTTGCATTCTGCATAAGCACTCAACCCGCATATATTCTGTTTGTCCTTGCTCTGTGCTAGTGATATTTAACTTAATCTTTCTACTGTATGATAAAATCACAGTAATATTGTCTGCACATTGCAGAGTCCACTACCCTAAAGGCTTTTATTTTCTTGGCCAAGTGCTTTTTATTATATGTTCAGTACTATACGACTGCATATGCATAGAAAGTAGGAGTAATTGATCTAACTATACACTGTGCATATTTCTTTTATTGGGCTGGCAATTAGGCCTGCTGGAGTAAGAAGTGCATGTATTTCAGTAAAAATCATGGTGTTCTTTAATATCCATGCAGCGTGTACAATACTCCCTTACGTCGTAAAATACAACATGCACGTAGGACTTGTGTTATTACTTAAACTCTTTTTGCAGTGCTTATGTAAATTCCTTAGGATGCGGGGCATCTTTTATTTTCTTTGCTTTTCTAGGAAAAAACTCTTTCATATTGGATGAAATATAAATACTAAGTGAATAGATTTATTTTTATGCGTTTAAAAGATATAGAGAATATGGCTGTAAAGAAACTCTAAGAAAATAAAAATTGCAAAGTACAGAGAAAGATCCCTCTAGATGGATTAAAGTACAAGTAGCTGTATATTGCAGAAAAGAATCTTTTACATGTAACTTAATGCCACTGCAACTACCCAGTGCTCTTATCATGTGGCTCATGTAAACTCAGAGATATAACCCGAATATCCTGAATCATGCTTACTATAGTTAGGATTTACTGTAAGCAGCAAGATAATCCTATTAATATACTACTAATAGGTTTACTACAGATGAATATACCAATAGATATACCTGAATACTAATTAATATGAGATACAATATCTTAAACTCTAGTTAATGCAAATAACCCAGGCACTTTGTTCATCTTCAGACTATTTATACTCAATATTCTAAAGCAGTATGCGAATTATTATCTCTAACACGATACTGTTATACTATAATATGGGCACAGCCAGAAATATACTAATACGCTAAAATATTAGTAAGCAGTACATACAGAATATATTATAACCAAAATAATATAGCCCGAATAACCCAATACAGAATGCCATTTAAAGCCCTAATACATATCTAAACTAGAATGCATTTGATCTATAAGCCAATAAATAATACAGCACTAACTCTATAAAAATGCATGTCTTCCTGATTTAATAAGACAGACTTTACTGATGTGCTTTTGTAGCCTTTAAATTAGAATAGTTATTTCTGTTTGGCAGATGCTGTGAGCGCATTCTGGCCTCACAATTAATTTTTTTCTGCAATTTTCACAGAACACTCTGCATATACAAGCTTCCAGAGGTGCAGAACAGACAGAAACTGTGAGCATAAAAAATATGCAAAGTAGACTCTGAACTCCCCTTTGTTTATGCTTTGTTTACCACAGAAAATAGACCTGCATTTAAAAGAGTCTATCTACTGGTCAATATTTTTAAAACATAGCACTCCTTAGCAACCGGTGTGTTTATGTTTCAGAGAAAAAAAGATAAATAGGAAGAGCATTTGCGGATTATCAAATGACAGAACTAGTTTCAATACCTGAAAATGAATTGGAAGCACCTGAAAGATCTTCTAAAATGAAAGGTCTTAGGAAGCGTGTCAGATCAGTAGGACGCAAAGCAAAAGCTGTTTGTAAGGTAACAGTTAACGCGATGCGCACCCAGCTCAACACAGTTGCATCTATTTTCACCATGTGCTCTGCAAACACTGTGACAGAGGAAATACCAGATGAAGTCATCTATGCTTCGGTCCCCTCTAGGAACAACTCCCGTGTAGATCTGGCAGAACAGCCAGCGGAGACTATTGCAAGTGAGACAGCAGAGACGAGTGCACCTGTACCAGCAGAGACTAGTGCAAGTGAGCCTGAGCCAGCACTAGCGGAGGTAACAGAGGAGCCAGCATGCACTGCACTAGCAGAGCCAGTAACTCACACTGAGACTGCTCTGGCACCAGTAGAAGCAGCAAGTGCCCAAGAGCCCGCAGTTCCAGAAGAGACCGCAGAAGAAGAGAGACACCTTCCAAAGGCCGCTGCTAAGGACGACATCTCAGTGGTTTTCTGCCTCTCTGAGTTTATCCGCGAAATAGAGGACATCGTGAAAAACACCTCTCTTATGCCATGCGCCTCATACGCCCCGGGCATTATACTCTTTTATCTTAAGCAGAAGAGAAACCATCTGCACGAGCAACTGAAGAACATTGAGCTTGCATTTCATACTACTCCAGATAGTGCTTCCCCTACTGACATGGACCAAGATGTAGTTAAGTTTCTCATTGCCGAGGCCCTTGAGCCTACAGAGTGCATAAGACACTGGCTTTCGTCTGATGAGCCACTGCAGGCAGCATACACTGACCTATACAAGACGATTATAAAGACTTTGTTTGAGGAGAATAAGCAGGGAACAAGAACAGAAAGAACAATTGTCTTCTACTGCCAAGCCCTAAAGTACATCAGAACCGTCCTAGACCTTGCATTGCAAGACGTCGAACAGGAGCCTCTAGACCATTCGCCAGCCCCCCATCTGTTCACAGACCTTCTGAGCAATCTTTCCAAGCCAGAGAGCGTGGCTACTCTTCTGGAGGCTAGAGTGCAGCAGGCTGACGCAGAGTGCAACGAGGATCTAGATAGCGAATATATAGCAACTGACGGGGAGGAAGAGCACGATACCACAGTGATTCCAGATCCAGCTGCCATGATGGAAACTCTCATGACAAGCCCTCTGTTCCAGAAACAGCGCGAAATGAATATTTTAGAAGGAAACATTGTGGAGGACTTTTCACACACATGCACTCCAGAGATGCAAAAAGGCATGGACGCAGCACTGTCCTATATCATGCACGTAGGTGTCCCCACTCCAATTGCAAGATGCGTATCTCCAAAGAATATATAGATATCACTATGTATCTCTTTAATAAACTACCTTACATAAACACATTCTTCAACTTCCAGCTATATTCTCTAATTATAGCTCAAAAAATTACACTTAGTGTTTACACATGCTGAACAATGGCTCTGTGCACATAACCCTCTTCTATATAGACTTAAAAAACAAGACAGTTCTATAAAAAGAAGTCTATTTATTCCTTTGCTGAACTATATACAGCTCTATTTCAGATTTGCATATACTTTTCTAGTGCATCTCTTACTCAGCCATTTGAATTTACAAAAATGTTTTATTCTTTCTTACTACAGAGCAATTAGATACATATACCTCTCGCAAGCAGTAAACAGTTATCCATACATATTGTAGCTTGTTGGTTTTCCTTGCCTCAAGGGCATTGAAACCTTCTCTCCGGATTAGTAATGTAGATTGATGTTGGTTATTGCCTCCCGGGCTTTGGCTAGGCCAACATGCTACAAGGGGGCCCGACTTGTTTACGTGTCATAATATAGTGATCTATGATTATGTGACACTAGCTATCACATTACGATCTGATGTGGAAACTTTATTTGTGCTGCCAACAAGCATTAATCAATTTCCATGTACAAAACTATATATAGACGATGAGAAATAAATTATGCCCAAGTTTAGTATGACTAAGTCTAATATCTCGAAGAGGAAAATTCAGCTAACCCTAAGAGAATATGCACCGCATAATATGCTGATTTCAAGATAATACACTAGCTTCTTCAAGTATGGATTGCATAGGTCTTTGCGTATTTCATTCTTAAACAATAAATAATTTATGTTTCTAAAACTTCTACTTCATATATATATATTTTCTATATTTTTATTTTCGTATTTTTCGTATATTTTCAAACTTGTTAACATCTGTATAGATGTGGAGAGGTTTTTTAAATAAAATTGGCAAAGAACAGGGAAAATCGAAAAAACACTAAGTTTGAAGACCCTTTAACCAAAGGAGATGGGCTGGTGTGGTTATACTGGTGCACACAAGAGGTCACACGCGCACAAGAAAGATCAAATCCAGGCCAAGCCACATGGATATATGTATGTCTTGCATAAAGGGGCTACCCTAGTATTGCATTCACTTTTTAATCTATTTGGCAGCTTTGGGCCTAACTATTTAATTATCACCAGTATATATAGTTAGAGTACGCGCTGATGCTAGAATGCAGATAGCATTTTTTCATCCTGAGCGACCATTATCTGTTCAAAGGGAATTCTTCCATATGCCTGGTATACTACTAAGGACAGCCCAAGACATTTGAATCTCATATATGATGGATAGAAAAAATTATTTAAATTCTAGATGATGTGTCCAAAAGAGAGACATTCCAGCCAGGAGATAGTAGTCTTCTCATTTATAGAATGATTTTCTTTATAAAAATTAATTCTAGTGTTAGCAATGAGTAAAGAAATAATTTAGCATTCATCCATAGCAAAAAGCTATAAAAACACAGTACATTAATATATCTAAATCAGACAATAAATACACAAAGAACCGATTAAATAAGGTCTGTACTGGGTAGTTCAATATGTTTTTATAAAAATGCTTGCCAGAGTGTTTTCTATTTTTCAGTTTACTGCACAGAAGAATAGAATAAAGATGGACACTCGCTATTTTAGTATGCATACAGGATAAAATCACTAGACCAGTTAAAACACAAAGCTGCCTCGGCGTATTAGCCGATTATATATGCAAGTGACCTATAGGAAAGCAGCTAAAGTGATTTATTTATAAATAGAAATAACGGATGCTATGAGTAATGAAAGGCAAGAAATTAAAACCGCTAAGAAAGAAATCTTTTTTCGGTTTACAGAAAATGATCAGCAAGCTACTTTTGAACCTAGTGATGTTGCAGAGTATTCTTGCAAGAATCAATGTGGAAGACATAAAGACAGTGAGTGAGACTTTGGTCGGTGAGAAGCAGGATGTGATTATTAACCCAAAGGGCCCATTGAATCTGCTGCGTGGATATATTGGACACCAAAGCGGATACATGTACAACAAGCGGTTTTATTCTTCTGAAATAGACACAGACTATGCGTTGACTAAGAAGGGGCTATCAAGTAGAAATGAACAGGAGTATGATTTTACAAGAACACCAGTGAATGATAGAGTACACAAAGACATGGATGCAAAAACCCCAGAAGGCAAGTATCTTAGCACTTATCACGCGCAGCTCATAAAGATGTTTCCATCAATAGACGGAGACCTTTCCATTGAGGCAGGCAGGCCAAATGCACTTACAAACTTCCTAAGAGCAGATCACGTTAAGAAAGACACAAAGTACATTCTTGCAGCACTTCTTCTTCTTTCAGAGGGTGTTGACGTTAAAATAGCAGTAGATCATACAGAAGGAGACAAAAAAAAGCTTGTCATAAAAAGTAAGACATGCAAGGAGAAAGTATTTGTGGATGTAGAAATGCACACAGCAGGTATAGACCCAGTTACAAATAAGTACAGTGATAAAATAAACCAAAAAGAAGCAGCTGAAATTGTCAACTTCTACATACGGTACAGAGACAATCCGCTGCTAAAGAGAGGAGGTGAGTTTGCAATGCCAGCCACAAAAGAAGAGTTTGAAAGTGGAAGATTTTTAAACAGTGCAGCCTTCCTTATACAAACGTATATGTATGAGTTCATTGATACAGAAGAAGACTACAAGAACTTTGTAGAAGCAGCGCATGAACTACTAGTTGATCAAGTAACTGAAAAGGAGAATTCAGAGCAGACTAAGAAGAAGGGTAAAAAGGGCAGAATATTTGATGAGCTCTTCCTAGCGAAAGATACACTTAGTGAAAACAAAAAGTACATTGAATCGTTCTGTGGCTTTCTAAAGGCCAAAAATGAAAATGCCAGATTTCCTTTCTGCAATGATAGTCAGCTGCCACGGTATACTAGAGTGCCGCGTTGTAAACTAGACAAATCTGGATTTGAGAAGGATCAAGCCTTATACTATAGCAACTGCGTAGAAACAGCCCTTCTTGGACTGTTCTGCTGCCTGGCATATAATCCAGAGACAGGAAAGTATGAGACAGACTACATGGGGGAGGGAATAAGTAAAGAGCTAAAACAGTTCTTTGAAGACTATCCTAAGCCAACAGAAACTACTGACTTTGAAATGCACAAACAATGGAGTAAAGTTGTTGCTTGCTTAAAGAATGACAAGATCGACTACAAGAAAGAGAAAAACGAACTCATAGCTGGGATTTCAAATATATTTCTTGCTATAGCAGAAATAACAGGACAGAAGGAGGGAATACTAAAATTAGTTGACTATATAGAGAATGCATGTAAATGCAGAAAATTAGATGATGAGAAGAAAACTTATATTACAGATAAGATAGCATCAATTATTAAGTCTTTGTCGCTAAATAAGAATGTGAAAGTGTTATGTTACAACATGATACTTGGAAAAAGATCAAGTGGCAAGTCAGATATTTTAGCTGAAATTAAAATTACTTACACTTTTAATAGGGTATGTAATGGAATTTCTTTGAATATAAGCCATGGGCATGGGCATCTTTCTCTTCTTCCATTTTTAGATGCTAATTCTGCACAAATTAAAGAAAGGTGCGAAGAAGTAAAAAATATTTACAGTAGGGTAGACTGCTATATAGGGTATATTATTGCACACTACATTGATGTCGAGTTAAACACTTCAGATAAAAACTATTCTAGTATCTTACAAAATATTAGAAGAGACATAAATCTAATGCTACAGGAAGGGTCTGGGAATGTATCTAAAATATTCTTATACAGAAAGATTTATAAACCTGCCATAAAGAGCTATATTATGGAGTTTTTTATGTTTGGTGCTGTGGCTAAAGGAGTCACCCCAACAAACCCTTTAACACGTCTTACTGCAAATATTTTAGGAAGTGTTCCGCTTAATGATCCTGTGACCCGGCGCATGCTGATTTTTTTTTCACCAATTCTTGCAGGCTGGCGAGAATGCTACCCAAAACTTGGGTACACGCCATCAGACTATCCATCTGAACATATTTTTGTTTGGGGTGACGAAAAATCAATGTATTTTTATGATACGATAATAGAATCTCTAGCATCCATTGCAGTGAAAGCCACATGCAACTATCTTAGGGCAGTTTCGGGTTGCGATGATCAAACTTATCATGCGAAATATTTCATAACCTCGGATTTTCTATTTAAGCGTATGATATCTGATGGGAGAATAGATAACTTAGTGAAAATTCAGTCTGTTATTACAGAATATATGGAGGAAGCCACTTTAAACCATACATATATTTGCTGGTTAATCCATGCATGCGCAAGCGAATATAAGCTCTCGCCAGAACTCATTAAGGAGATTTACAGCCTTATAATCTCGAATGTTTATTTAAAAAGCACACTTTATATTCGAACAGTGGTAACTAAACAAGAATTACAAAAATGCCTAAGTGTTTTAAAGGAAAGAAAGACTCTTTTCTGCTCAGAGGATGACCCAAAAAGTATGGAAAAATATAATGGAATGGCATCATATTTGAGATCAGTTGAGTTTTGTTTTAAGCTTTTTGCCAATCCATAGCCTAAATATAAGTGATGTTCTCAAAAGGGGAGGGGGGCGACGAGCTAGTCTGGAGATAATAGTCTAGAATAGAGAGTTTAGTTGTCAAGGAAGTTTTATTATCGTAATTCTGCGGATGTCTTTGGCGGCTTTGACCTTTTGTGTAAGTGTTGGATGTATTTCTTCTTTCTGACATGTTCCGCTTTTTCAGTATTGTTCTTACTATTTTATAGTTAGTCTCTGATATACGAGGAATCTTCCGGAAGTTTCATTTATCATTGATGAACTTTGGTCATGGAATTAATGAAAGTGGGATTTTTACCACAATAAGTAAATAAAACATGAAGATATATTTAGAATAAATCTATTAATAGCTTATTTTCATGACATTTTCTAGCTTATTCGCAATCTAGTATTTTGGAGCAGTTTATAACAAAAATACATAGGCTCTAAAACAGCTTAAAGAAAAGCATAAAAAACTAAATAATTTTATAATACCCTAGGATGATTTTCCTCCTAGAAATATTAGATCTAGTCATACTAATTTAGATATAATTTATTTCTCGTGCTCTATTTATAGACCACCACCAAGGGGTATGTCTTATTGAGATAATTAGTTATTTCCCCATGTGCTAATAAGATGTCCTAGAGTAGAGTCTAAGACAGCATATCTGGCGCATATGCAAGCAGAGTCCTTTGTAGTGTGCTGGTCTACAGTCAAAATACTCGTATGGCAATGACCAGCATCAACCTACATTGCTGACCCAGGAAGGAAGCTTCATACCCTCAAGACAAGAAAAACCAACATTTTTATTTTTAGCTTTGCTAGCTGTCAAAAGTAATTGCGAATTGCACAGTTCAATCTTTAAAATACTATCTAAAAAATTTTGTTTAATTTAAGTTAGATATGGATAACAAAACAGAAAGTAGAGTTAAAAAACATATATATGTTGAGAGAAAAACAAGATTGTGCTTTCATATAGCAGAAAAGCACAGTGAATCAAAAGGTGCTAGAAGAAGATTTTTAGGGCTGGCAATAAGAGTGCTTTTTGCACTTTTTGTTTTCAGCATACAACAAGTCTGTGCAATGCTAACGAGAAATGACGCAGAGAAACTGCAGCAAATGCTAGTATACGAAGAGGAGGATGTAGAGTGGGTTGTCAATCCATATGGCCCGCTAAGTCCATTTGGATTGTATATATACAATAAGACTGGCTATATGCATACACATAGATTTTTTAATACTTATATAGATGCATATTATAATATATCTGGCAAAAATAATAACCAGTTTATAAGAGATCCTACAAATGACCAGGCTTACTTCTCTTATTCGGATGGTAGTGAAGTACCAAAAGAAGTAAAGGAATATTACACCACCCTCATCAATATGTTTCCTTCACCTAATCATGCAATAAGCATTTACCCCAAAGAAGACTGTAAGGACTCGTTTACTCTTTTCTTGAAAAGCAATCTTGTGAAAGAGCATGCACATACAATTCTTGCAGCATTGCTTCTTCGAACAGAGGGGATGGATATACCACTGTCCATTAAGTATAATAAAACCAAGATTCCTTATCTTGCATGGAAAGGCGGAGCCCATGAGGCAGAGAACTTCAGCCTTGAAATAGTTGTTCCTTGTTCTGAGATGCAAGAAGACGATTTTAGGAAAAGAAGATGTGAACTTCTTCAATATAAATCTGAGCAGGTTATTAAGTTTTTCTTGCGTATGAATTCACTAGTTCAATCTGGTATAAAAGATTCTATGGCTACGGAAGAAAAAATAGGATTTTGGGAAGATGAGTTTTGTGATAGTAAGAGCTGGCTTATACAATCATACATATATTACTATCTGGAAACTAAAGAAGACGCTGCTTGCTTTAATAGGACAGTATACACGATGCTGGATGAGCATATAAAAAAGTGTGAAAGGGAAAATAGAGATGGGCAAAAAGACATTAGTGAGAAGTTCCTTAAGAGATGCTTTATGCAATGCGATTCACTTTCAGATGAACTTAAATACTGGAGGAAAATAGAAGAACTTGAAGGTACTATTGAGGTTCCGAAAAAGAAGAGACTGCTTCCCTTTACAGATTCAGAGCATGCACCTATTAGAACAACAGTAGATGTGCAAATTTGTGATGACACGTATCTAACAACAGATGTCTTCTTAACAGATGTAGAATCTGCATTGCTTGGGCTGTTTTGCTGCTTTGCATACGATCCAGATTGTGTTATATACAGTGTTGGCCATATGAAAAATTCCCCTAACGCGGTAAGGGATTTCTTTTCTAATATACCATCTTCCTTGCCTATTTATATTTTAAATAGAGAAATTGGAGTAGAAGAAAATTTAAATAGGATCAATCCTTTAGGAAGTATTAAATTGCTTCCAGGAAAGGAGATACCTATGGATGTTCAGAAAGCATGGAAGAATATAGTCAGAGATTGTTGTAGTGCTGATCTGAGATTCAATGAATCAAATGATGACAATGCTCTTGCTGGAGGGATTCTTAACGTGCTAACAGCAATTTTACAACTCGCAGGAGAATACAATGAAGTAAACAAAGAAAAAATCGAATCTTTTAAGGACGAATTATTACTAATGATAATGAGTAGAACTACTAATGATCAGATTGTTAAAGACATACAAGAATACGCAGAAACTCTATTTGCTTCTCTCTCCCAGCGGTGTACTTCATGCGATGGATTGGTAGAATGGTATAATTATAAATCAGATGAATCTGAAAGAAAAAGAGAAAGAAAGATCTTTATAAGCTTCATATCTTTCGGGATACATATTAATGGAAATGAAATTGATCTATATGGAAGCATGCAAATCTACTATGCATATAAAAACCAGGCACAGCCCATAATATTGCACTTAATTAATGCAGACATAACACATTTAGAAATTGGAAAGAAGGTTGTAAGGCTGGATAAATCTAAAGCAAATGCAAGAGAAGAAGTCAAAAAGGAGTTAGAAACATCACTTAAAGAAAATAGTTTCATTCAACACATTCTCTTTGATTACATTAAAAAAATAGAGAGTTATACACTGCCTGAGTATGTGATAGCTGACCCATATATAGCTAAAAGTGAAGAACTTGAATATCGCGATAAGATAGTTAGTCTTCATTATATGCAGCCAACTCAATATATCAGTGCAACTAAGTATGGTGTGGTGGACTGCCTGTTAAATCGAATGTACATCACACCAAATTATATAAGAACTATTTTGGATAAAGAACGCTATTTAAACAATATACTAATAAGCACTCCAGTGTCTAGTATAGAGAATTTGCTATTTTTAATTGTTTGCATAAGCAGCAGGAGGGGAAATATCTACGATAATTTGGAAGAAATACGAAAAGCTACACAGAAATCCAGCATGCCCCGAGATGACATAACAATAAAAGTTATGGTCAAAATAGTTTCTATTCTACTCAGATGTAGTGCCGACATTGACCTAGCTAATGTACTGGCTGCATATGCTCAGATATACTGGGGTAGTGACAAAATGTGCATTGCCAAAATAGTTGAAAAACATCCTAGACAGAAAGATAGAATATTGAAGTGTCTAGATCGACATATGACTGTCAAACGTAGAAAGTCAGCAAAAAAAAGGAAAATGATAATGCGTCGCAAGCCAAGAATGAATCCTAAGAGAACATGCACTGCATAATATGCTGACTTGAAGGTAATATACTAGATCCTTCAAGTGTGGATTGCATAGGTCTCTGCGTATTTCATTCTTAGACAATAAATAATTTATGTTTCTAAAACTTCTACTTCATATATATATATTTTCTATATTTTTATTTTCGTATTTTTCGTATATTTTCAAACTTGTTAACATCTGTATAGATGTGGAGAGGTTTTTTAAATAAAATTGGCAAAGAACAGGGAAAATCGAAAAAACACTAAGTTTGAAGACCCTTTAACCAAAGGAGATGGGCTGGTGTGGTTATACTGGTGCACACAAGAGGTCACACGCGCACAAGAAAGATCAAATCCAATCCAAGTCACACGGCTATATGTATGTCTTGCATAAAGAGAGTGCCCTAGTATTGAATCCACTTTTTAATCTATTTGCCGGGCTTAGGCACAATTGTTTGTTTATCACCTAGTGTGTATAATTAGGTTCTATTTGTGATGTGCAGAAAAAATGCTTGCAAAGAAAGACCACTCGAAAACTCAGAAGAAAAGCACATCCATTGCAGGGCGTATGAAAAGATTTTTCCTTGGCGCATTCAAAAGCAAAGCAAAGGTTTCTGATGCCGCAGAGAGCCCTTTGCCCTGTGAAGAGACACTTCGCAAGGGAGGACTGGTTGAGACATCTTCTCTCTGCACAGGCACACTCCCCATGCAGGCCACGCAAGAGACAGACATAGCCCAAAGCACAAAAAAGAAGCAGAAAATCACAAAGAGTGCTCTAGAAAGTGCGGTAGACACGCCTGTATACCCAGGAACATATGGTCTGGATGAGGGGTCTGCGCCTGCAGAGCAGCCTGCATCCACAGAGGGCTCATCTGCACAAAGCACAGCTTTAGAGCGCGAGTTGCCGCTAGAGCCTTCTGCTGATGCAAACTCTCCTGCTAATGCTTCTAATGCTGCAAACTCTCTACTAGTGGGAGAGCCGGACACACAGGCAGAAGAAGTGCAAACTAAAAAAACACAGACAGAGAAGGAGCACGCAGAGCTGCACACGCTTGTGTCCTTTATGCGAGAGATCGAGAAGATTGCACAGGACACAGAAGCAATGGGCGATGTTGCGTATCTTCCTGTAATCCTCTTCTTCACTCTCTCCCAAAAGGGTTTCTCTCTCACAGACGACCTTCTACTCTCCAGCGAGAAGTTCCACAGCATAAGCCAGGGCCACCCAGAGCACCGTGCTCTGATGAACGAAACAGCTGCAAACTACCTTGTGTCTGAGGCTCTGGCACCTCTTGAGACCATGAAAGAGCGCCTGGCTCTCTGCAGGCCTGCTCTTCTGGCATACGTTTCGCTGTGCAACAGTGTGCATGCAAGCGTGTTTGTAGAGAACAAAAAGCACACAATGTCAGAAACTGCAATAGGCTTTGTTTGCGAGGTACTGAAGTACATTAAGTACGTCATCGCTGCAGAGCTGCTCCGGATAGACCTCCCTTCTGAGGACACGCCTGCTAAGAGCCCAGCCCCATACGCACACAGTGAAGCGTACTGCGACAGCGCCTTGGAGGACTCCAGCGAGCAGTCGGAGGAGGTCTAACCAGAAAGACAGGCAGTGCCCAAAGAAGAGGCGCTCTCTCTTCCAGGACAGGACGAGTCCTCTTTTGAGTCGCGCAGCCTTTCTTCTGGAGACGAGCTAGCAGACAACGTGCTCTTCAAAAGACAGAAAGAGAAGTACCAGACCCAGGCCACTCAAGTGGAGCAAGCAGGCGTGCACAGAAAGTAGACAGTGGCTGCGCAGACACCGTGGCGCAGCGGAGGTTCTACACATGGACTTGTGAGCGCCTGCTGCCCCGGGCTGCGCACAGCACAGAATGGCTGCATATTGAATGGTCTGTGTTGTGGGCGTGCTGCTGTGTCCGTCTGAGTGCTTCTTTACTGTGTGCATGTCCGTCACAAATAAATTTGGTATACCAACGCTTTTCTTTATTTACACACAGCTCTGCATAGACTTCTATTATGGCAGTGGGCTGGTGCACTGCCTCTCAAAATATGCTGCACTATAAAACTGCAGAATAGTGTTTTTATATTGTATGTAGAAAAAACAACAATTAATATACGAAATAATCAAAAACAACAAAGCCATATTTGTAATTGTTTATTGTGAAAATAAAATATGAAGATAGTTATAAAAGATAGGAAAAAAATGAACATTGAGTTATTTATATAATTGTAAGAGTGAGTTCACAAGAAAAAAAAGAGACTGCAATCCAGGGAAGTATATAGAGCAAAAACACAGTGAATTTTCTGCAAATTTCTATAAACTCTTTCAAAGACATTGGCTTATCCAAAATTTTATGACTTTGGTGTAGGCAGCTGGGGAGGGGTTGCCATAGAAAAATACATAAAAATTCAATATAAGTCCTATGGTGCACATCAACCACATAATCTTTGTTTATGATGCCATAAGTATGCAAAATAAAATTAGTGCACTATGGCACACACAGAAAGAATAATTATTCACAGTATAGCTTGGCAAAACATATAAAATTGAATTAAAGCTAACACTATTAAGAAATTCGAGTTTTTAATAAATATTCGATCTTATCAGTGGCATGTTTTAGGAATGCAAGCTGCTCTATAGCTGATTAGTTAACTGCAATCTGAATGTTATTTTTACAAAATAGTATGCATTCTATTACGAAATAACTGCGCTTATTTGGCCTACAATTGGCGAGATGCTCTTATAATATAATTTCTATCCTGCTCCACTATTAATTTGTCTTCTTCCGAAGTGTTTAGCGGAGTGCGGATCAGGCTTGATCGGTTCTGTGGGTTCAACGCCCAATTCATATACGCATGGGCATTTTCTAGCTGAGGTACTTGGGGGCTCACCGTCTGCACGGGAATTTGTATTGCTGGTGTTATGTGTGCAGCAGAGGTTGTAGCTGTAACTGCTGTATCTGCGATAGCTATATTTCCAGAGGCCACTTCTAGCTGAGGCTCTTTTTCTGGAATAACCCGCGCTGCTGGCGTTCCATCTGCACAAATGCATGGAATTTTTGTTTTCTTCTCCTTGATGGGAATTCTTGTGGTCTTGCAGCAGTTTACAGTCAAATATTTCTTCTGCGGCTTGCTGTAGCAGACTTTAGTGGGCGTGTGTGTCACAATAGGCGCTTCGTCACAAGGGTCCACAGCAAGAGAGCTTTCTGTCTCTGGGATGCTCACTATGGCAGGAGGCACTTTCATCTCCTCCACTGGCGCAGAGATAGACGGAGTGGACACAAGGTATGGCTGTCCTGCAACAACTGCTTTGCTTACTGTGGGTGTGGCTGCCCCAATAGACACAACTTTGCACTCGGCGGCAGAGTGCTCCAGACCGCACTCGGGTGCAGCTACCATTTTATTCCCCATGCTGTACTTGTATTTTACAGCCGGCACGACTGAGAGCGAGCTAAAAGAGTTTGTTACTTTTGGATTTGTGTCTGAATAAACAGCCACCCCGCCATATGTGTCATTTGTCTGTGTGCTAACACCAAATGGAGGGGCAATTGAATCTGAGCCCACATGCCTAATCATTCCATGGATGTGGTCATAGCAATATGTCCTGTCGTCCGAGCAAAGTGAGAGGTCTATGCCTTCTTTTGTGCCTGCAACCACTGCTAACAGGACAAGCATTATAATTATCTTCATGTTTACTATGGTGCTGAATGGCTTTATAGAATGTTTCATAATGAAACCACACAAAAAGCCTTCAAAGAGGCAAAGCTATGAAACAGCAGAATCATCCAATGCACCTAAAGTGCTAAGTGTGCAATATCAGCTAGCCTATAGCTTGGTTATTCTAGAAGATTTCCCAAGTATAATAATAGTGCAGAGCTTTAAGTAGTGCCATACACTAATAAGAATGCATTTATATGCATGCATGTAAACACTGTAAAATGGCATATAGAAATATATTCTGCAGAACTTCTTCAATAGCATACTGCTAAATGGCTGTAAATAATATATGACTACTTTTTGAATATTTTACTTGTTCTATGCATATAAGCCTAGACATTTATAAAAGCATGCTGTCTATTTTAGGCCACATAAATATTTCAAGAAAATTTAGGGTTATGCAGTATAGAAGGTTCTAGTGTTTATATAGATAGGTCTTTCTAAGCCAGCTGCCTGCAAACAAGAAGATTGATATCCTGTTGGCACATACAATAATTTACATCAGGAAAGGAAGAGACAAATGGATATATCCTAAATAATTGTCTTTAAGAAGTCTAGACTTACAGGGATGACTAACATTTTTTAAAACTTGAACTTCTTAAATAGCTTTAATTCCAGTCTATGTATTCAGGCTGCAGTAATATCTTACAGAGGCTTCAGTAATCTGCAAATAAAGTGCAAAATGGTGTATATACAGCATAGCATGCAATTAAATATAATGAAGTTCATATTACAACAGGCTCTATATACTCACAGTTACAGTCCATTAAAGATAGAATATGCAATGAAATCCTCTGTATTTCGCAAAAAGCAGATAGCAAAGTGTTTAAGGTATATTAAGCACTAAAAGAGGAAAATTTTTAATAAATAGCTGCCTTTTCAGCCTTCCGCATATTTGTAAGAAGAAAGCATCTATAGACACAGCAGTAGCATGTGTGCCCAGCAGGCGCACAGACCATCCACTTTGATGCTTTAGTATCCTGCAGCATCTACTAATTTGACAAAGCCTCCCATAAAATGGAATAATTTTTTTTATGCATGAGAGAAAGCGAAGTACACGAACTAATTCAGTCCTATATGGACCCAGCAAAAAGAAAAAGAGCAGAAGAGCTTTCAAGAGAAATAAATGGCGAGATGCCAGAGATAAATGCATTCCTGCATAATCTCCAGTCTGCATCCCCAAAGGTAAAGGAAATCTCTTCTCTTTTTCTAAGGCACTCCCTTGTCCTTGCTAAGAGTGCACCGCACACAGACAGATCCATGTTTCCATCAATTTTTGTCACAATTGTTAATAATATCTCACCAGATAACAACACAACTGATAGGCTGCTGTATGAATCAGTCTCTTCGCTAGCAGATACTGTTGTCTTATCTGATATTCTACCAATACTGCAGATAGACACAGAAAACGTCTTGGCAACAATAAAAGTGCTTAATGTACTTGCAAGATACACGCAGAAATATGCCACACTGCACAAGTCAGACTGGCTGTACACAGAAATCATCCAGCTGCTATCCCACGTGCAGAACCCTTTCTACAAGATAGTTCAGTACATTATAGATACAAATATGATTCCAATAGATATATACACCCACGTGTACACAATAATCTACCATATACTTATACATGATATACCAGACTACTTTGAAGAGAACATAGGGCACTTTACAAAAGGTCTCTTCTGCATATCCAGCAAGCCACAGCTGCACACAGAGAATGCCAGCCTCAAGAACAACAATAATGTAAGAGCAGCACTTCTTATACAGATTAAGATGGCACTGATACTTCTTACAAAGTACACAGACGTATACGAGGAATTCAGCATATTCACTGAGTCGCTTGATGGCATCTATAGTAGAGCACATGAAAGCGATGAAGGAGTGCAGATTGAGTTTATGCACTATCTCCGGCAGCTTCTTCAAATAACCCCTCCTAATACGCCGCAGCACCTCCACTCTGTCCTGAGAATCCTCCTCAGTAAAATTCACCCGACAGAGATGGAAGGCAAGGAGTTTCTTTATGGGGACCCAGCCAGAATCCAGGAAATATCCGCAGGCATTATAAAGGATCTACTTGACCAGAATGCAACAACCCTTCAGGAACTGATAGCCCAGAACAACAGTCACTGCAAGAATGCAGAAAAAGGAGATATAAACAGCCAAAATGGCTCTCCTACTCGGCACTACAATGGAAACTACCACTCTGAGTCCTCTCTATATCTAGTGCTGTATTTAATGCGTTGTAGGTTTAGAATTTCATCTTCTTTTTACAGTCATTATGTAGAGCATGCAGTAAGCATACTTCTAGCAAACCAGTCCTGCTTGGACACGCACGAACTGCCCATATCGATGTCAATTCTTGTTCTTTCAATACAGCACGGCATATCATACGAATATATACAGACGCACACACAGCAAATACTGCAGTCAATAGACTCAGTCCTGGCAAGCATCGACGAGGATAGGTCACACCTGCTTTATTTAGCAATAGAGCTTCTCCATACGATATATGTGTACCACACAGAAGACCTTCCATACAGCCCACACGAAAGCACAATAGAAAAGCTTTTCTCAATATTCCAGCAGACAAATAATGAGCAGATTGAGTCTGCAATAAAAGGCCTCTTTCTGCTAATGAGAATGGACTACACCAGTAACAGCAGAAAGGAGAAAACCCCTGAAAGTACTGCAAGCATTAATAGAAGATACAGTAATGTATGCACCACAGCATACTATACGCTTATTAACTCTTCCTCGCTGTCGTGCCTTTCTATTCGATACCTATACAACATCGTAGCCCTTGACATATACTACCAAAATAACCCATCCTCATTCTATGCCCTTCTTCTCCACTCAATCCAGCACGACATCCATGAGTACAACACGTACAACATACTTATTCTGTCTATTGTTAATATACTGTACGATATACCGGAGTACAAAACTATATCTGACAGCATACTGAATAATAGCGGCCTCTACAGCAACGAATCGCTTGCTTACTTATTTATATCGCACTCTAACCAAAACTACTACAACTACGCACAGACCACGAATAACAGCAGCGTCATAAGAGCATTGGTAAAATACGGGTATATTTATAACTGCAATTACGACAACCTATTAATAAGATATGTGAATGGGAATGACAAGAGCATAGTAGATAGATTTATCGGAAAAACAAGCATCGCAGAAGAAGACACTAAATTTGCAATAGAAGAAATAGAGAAATACATAAGAGAGAATACTTACAGAGTAGAAGAGATGGGGAGGATATTAGAGAAAGTGAAAAAAAGAAGAGTGAAAAGAAAGGAAGAGAAAGAGGGAATAGACATAATAGAAGAGATAGTTAGTAAATATAAGGATAAGACTAAGAACAAAAGATAATTATAATACCTCAGATAATAAACAGAAACAAATGATAGTTCAGATTAGTTATGCGCTGCCTTTGCAAAGTGCTAAAGATGCATTCTTCTTAAATATTTTGCTGTGCAGTGCTTTTTCTGTTTATTTTGGGTTTCTCACTGCAAACCCCATAAGCCATGCAGCCCCATCCAGAATATCTCAAACAAAGCACACAAATTCCATGTACTCTCATTTGTCAGTGCTTGTTAATATTATGTACCTATGTCTAGGCACAAGGAATTTTTGTATGCAAGTTCGAATCGATGGTTGGATTTTTAAATGGTGCCTGGAAAATTGACTGAAGGCATATAATAGAATATGCCAAAAAGAGATCACATCCTTTATACAGCTTAAATACCTTTATCTGCGAACCAAGTAGGTGCCTTTATATTGATTTCCAATCTTACATATTCAAATTCTTATAAGACTAGTTTATTAATCACCCTAGCAGAGTTATTCCCTCATTAGCAGTAACACTCTGTCTTCTACCTCTTTCTCTGATATTTTTACTATTTTATTCTGCTTTATCTCCCTTACATACACATTTAATATAGGATTGTCTTTTAGCAGGTCTAGCTCGTATAAATACAAATCTATCCCTCTGTCTGTTAGTTTTACATTTATATCATAGTCCTTTCCTCCCTTCTTTACTGTATTTAGCTTGTATCTGTTGTAGATCATGCTTACTACGTTTAGCACTCTGTACAGCACGCTTACATCACTTCTTACATAGACGTACAAAAGCCTTTTAATGCACATATTAATGCTGCTTATGCTTATGTTGTTTATGTTCAGAATGTCTTCTGTTAAAAGCAGCAGCAAGTCAATATTATCATTAGTTATCCTGGAGTCTATCATGTTATACAGCAACTGAATCATGTCTATATCTATATTGTACTCCATGTAGAGCAACAGCAGCCCTTTCAGAGAGTACAGTGACATAGTGGAAGGATCATTCATCAAAGACAACAAAGTGTCAACTGCAATGACTGGGCAGTTAAGCAAAGGAAGAGAATCAATCAATAGTGCAAATAAAACGGCGTCATTATCTGATATAGAGGCCTCTAAGTCATTTAGAAATGTCTGATCAAGTCCTTCTTGTATTTCGTTTTCTTCAATAATTTCAGACCAGAAGAGTATTCTTTCCTCTGAGACGGGCATAAATTATAATAAAAAAATTATTATTAAGAGTTAACGTACTATGGCTTAAAATACTTAAGTATTGACCTTCCCTTGGCAAGAAGATTATCTTTTTGGTAATTGTCCATTTACAGCAAGAATACACTAAATACAAGCATTGCCACACTTCTATCTAAACTATCCAATTATAAAGAAATATACACATCACATGCAAAGACAAACTGTTCTTGCTAATACATAATAAGACTAGTTAGAAAAAATACACACTTCAATTCAATGAGTACTTTTCAATTAAAAGATGCATTTCTATTGACTCATATTTGTTTTCTTAAGGAGTTATTGTTAAACTTTAGCACTTATTTTAGAACTCAGCTCTTTAAATGTTCTGATCTTTAGTTTAATTTTCACATTTATCAAAATAAACGAACTAATTAATTTATGCTGTGTTGTGTAAGAAAACACCATTATTAGTTGTTATTGACAAATTCACTATTCCTAGACTAATTGCAGTGCGGGCTGCACTTTATACACTACTATATGCATTTTTAATGAAAGTTATATTTGATTAAAATCCTATTAGAGAGGATGCTTATAAAACTCTACTGACCACAGAGAACAAAACAACAATATTCATATACGGGTTATATCTAATAATATTAATATAAGGTTTTTAATAAGCCCGTATACAGATAATTAATAGAAGTATCTTGTAATTAGTGCTAAGAAAGTACTTCCTACTATATATTGAAAAATCATTTATTTTATTATAAAAAAATGGGCTCTTTCATCATTTGGATCAAGAAAGTTATCCCAATTGGGATTCTACTTATGAATATCTGCAAAACAGATGTATCACTGGATGAAGTAGAGTCAATTCTGCAATTTGAAATTTCAGCGAATTCTTCACAGGTTAAAGTAAACCCGGATGGGCCCCTTAACTTTCTGCGTGGATTAATTTATCATAAGATGCAGTGCATGTACAACAAAAGATTTTTTGCCCCGCAGATTGACATAGAGTACTCTGTGCAGGAGGATATAAGCGAGTTTGGCGCATACCCGAACTATAAATACACCAGAAGCACGCAAAGAGACAGAGCATACAAAACACAGTCCACTAATAAGATGGATATGTACACTGAAAAGTACCATAATCATCTGATTGAGCTGTTTCCATCCCCCACTAGAGAAATAACCATAGAGACACGAGGGAATCAGTCCTTTATTCAATTCCTTCGGGCTGAGACAACAGAGAAGCATGCACTGCATATTCTGGCTATGCTGCTTCTTTTTTCAGAAGGAGTAAATATTCCCATTAGAGCCACTAACATAATACTAGAAGTATATGAATTGGACCGAATTAAATTATACTTCAGCGTTCCCATGAAAATCCCATGGATGAATCCTGTAACAAAAGAAATAGAAATGTTCTCCCAAAAGAAAGTTAGACAAATGATCAGTTTCTTCAAGGAAAACTCAACTAATTCCGAGATATTAAACATAATGGTGGACAAGTGCACAAAAGAGGAGGTTATCTCTGGAAAGTTCCTGGATAGTCCTAAGTTCCTAATACAGTCGTACATATTCGGGTTCATAGACACAGAAGAGACTGCAAAAGAGTTTATACAAATTGTGCACACAATGACAGAGAAGTATGCACCAAAGACAGAAGCACCAAGTAAAGATGACTTTGTATACGACAGACTGTTTACGTCTGCTAGTACAGCAACAGAAACACAGTGCATTGCCTTAATGAAGGATACACAGGAGATCATAAATATGAACAAGGTTTTCCCATTTATAGACAGCACACAGATCCCTGCATACACATCTATTCCTTGGTACAACCGAGAAACAACCTCATTTTCTACTAACCATTTAGAAGACTACAGTAACTGTGTGGAGTGCATGTTTCTTTCCTTTTTCTGCTGTCTGGCATATGACCCAGCAGAGGGAATGTATCGGACAGATCACATGGGAGATGTCTCTGAAGAACTTAAAGAATTCTTCTCTCCAGAAAACCAGCCACTTGACATAAAAAAGACTAAAGTACAGAGAAAGTGGTGCGCACTTATTTCAGACTTATACAACCAGAATGTCGCATATTGCATGAAAGGGAACGAGCTAGACACAGGCCTTCTTAATATGCTCATGGTCATTTCTGAAATAGTAAATGCATCTAGTGATGAAAAAGACATAATAATTGGCTTTGCAAAGAGTTTAAAGGAGCAAAAAGAGAAATTAGAAGAAGAAATATGGGATAATATAAAGAATTACACAAAAGAGTTATTTACACGCCTAGCTAAGACAGATAATGTGCAAATAGCCTTCTCTGATCTTGAAAACATAGAATATCCAGATGGAAGACACGATGTAATAGGAAATATTTCTATAGTATTTGAGCACAACTCCATTAAGAACCTAGTACTCTTAACTATAACAAATATGCACAGCACTATTGAAGTAATACCTGCAGATATAAAGGGTACAAATGAACAGATAGAAAGAATGAATGAAATAGCAGACTCCTGCAGAAATAGAACAACATTCCTTGAAAACTTGTTTTCCGTATACGCTGACAATGAAATCCGAAAGATTAGTGGGCCTGAGAAGAATGATGAGTTTACAAAGGAACAAGTGCGCAAGACCATTGAGAATAACTTCACAGATATGAATAGACTAATGATAATAAGGAAAATCAGTGATTTCAGTTACAAGAAGGAATTAGTCACATTTTCCAGCATAAACAGTTTAAATCAACCCCTATCCCCAGATCACCCTCTTGTTAGATTTACCTCCAACCTAGTAGGAAGCACAGAACTAAATAACCGCAATATTCAGATGGAAATACTTCCCCCAATTATTTTTGCAGGGTGGGATTCTGAGCCCAGCAGGAATCTCAACTACCCAAGGATACAACTGTCAGAGGAAAGACATAAAACACTGGCTCTGTACTTAGAAGGCAGGCACATCAGTGAGCATATACTAAACTGTGATATATCTATTATTATGTCATGGATAGTGTACTGCATGAACAATTTACAATTGCATGGGACAAGATTTGAACCATTACTAACAGGCTCAATTAATGGGCACATTTGCAAGCACATATTTAAAAATGAAAGCATGAAATATTCTGATATAATTGATGATCTCTTAGAGCAAGCATATCCCAGCAAGAAAGACAAAATGATAAGCCGTATGCACTATATATGGCTCGTATATCTTTGTGCTGAGAAGAACCCGAATACAAAGCTAATTAAGACAAACTTCCATGCTATCCATGATTTCCACCATATTTCAGTCTCATGCAATAGGTATATTAAAGAAGGTCCAGCATGCGAACTTGCTCTTCAAACTCTCAAAAAACTGAAGGATCTTCTGTGCAGTGATGAAGAATCCACCAGTAAGTTCAGCAGAATTATAGCCACACTTCAAAATGAATACCACAGTGCACCCTCGCATGGAAGATAAATAAATCACTCCATGAACTCCATCTACTTAAATATTTCTTTCAGTGAGGATTTTTAGTGAGTTCAATAAAAGCTTCTCTTTAAATTATTTCTGAAGAGTTTTAGCTAGTGCTTCCCCGTATTTTATAATGTGAAAGCATAAAGGGGAAAGTATATTCGGGGATATTCAGGGGATACTAGCAGATAGGGGTGGTTAATATGTGAGATTTATCTTTATTACTTGGTAGGTGCCTTTATTGTCTGTGTATTTTTGTCATTTGGTGAATATATTTCTTACTGTTGTCATGCACTGCTTATTTTAATACTCTCATACAATTAGCAGTCTTCTAATATACGAAGAATCTTCTGAGGGTGAGAGTTAAAGAACTCTCGTAGGCACAGAGTAATAATGTGGCATTTTACTACAGTAATATAAGATAAGTTGATTTCTTAAGAAGTATCATTTATAAAGTGCCTTTATTCAAGTCTTGATAAGTTTAAACCTCTATGAGTTTGAAGGGGAAACACCTTCTCCTTTCTTTAACTGGCCTAATAATCTGGCAATTTCACTTGTATATTCTTTCAGGTTATCAGGATAAAAATAAACCAACAATAGAGAATGTACTAGTCATTATACGGTGCATACAATAAGATACTGCATATTCCTCTACAGTTATATATTCTTTAGATATGTATATCTCTATCTTGCAAGACCTATCATAGCATATATAATAACCCATAAGATTAAATATACATTACTACCTATAATAGTATATCATATAACCCAAATCTCATAAGATATAACCATCCTGCAGTATAGTATATAATTACCTCTCTGTACTAGAAATATTTATTTTTTTATTTCGGAAAGACCAATGGAAGAACAAAAGAATCCAATTGCCTTTCAATGCGTGTCCTGTAATACAATAATTTCAGATTCTTTCTTTCTATTGGAGAGAGTAGAAGAATCTCTTTTATTCACAGAAGTCCCAAATACAATCATTGACACGTCAGTTACTTCAATAGAAATAGAAGGTGTCTCTTGTTCATACTCTAGTATAAGGTGCATCTGCAATAAAGAAATAGGCAGAAAGTACATTACAGTTAATGAATCATTAAATAACTGCTTAAATAACTATCTAATAAAGATAAAAGAGATAAGAGGATATCAATTAGGCGTAAAGAAGCAACAGAAAGATGCAAATATAATGACAAATAAAGAGATAAACACAGAAATAATAAAACTACAAAGGTTCTGTACATTCCTATACGGCAAACTAAAAGAAATAAGGCAGTAGTATAGGGGTATAATACTATTATAAATATAGGACATAGTAGCAGGGTATATTCATCATAGTATCCATATAATAAACAATATTGCACTGTACACCTTATATTTACGTTATAATAGAGTAATAGCTATTTATTCAGGCGAACCATAATCATGCACTATATAATATATTAGTACTATACATAGTTGTATACAATAGTGCACAGGTGCATAGTATAGTGGAATGCACTGTGATATACTGTAATATACTGTGATATGTGGGAATACACTGTAATGCACTGTGATACACTGTGATATATAGAAATCTACTATAATACACTGTAATGCACTGTGATATACTATAATATGTGAAAATCTACTATGATACGCTGTGATACACTGTGATATGATATAGTGCATTATAAATATACTATACTCACTGTAATATTCCATAGTACATTGCAATAGTCCATATAAACCCGTAATAATCACCATAAAAAGACAAATTGCACAATATTATAGCATAGAACACCCTAATGAACCACATACTACTGTAACACACCCTATAATATACCCCAATGAATCACAGCAATTCCACTAAATTTCACTAAAAATACAACAATATGACATGTATATGCACACATAAGTCTTTACCTTTTATTCCCTAAAAGTAACTAATTAATTATACTCCAATAGAATAATATATCTATAAATAAATCCCAAAAATAAAATATTACCAAGAAATAAGAACAAGACACTGCCAGAATAATAGTGTACTAGTAGACTAGGGTACTAGATTAATAATACTACTACTAGCATAATATTACTACACTACTACTGCTACTAATTCTTTCATATTACTACTACACTACTACTGCTACTAATTCTTTCATACTACTACACTAATACTACTGTATACTACTACACTAATACTACTACTAACAATTTCTTCATACTATTGCTACTACACTACTACTACTAACAATTTCTTAATATTAATATTACCATATCCACTCCCTTAATATCTTTATACTTATATCATCTAGTGCTACTAACTTCCTATTATTTATCATAACTGTATTATCACTGATTATTATACTGTCTTTGTTGATATATCTTACAGTATCATGTACTATCTCGAATATTAAATTATTCAGTTTAACAAAACTCCTTCCCTTCCATTTAAACCAGCCTGCTTCTACTAGGCTTATTTTATCTTCACTGAATCTTATGTCTCCTGTGCAGATATTTGTCAGGATGAATTGTTGTATGAATTTATATGAGTTATCTAGTAGAACGCGTATTATGAACTTAATTAAGTCATTGCGTCTTGGGTATGTCTTTGGGTCAATTGACTTAAACCCTTTCATTTTTAGCTTAGCCAGGATATCTGTGTGCTCATTTACCAAGGATATTAGTTCCAGGATATCTGTGAACTCTTTAATTATTGTCCAACTGTGGTTATCTGCGGATATTCTTATAATGTACGTCGTATTATCGTTTTTTATATAATTAAACTTATGCGATAATATTTCAACGGAAAATGGAGGATTAATCCTTGGGCCAGGCGCAAATATATTGGATACATCAGGGGCGCACACTTCTTCACTGCTTATTTGATCAAATTCAATCTTTATTCCTTTTTTATGCCAGTAAATATTCTGTTGCAGGTCCATAGGCTAAAAAAAAGTGAAAAATAAAAATATGGAAAGTGATAATTTATTTTTAGGTGGATTAAGTCTTGTCAAGTTTATAAAAAGTGGATTAAGTTATGTAAAGCTTATAAAAAGTAGATTAAGTCTTGACATAGCGGATTAAGTCCTGTTATTTTCAAGTAAAGGTGTAAAAAGTCTTGACAAAGTGCCATAAATTCTGTCACTTCGTAAAAAGTCTTATCCCCTGAATGTACAGAACTTATGGCCCCTCGAAAAAATATTAAGTTTTGTCAAAATGCATAAATTTATTTTTGCAGCATAAAATAAAATGGCAGAAACCATGCAGGAACGCGGTAAATCTGCGTCTAACCCATTAGAGTGCCTTGAATTTAGCAATGATTCAGTGAGCAACAGGATTCTCCTTAAAAAAGCCCTTCCTGAACTGATAAACTTGGACACGTCAATTTCCATACTAATTGAGCGAGTTTCCGTTGAAGAATTTCATGCGTATAAAAAATACGTTAATTTAATTCTACAAGAAAATCCTGCAGATAACCTGAGTGTAGCTGGAATTAGCCCGAATTTGCAGGAAAAAGCAAGGATTTATCACATTTCTATGATGAAAATCCTAAAATATGTGAAAAACAGTGATAAAATCGAGTTAAGAAGTGAAACCACTGCGGAGGATGGGTTTGAAATCGAAAACTGCCCAGAGGATGACTCTGATTTGTTGTTTTACCTTATAATGGGCATTTTTGAGGAACATTTATTCGGGTTATATAAACCATATTGCATACAGTATGTTATTTATGCAATTGCAATGACAAATTACAACAGGATGAGCTGTTTTTTATCATTTTTATGCAGTTTGCTCCAAGGAAATGACCAGAGACGCACGATTTCAGCACTTTTCATGGCCTCCTTCGTTGGACATATTAAAAAACCGTCTCAAGACGCACTGGAAATCATCCTGGAGTACGTTAGACTAGCAAAGGAACGTATTTCCACTGTGAATGACAAGTTTAGTCGTGTTTTACTGTCAGGTCTAAGGTTTATTAATGAAAATAACCCCAAAATACCCGAAATCAGTGATTTTTTAACGGAATTTGAAGGAATTAATGGGGAGCCTGTTGTATTCCCGTTTGATAAAGCACCAATTGCAGCATATCAGGCCATTATAGATGAAATAACAGACGAAATAATGGAATAATTTATTTTTTGTGGCAAGACTTTTTACACGTTATTGGGAAAATGACAGGACTTTTTACACCTTTACTTGAAAATGACAAGACTTAATCCACTATGACAGAACTTAATCCACTGTATGCCAATAAATAGCAAAAATTAATCCACTATGACAAGACTTTTTACGAAGCAACAGGACTTTTTCCACCTTGTCAAGACTTATGGCACTTATATTTATGTATTACAACTTTGTACAAGACTTAATCCATATGCCATAAGTTTTGTCCAAATAAATTACAAGACTTAATCCCCCCCTCCCCAAAACTGACAAGACTTAATACGCTCTATCCCAAAATAACCCTTAATTAATAGACATAAAAATGAACACTTTTATTTTCTTTCCTTCAGTTTATGAATCTATTATAAACCCATTATTTTTGCTTTTTAAAACTTTTCTTTACTTCTTTTTTGATTTCTTCTTTGGGATTATCATTCTTTTTGTTTTTCTAACGGTATAATTTGTTGTCTTTTGTTTTTCTTTGTTCGTTCCTGTGTGCTCTCTCTCTTTCTTCTCACGCTTCTCTGCCTTTGCCTTTGCGATTTTCTCTTCACGCGTTGCTTTTCTTCGGATTTTCCCGATCATTTCTTCTGTCACAAACCCGTTAGAATCATCGTCTGTTTCATTTTCGAAGCCGTTAGATTCAGGTTCAGTCTCTGAAGAATATCCTTCATTTTCACTTTGTGTGCTGAAATAGTCGTTATTATTACTATTTGGGGAAATATCCTCTTTAGGCGTATCATTTCCATTTGTGGCAATTTCCTCATCTGTCGCATAATCACTTTCCAATTCGGTAATTTCATCATCGAGATTATTTCCTCTTTCGTTAATTTCCCTAACCATTTTTTTCAGCGCACTTGCAGCGGTCTGCGCCTTTCTTTTATTCATCTTTTTATATCCCGTTATAACGCGGCCTATAGAAGCATAAGCAACAGCCTTAGGGAATCGCCTAATTATCATTCTTAATGAATTTATTCCATAAGCAATCACCTCATCGTCCCTGAAATCACTGCAAAAATTTTCAACAATCAAATCACAAACTGCTTCTACCTCTTTTTCTAACGTATTTTCATGGATTGCTTGTGAAATTGTTGCAAAAACCGTTGGTAATTCATTTTCATGCGGGAATAAAAAGCGCATCATATAAGACATAAACCCTTTTACCGTTATTTTACAATACGCAATCATCCTAGATATAACCTGGACCAATAATAGTTTAACTTCACTGGAATATGTTGATTTTTTGACTAATTTAAATAATTTGGCGGTTATTTCTGGTGCATTCTTAATTCTATTAATTAAAATTACTATATTTGGTAATTTTTCTAATTCTTTTTCTTTTTTTTCTGCCAATTTTTTCAGAATTAATTTTTCCTTTCTCTCATTTCTTTTTTTATCTGCTTTTGTCTCTCGTTTTATCTTAAGATCTGTCTTTCTAGAAGGCATATCTACCTCCTCTTCCGTTATAACTAGCTGTACTCTGTCTAATAAGTATCTTAAAATGAATTTTATAACGGTTTCTGGTGCAAATTCAATAATTTTGAAGACAATTTCCGTTGATTTTTCATCTGTCCATGTATTTCTGCTAATTAAATGCATGTATATATACGCAGCCCTTTTAGAATGCATTTCTACACCAGATTTAACGGTATTTTTAAGAATATTTTGAATTATTTCTTTATATTCCACATCCCGTATGATTTCTGCAATTAAAAACTGCAGGAAGGTGGTTTTAGTCCTTTTATCCATCGATTCTATCAAGGGTATGGCTTGTTTATAGAATATTTCAGGCCCTAATTGTTTTGTTTTTTTTAAGGTAGAAATGGCCGTTATAACGGCTTGTGAAATTGCCTTATTTAGTAATGTATAATAATCTAGTGCAAAATTAAATATTTCTGTTGAAATATCTTCTGAGAAATGTTTTGAAATATGAGGCAGAAATGTAAGAAGGGATGCTAATTCTTTGTTCTTTGCTTGTGGGTCTAATTTGGATATTTTTATCATTCCCTTTAACTTTTCCACTTCATTCTTGTATAAGCTTGTGAAACTCTTTGGGTCTCGCTTAATTTGCAGCTGCAGACGGATATCCATGTGAAAAAATTGAAAAAAATAAATATATTTATGTTTATAGACTAATTATATACGGGAAAATAGAGGGCTATAAGGGTACCCCCTTGTATTATATTTATGAGAGAGATGTAAGGGGGGAGTATTGGAGAGTTAATTTATGAAGTGGTTCTAAGGGGGTACCATTGGAATTGTTTGGGTTTTAGTGAGTTCTAAGGGGGTACCATTGTATATTATTATTTTATATGAGTTATAAGGGGGGAGTATTGTAATTAGTAAGAATGTGTTGTATTTATGACTAACTATACTCGGGTATATAATACTGTTATGTTTAGTCATAGTACGTTATAATTAGTCTATCTCTATATATTCTGTTGTATTTATGACTAATTTATAAGTCCTGTTGTATTTAGTATACTACCATTGTATTTAGTCTTCTACTGTTACAATTAGTATATACTCGTTGTATTTATGACTAACTATTCAGATAATATTATTTGTTTATTTTTTAAAATAATTCGTTTTATAACGCACATTGTAATTGGTGCTTTATGCTGCGCTTATTTCTTGCAGAATTCCTGCAGACGCATGGAAATGGAAAGAGACTTACGTGCGCATTCGAATTTATTTGAAGACTCTTCCATGGAGGTCATAAATAACCAAATTCAAGATGATTTAAACGCATTTTCCATTATATCTCCAGTTACGACATTAAATCACCCGGAAATACCTGAAATATCAACGACATCCCAAAATAAGTTGATAAAAATGTCTAACTGCTTTTTTAATCAAGTGCACCTGTTGGATTCTTCGGGTAACATTGTCTTAACGGCTAGTTCTGGGTGGTCTGGGTGGGATATTTTCCTACCAACGGGTGAAAAGGCCGGGAAATTAACAAAGAACATAACAGGAACAAAGTATTACCTTAATTCTTCATTTGGAAACTGTTTAATTAAGTATTTTAACGTATATTCCAATGCAGGCCCTAGAGTTTTCCATATTTATGCAGATTTATTAATTGAAAATCAAAAAAAAAAAGAAAGTCTCCAGGATAGAGTTCGAAAAAAATCGAACGAGTACGCTTTTTTAATCAATAAGCCACCATATTTTAATTATGAAAGTAATTCTTATGTGCTTAATTTTAACGGGCGCGTGACAATGCCGTCTTCCAGGAATTTCCAAGTGATTCACCCAAAGGACACTTCGTATATTACAATTACATTCGGGAAAATCGCACAAAATGAGTACATTTTAGACTATTCTTACCCTTGGACGCCTGTTCAGGCACTTTCCATTGCACTTTCTTCATTTTCGTGGAAATTAGGCGGATAATTATCTGTGGATTAAGTCTTGAAATATTTTTATGAAAAATCCGTTGTAAATTAGACTAAAAATTAAAAAAAAAGTGCAAAATTTATAGATGTTTTTTTTTGCAAATTTATGCATGAGAACGGGTTATTCGGGCTATATCGGGTTATATCTGGTTATATCGGGTTATTATCAGAAGCAAACACAGTTATATTAGGGTTATATAAGGACTGGACTAAATTTAGTATGAAATTAGACAGGATCATATACAGGAATACTGTTAAAGCAGTTAAGCACAAGGCTAAAATGGATAAAATGATGGTAAAATCCGTTAATTCCTGGAGAAAACAGTTATTTAGACTATTTATGACTAAAATAGGCGTAAATTATATAGGAGTAGAATAAATGAGTGTTATATATTTAGTGAGTTATAAGGGGGGACCATTAGGAATTTGGGTTATACAAGGGGGGAGTATTGTATTATTAATTTTTTAGTGAGTTTATAAGGGGGGACCATTGGAAGTATTAATATTATGTTGTATTTGTGACTAACTATACTAGGGTATATATACTACTGTTATAACTATTCTTATACTGTTGTATTTGTGACTAACTATACTAAGTTTATATATTACTGTTATATTTAGTCACATCCCACTGTAATTAGTCTATCTCTATATATCCTGTTGTAATTAGTCTATATATTTTATAACTCAAATTTGGTCATAATTTACATATTTATTCTATTCCTGTTGTAAAATAGACTAAATTCCCGTTGTAATTAGTCTATGCCTTATACTAGGGTTACATCATATGGATATTTATAAATAAATAAATTTTATTTATAGTTATATACGTATATATGGAATACTGTTGTAATTAGTATATTTCTGTTGTATTTGTGACTAATTTGTATATTTCTGTTATAATTAGTCGTATACCGTTGTATTTGTGACTAACATATATTATGTGTTCTGTTGTAATTAGTGTATTTCTGTTATATTTATGACTAACCATATACTACTGTTGTATTTAGTATTCGGGTTATAATTAGTATATTTCTGTTATATTTATTACTAATTATACTCGGGCTACAAGGGGGTACCCTTACAATTACTTATAACCCGTTATATTTATGACTAACTATACTCCATATATAATTCTAATATTTTTATAAATATTTTTATATTATTAATATCCTGTTGTATTCATGACTAATTTAGTATAATAATAAGAGTATAATTTATTTCTCTACTGCATTTACTGTATACGGCAATATTTCAACGTACTTTTCAGCAAATAAGTCATAAACTGCAATAAATGGGTATTCAGATATAATAATTCTTTCACACTCTTTAAGCCCCTTCCTTTCCCTCATTATTTTCCGTAAATAATTTTCATTTTTGGTTCGGGTTATAGCGGGTTTTGATTTAAATGCTGAATTAACTTCTCAATTGTTAATCTCCTGATGGAATTTTCATCTTTTTCTGCATCTGACAGTTGCGCATACGGAACTGTTGTTCCATTTTGGATTAAAAATTCATCTACCCCGTATAACGGGTTAAATTTATTTTCAGAAGGTATCAAAATACCGTTGGCCTTGGTGGAAAACAAGTGAAATTCATTGTTTTTATCAATATACGCATAGAAACACTCTGCTGTGCACGTAATTTCGCCTAATTGTGATAAATTATTGACAATTTCTGCTAATTCGCCGTTTTTTAGGACAGATTTAACGTATGGCCCTGGGAAACCACTTAATTTCTGTATGTATAATGAATAATCTTCTACTACAACGGGTCCCTGGACTATTTCATGGGCTGCTTTTGCCTTATTTCTTATAATTTCCTCTGAGGTGCCTTGAATTTCATCTAGATCCTTTGCAATGAAGGTATATTCTATTCTGTCCTTGATGTATGAACTTATTTCCTTTCTTTTCCTAGGGCTTCCTGTTACGATTGTAATCATGTATTTTCTTCTGCAAAAATAAAAAAGAATTTAAGTCTTCAGAAAAATTCGCATTTACCGGGGCATTACTTTTGACACATGGTGTATAAAGTTTTGTCAGATTTCCCAGGACTTATGACACTATATATATAAAGTTTTGTCAGGGAATAGTGCAATACTTTATGCACTATGTGTCAAAAGTAATGCTTTTTTAACGGAATTCGTTAAAATGAAAATTGTTATTAAAAAATGCTAATTTAAAGAATGGATTTTTAAAATAATTAGCTGTTATATGGGATCTAAATGATTTTTAATTAAAATTATAACAGAATTTATTACATCATGTGGAAAAAGTTTTGGTAATTTTGGGAAGAGAGGGAATAAGTCTTGTTATATTTTCGGGGAGAGGGGAAAAGTCTTGTACAAAGTGGAATAAGTCTTGTCAGTTTTGGGAAGAGAGGGAATAAGTCTTATACAAAGTGAAAAAGTTCTGGCATATTTGACAATAAAAAATTGCAAGACTTTTTCCATTCCTCCCTAAAATATGGCAAGACTTATTCCACCCTATATACAATTTTCTCTTATTTCACAACAACCCGACAAGACTTAATCCGCTTCTCCCTAAACAGACAGAACTTAATCTACTCTTACAGAACTTAATCTACTTTGTCACAATTTATTCCACTCTGACAGGACTTTTTCTACTTTTTATAAAACTGGCAAAACTTAATCCACTTCTCCCCGAAAAAACCCTTAATTAATAAATAGTAATAAACCTCTTTATTCATTATCTCTTCTAATACTTTTCACAGTAATATTTTGGCTAGCTCTTTCCTTCCTTCTCTCCTTTCTCTCCTTTCTTTCTTCACTTTTCATCTTTCTCCCGGGTTTTCCCATCTTCTTCTCTTTTTTCTTCTGATTTTTCTCATTTTCTGGTGATTTTTTTTCGCTTCCTCGCTTTCTCTCTGCAATTTCTTCATCAGTGAAGCCAATTTTTTTGATTTTCGCAATGAAAAATCCGTCTGTATTGTGGGTGTGAGGGTAGAATCTTCTGGTCATCCGTAAAGAAGGATGGAACACCCAGCCCCTGTAGGATTTGAAGCCTTCTTCACCAATGGGCAGTTCTGTCTCCACAAGCCGTGCATTCTTCCTTTTCTTCAGTAAATTATCTACAACGTACTCGTTCTCTTCAACTAAAATTGAACACGTAGAATAAACCAACACAGAAGACGCACTCTTCGCATCCAGCATGTCAAATCCCTTTAGAAGCAGGGCCATCTGCTGATACTGCAATTTCTTTATGTCTTTCTCAGTTTTGTTTCGCTTGATCATTTGGTCTTTTGAAATTACACCAGTCCCAGAGCAGGGAGCATCCAGGAGCACTTTGTCTACACTACTGTAAGGCAATCCTCTTCCCCCAAGGACTGTGACTATGGAATTCGTGACACCCATCCGTTGTAAATTTGCGACTAAAGAAAGTGCCCTATTAGGACACACATCATTAGCGTAAAGGGTTCCTGTGTTGTTCATGAGTGCAGCTAAGTGCGTTGTCTTTCCGCCTGGTGCTGCGCACATATCTACGACTGTCTCATTTTCTGTTGGATTTAAGGCAATGGCTGCGAGTGTGGAAGTGGGTGACTGCAAGATATAACTGCCAGCCAGGTATTCTGGCGTAGCACCAATTGGTATATCTGAGTTATACACTACAGCTGAACAATTATTCCATTTAATTGGCTCTATATTTATGCCTCTATTAATTAATTTCTTGATGACAGATTCTCTTGTCTCTCTGAGTGTATTTATCCTTATGGTTGTTGGTCTTTTTTGGTCAGAAGCAATTAAGAATGCTTCTTTTTCTGTCTTGTTGAATATTTCTGATATTTTTTGGAGTAAAAAGTCATTGTATGTAGATTCAATTGGGGAACATGCGTGTTGATTTTCGTCTTCTGAATGGGAATGGTCTTCTGTTTTGCTGGCGTGTTCTCGTTCTACTCTCATTTATGAAAAATTTGCAAATAATTAATTAAATACTACTGGAAACTAGTGTACTAGTGAATATACGTTGTAACTGTGACTAACTAGATTTGGTAGTATATTAGTGTATTTTACTGTTGTATTTGTGATTAGTTCTAGTAAGAGGTATTTTTCTGTTGTAGTATACATTTGTACGTTATAACTGTGACTAACTGTGATTGAGTGTGTTTTACTGCTGTATTTGTGTATTTTCTGTTGTAACTGTGACTAACTGTGATTAAGTGTGTTTTCAGTTGTACTGTGAATTTTCAGTTGTAACTGTGACTAACTTTGACTATTTCTAGTAAGAGGTATTTTTCAGCGGTAGTATACATTTATACGTTGTAGCTGTGACTAATAATCTCTACTAGACAATATTTGCTTTGTGAATATAAATAATTTCTTGACAAGAAGTATTTTCTGTTATAACTATGACTAATATTCTCTAGTAAAGAGTATATTCTGTTGTATATGACTAATCTACAATAAACATGACTAACTTCCAGTGAATGTGTATATCCTGTTATAAATATGACTAACTTCCATTAATAACCATATACACTCTAATAAACACTGTCTCTTTAATACTCATAATGTATAATTATTTCTATTTATTTACATGAAAATAGGACACCTGCGTATCTGCTGTGTTTCTGCTGATGACCTGCAAATTCATGGATGGGCAATGGGTCTGTCCTTACTTCTTTTGTCCCAATGTCCTTTAAGTATATTTCCAGGATCCTTTCACCTGCCCTTAAATTCTTGTAGTATATTCTGTGGTACGCCCTGATCTCTGCAGCTGTCTTTGTGACAATGTAATTCGCAAGTACGCCCCAGTTCTTTCCAATGTGCGGGAATAAAAGGGCGAATGTCTGTCTCTCATGGATCTTCCAGTCGTCTAATGTTTCTTCCTTTTTTTCTTCTCTTTGTTTTATCTTTACGGGAGCCTTTTCTTTCTTCTGGTGATATTTCTTGAAGTATTTGTAGAATATCTTTAGGTCTATTTCTGTCTTCCCTGGGATACTTTTCATGTACTCCTTCCACTTCTTCCCTAACTCTGGGAATAAGCTTGAGAATATTTCCATTTCATGAGGTGCCCAGTCTCTGGCTACAATCTCATTGAGTTCTTTGTCTGGGATCTTTCTGGTGTCTGTTGCTATCTGTGATGGCTTTAGTCTTAGCTTATACTTCAGGAGATAGTATAATTTGACTATTTCCTTGTGAGATCTCCATGGGAGATATTTTCTTCTAATTTCCAGGAAGTTCTTTCCTATCTCCAGGAATGCACTTTTTATGGCAGCTTCATCTCCTGCGTATACGTATACTTGTGCACTTATTTTATGTTTTGCTTCAATATTTTTTATTGTGTCTGTGTATACGTAGCTTGCTAATTCGTGTGGTTCTCTGTCTGGAATTGGTGCTTCGTTTAATTTACTTCTTTCGTCTGCTGTTCTGATGGCTTCTGAGATTAATTCTTTGTCGTACCCAAGGAATCTCATCTCTTTATTATTTGACCACATGGTGATTTCTGCTTCAACAGAAGGTGATACTTTTTGTTCTTTGTTCTTTTCTTCTTGCAGTCTAGCGACTTCTTCTTGTTCCACTTTATATTTTGCCATGAGGTACGTGTAAATACTAGGAATACTTTCTGGTCTAGAAATATCTTCACTTGTGTCTGCACGGTAGTCGTAGGCTACTGTATTTATAGTATCTGAGGGTGTATATATTTCTGTTTCTGTTGAAATATTCTTGAATACTGGAATATTTAACGGAACTATATCTGTGTCTACTGTACTTTCTGGGACTAAGTTTATTCCACTGTGTGCGTGTATTAATTCGTATGCGATTCTGTCTGTCTGTTCATTGATTAAGCAGCTGTCTGAGTCTGGCATAATTAGTTCATGGCTGGTTATTTCTTGGCTAGCTAGGTCTTCTTCTGCTTGCTGATTGATTATCTCCATATTAATTATCTGCTGAGTGACAGGTTCTTCTTGTGACTGACTGACTAATTCTTCTACTGGGACTAATTCTTGTTGGTTTATGGCTTGTTCTTCTTGTTTTACTTTTGCTAATTCTTTTACTGGGACTAATTCTTGTGACTGACTGACTAAGTCTTTTACTGTTACTAATTCTTTTACTGGGACTAATTCTTGTGGCTGACTGACCAACACTCTCACTGTGACTAATTCCTCTACAGGGACTAATTCTTTCACTATGAGTGGCTCTTGTCTAGTGACTAATTCTTTCACTGTTATTAATTCTTCTACTGGAACTAATTCTTGTGGCTTACTGACTAACTCTTGTCTTACTTCAGAAAATTCTTCTACAGGGACTAAGTCTTCTACTTTGACTGGTTCTTGTCTAGTGACTAATTCTTCTACTGGGACTAACTCTCTTACTGCAGCTGTTTCTTGCCCTGCTTCAGTGAATTCTTTCACTTCTTCTGTGGGTGCTGACTGACTAAACTGCTCTCTCACTGCGCTTGCAAAATCTGCTCCTTCACCACCTTCTGCTTCTTCTGTGGGTGTTGGCTGAGTGAATATTTCTTCACCTTCTTCAACTATTTCTTCTCTACCTTCTCCTTTCACTTCCACTTTCACTATTTCTTCTCTACCTTTACCACCTTCACCTTCTTCGGGTACATCCTGGTGTGTATATTGCTCTGTTATGACTGTCTTATTTTCTGTGGCTTTCTGTGCATTTTGTTCTCTTTCGTATATTTCTATTGTGTCTTCTTCTATTTTTCTTCTCTTCTGGCTCTTGTGCGTGTCTCTGTGTGGTGCTTCAGTGGCTTCTTTCTCTTTCTGACTGTCTGCGTATGCACTGCTGTCTGTGTACGTTATGGACAGATCCTGTATCTCCTCTAGACTAACATACTCTTCTATTGCTTCTTCTACTGCTTCTTCTGGGTGACTGCTTTGTGCACACGGAATTTCTTCTTTCTGCTCTGCTGGGTGCAGTGTCTCTGAAGCATAATCTCTCTCTCTGTGCGTATATCTTGACTGATACTGTGTCCCCCAGGGCCTGTGCCTCTGCTGCATGTACGCGTCGTATTGAAGTTGCTCTCTCTCTGGGCTGTAGCTGGAGTGCCATCCTCTCCTTCCAGTTTCTTCGTAATTTGCGTATCTTTCTTCCAAGGGATTTGTGTAGTATCTTCTGGGATGTGTTCTTTTATTGCCCTTTCTTGAATGCCAGTTCCTCCGTCTCTCCCCCGTCATTCTTTAAGAAGTAAAAGAAAATTCACTCTATTTACTCTTCATTAATTTAATTTCTTTTTGTTTTTAATGAACATGGAGAGCGTAAAGGGCACTATCCAAGAGATAGAACGAAATATTATCGCTTCCAAGATGAATTCTTGTGAAGATGGAAATTCTGCTGAAATTAGTGCTGTAGTGAATTCACTAAAAAATACAGCAGGAAAATGCACAAAAACTGGGACAACAATTGTTGGTGTGAAAGGTGACACTTTTGTTATTTTGGCTGCTGACACAAGATCCACTAACGGCCCAATAATTGCAGACAAGAATATTAGCAAGATCCATTATATCTCTGATAATATCAGTTGCTGTGGGGCAGGTACAGCTGCAGACACTAGATTTACTACAAAAATGGCAGAATCTGCCTTAAAACGGTTTAACTTAAAGTATAACAGGATTCCTGCTCTGTCTTACTGTGTGAATATCCTGAAAAGGCATCTTTTTTCATACCAGGGCCACGTTTCAGCGAGTTTAATTGTGGGAGGGGTTGACGAGACTGGGCCTGGTCTATTTGGAGTGCACCCGCATGGGAGTGTAGACACTCTTCCATATACTGCGCAGGGCTCTGGTTCTTATGCTGCAATTGGTGTCTTGGAGACTGAGTGGAAAAAAGGCATGCAGGAGAGTGAGGCCGTGGAGCTGGCATGCAATGCAATTGAAGCAGGCATCAGAAATGATTTATACTCTGGCTCTAATATTGATATATGCATTATTCGCCAAAATGAAACGGAAGTGTTCCAGAAGGAGCATAGAAGAGGGTTTAAGGTGATTGGGAAGAAGCAGCCAAGAGAGATGAAGTACACTTATCCCCGGGAAAGTATAAAAATAACAAAAGAAGAAGTGTTTGATTTGATATCTGTTACAAATGAGATGGAGGTGGAGTACTAGACAGAATAAATCAGTGCGGTGTATTTTTCTTGGCTATTTCCTTGAGATTTCTGTGTTTTTTATGGTGCATTTGCAAAGACAAATTATGGCTGGTTTTAGTTCTGCGTGGTTTTTTGTGCTTGAAATGGATTTCTGTGAATTTTGGTGCATAATATCCGGGTTATACCGGGTTTCTGGATATTTTGGTTTACTTCGTGCACTCCCTGTATATGTAATGTATTTCTGGGTTCTTTGGTATTTTTGCTGCTAAATAATTTCGGTTATACTATGGAATAATTATGAAATATATCTGGTTGTATATGGGTATATTACAGTGCATTTAGGTCATATGCACAGTATTTGGGGTATTCTGTGCATATATCCAGAATTCTTCATTGATTTCCTTTTAGTTTCGGGTTATATAAGAAATTTATGTAAACTTGCAGTATAATCTGCTGAATGAGAGTGCTTCTTGTGGAAATGCTTCATTTTGTGTGTGCTATAAGGTATATTCTGTAGCGTGTGCTGCATGTGATAATTTGGGTACTTTGTAATTTCAAATTCACTGAAGCTAAAAGTGGAACACAAAGGAGTGCTCCTTCAGAAGGCACCTAAAACGCAATAATCAAGTGGATACATATTTATTGAATGGTTTTGTGCTGCATCTTCATCTGATAATTTGATCTGTAAATATTAATCTGAGAAAAAACCCTTCACTTCATTAGAAGAATCAGAAGAGTTTCTGTTCTTTAAGGAACAAAATATTTTCAAGAAAGTGTCTTTCGTGGTATTTTCTTAATAAAAGAATCTTCCTGCACAAATAACTTAGTTCTTTGTGTGAAGCTGTAAAATGCCTGTGTCTCTATTGGCGGTTATTTTCCTGTATTTTTTGGATGTCTCTTTTATATTTCTCCTTTAAGTCTATGTACATCTGCGACAGTTTATCAATTACATTTTTGTCTCTTAACTTCGCTTCAAGCACTTTTTTCTCAACTGTTTTCTTTATATCCTGCACCTCCTCTGCAACTTTTATTTTGATTGTCTCCTTTACCTTCTCCTTCAATTTCTGCATGACTTTCTCTAGCTTCTGGTCATACTCTCTCTTTAACTCTTTCTCCTTCTCTTTGTACATTGCCTCAATCTCAAGCACCCGCACTTTGTACTTGTTTCTGAGGTCTTTTATTTCTTTTTCTTTCATTTTTTTTGCCTCTTTCCCAAAGGCACCCTCAAGAGTCTCCTGCATCCCCAGGACCTTGCTCTGCATCTCCTTCAGGCGAAACATTTCCTGCTCTACTGTATGGATCTTTTCGTCCCTTGTGCTTTCATACTTTACATTAAAAGGGCTCTTTGCACGGCCCTTCGTCTTTTCTGTTTGTGCAACCTCGCACAGCTCTATTGAGTCATTGAATTTTCTCTCCAGCTCACGCACTTCACTTTCTCTGTTGAACTCCATTACAAAATAAATGAAAAACTATATTTGTTATGAATGACAAATAGCACTGGGTGTATTGGTCTTTTTCGGAATGGAGATATAGATAAGGAAGTGGATCTGCTGGACAGAGAGCCAATTAGCATGCGCACGTATCTGAGCCTTATAATCGAATCATTTAATAAAAAAAGTGACTTTGTCTTGGCAATTGTCATTCCTGCAGAGACAGCTGTGAAGGAATGTGCAGATGACAATATTCCTGCAAGTATTGTGGGGAAGGGCATGGTGTACCTGGCAGAATGCATAAATCTCCATAGATTTCATGTCTCAATTAGCAACCCGAATGTGATTGCTGTCTCCAGGAAAAATGTTGTAGACCCGAATGTAAAGTGCCACATAAAAACCATCTACTACTACGCACTGGGATATTCTGCCTTTGCTGAAATTCTGAACAAAAAAGACAAAAAGCTCTTTAAGAGTCTGTCTCGTGTCCAGGAAGATTCGCCTGCTGCCGTTGCAGAGCTGGCTGGAATGAATCCTTTGATACTTACATGCTCGTGGGTTGGGACAGAAGACGACTACCTGAACAACAGCATATTCCACACGTACTTGGAAAAAAACAAGATTCTGGGATACTTCTTTGATGCAAAGAAGCATTGTGACAGGCAGGTGAAAAAAGAAAGAGTTCTTGTCCGGGGCGTGCTTCTTGCAATTGGGTGCTTCCTTATATGCTCGCTCATCATTCAAAGTATTCTTCATGAATTTTCATATCCAACCCTTCTTTACCACACGACAGCCATGCTTTTCTGTGGAATAGTCATGCTAATTAATGAAAGAATCTAGCAGAAGACACTTTCAGTAATTTAAAGCACTTTCGCATGTCACCCGAAAAGTATTTAATCCCTAGAATAAATCTGCTTCTACACTTTTCATTTCCAAAGCACACAGACACTTCCCCTCTGAAATTTCACTTATTTCTCACACGCATTTTCTTGACTCTAAACCAGACTTTCAATATGTACAGCCTTATAATTCTGGCTAGTATATGAGCACTAATTACCGTACAAACTCCTATTCCCATCGCATCTGTCCCCACAGACAACCACTCCCCGATAAACATACTAATACTTTCCTACTCTCATTTATTTTCTATAGTCTTATCTAATGTGCTTCTGAAATATTTTGACTATTTCCCACTCTCCAAAAAGAGCCTTTCTTTCGCCTCTTTTCAGTAGAAATAAGACTATGCTATACGAAATAGCAGTAAATTAAGATATATGGGTTAAACCCAAGTACTTTTTTGTCTTTACTGTGTGTGCTATTCGTAGTATATGCTATTTACTCTATCCTTTATGAATTGTTCTAGTTCACTATACGGAGTTATTACAACTTTGTTGCTGTATGCACTCTGGATGGAGTGATTTATTTTCTGAATGTGCCCACGTATCATATTTATGTGGTACTCTAGTGATATTTTTACAGTTAGAAAGACTTTCAAGGGAATAATGTGCCCCGGCTGAATGAACCGAATGATTGAGTCTGCAAATGCATTGATCTCTTCAATCTGCCCGTTTTTTCGTTCAGCGCCTGCCCCTAAAGATATGTATATCTGCAAGGACTCTAGCCACAGCCTATACGCGTGGTGTGGGTTTCCATAGTAGACAGAGTCTGCCTTTCCCTTCAGCTTCCATGCCCTCTCAAAGAGCTGCTTTTTCGTGCGCCTTATGCTCTCCCTTAGAAAGCTACCATATCCCAGCCCATTTACAACGATATTCTTAAAGTAGTTTCTGCTCAGGAGGTATTCATAGAAGTATTCCGTTCCTGTGGCTCTTCCTTCGGTGCTTTCTTCCATATTAGATAGCAAATCTATTTGCAATTTGTTTTTTAAAGTTTTATGCAGGCAAGCAAGACTGAATTTAGCACAGCCTTGAAAGATAGCCAGGGAAAGCCACAGAACATGTATTTGCAGGAAATTGAGGCCATGATGTACACATGCGGTGACGTGAGAGTTCCAGAAAAAGAGTCAAGCACGTACATGGAGCAGATAATACACGTGCAGCTGACTATTTTACTGCACAGAGCATACAGAATATCCAAGCTCAAAGGCAGCAAGAGAATAGGCATAGAGGACGTTGTCTTCCTTATGCGAAATAACCCGCACAGAGTGAAGAAGCTTTCAAACTACATTATTTTCAAAGATGTTAGAAATAAAGTAAACAAAGAGGCAATTTCATTACGCGCCACTGCAGAGATCAAGCTGAAGTACATGTGGCTGCCCAAAAATATATACGAGCAGCCAGAAACCACACAGGACAGGCTATATACAATTGACAAAATAACAGAAGGAATGACAAAGGAGGAATATTTAGACTTCACAGAGTGCAGGCAGGCCTCGTTTACATTCAGAAAAGGGAAAAGATTTAGAGAGTTCTTGAATACAGAATATAAGATGAAAGATGATCTTTTGGATATTTTGGGGTTTCTTGCATGCGAGATTGTTTTTGACATAATTAACGTGGCAAGCAAAGTGAATGCGCTGAAGGCAAAGAAGTCTCAGATAGACCCCACCATAAAGGGAATGTTTAAAGCAAGAAGGAATAAGCTTCCTATTACAGTGCCAGATATAGATGAGGCATGCAGACAGCTAAAGCAAAGGAATATTATATACTAGCCTGAATATCCAGAAAAGTGCAAGATAACCCGATATAACCCGAGCCCGAAAATCTAGCTGAGAGCTATTTTAGATCTTATGCTGTTGTGTAGGTTGCATAAAGGGCAAGAAATGTGGATTATTCGGATGCCTGCAGTGAAAAGTAGAAGGTCTCTAATATTTGTAGAAACTAGTGGTTTGTTAATTTGTGAGCGTTTCTTACAGGAAAAGACCCATGGTTCATGCGCCTGGAAAGAGTAGAATAGCTGTATGTGTTTGAGCAGCCGGCACACAAATAAAATATTTCACTGCTGGAAAGCATAAAGGTGCTTTCTTTATGCAGAGAGTTATAAATGGAAGAATGCAAAAAGCTTTTGCAGGAAAAAGAGAAAATCGGGTGTGCTAAATAACACACAAAAATGTGTATGGCCTGGGGGCAGGATCCAAACATTAAAATAAAGGATTAAAGATGCTTTCTCACAGAAGGCATTTGAATTAAACTGCAGAAAACTCTTAGATAGTTATGTTTATTCGAGTCTTAGGTTAAGAACCTTTGCAGATGCTATTCTAATCAGATCTGACTTGAATGCATCTGTCTTTATAAGAACTTTCAGGTCATCTGGGGCCATGTACTCTTCTCCTAGATAGAGCGCAGCCAGACCTGCCACATGCGGTGCAGCCATGGAGGTGCCAGAGAGTTCTCTAATAGTATTATTTATAAATGAGCTGGGAATGGCTACACCCGGGGCATATACATCTACGCAGGATCCTGTGTTGCTAAATTCAGCAATCTCATCGTGCTGATCAATTGCACCAACAGTAATTACCTTGTTAATTGATGCTGGTGAGTACTCGCATGCATTTGAGGCATTGTTACCGCCTGCTGCAACGATTGTAAGGCCTGTCTCAACTGCCCTCTTTGCGATCTCCTTGAGAACATCGCTCTTAACTCCTCCCAAGCTCATGTTTATTATGGCCCTTGGATGCTTCTGTGTCTTCAGCTTTTGGTGGTGCGATTTCATTGCATATATGAGACCAAGAACTGCAAATTCAGTGCTTCCCTTTCCCTCCTCAGTTAGAATTTTCACAGGCACAAGCCTTACATTGGATGCCACCCCCACAGTTTTTCCTCCAATGATTCCTGCGCAGTGGGTTCCATGCCCGTGATCATCCCGTGCATCTAAGTTTCCTCCTACAATGTTTATGCCTCTTTCCACGCGCCCTTTCAGCTCATCATGCGTGTCTTCTATTCCGGTGTCCAGGACGTAGACATACACCCCACTCCCGGCACTTCTAGGATACACAAACGTGTCCTCTGTGTATACTGTATTTCCCTGCGATATTCTGCTAAGGCCCCAGGGGACATCTACTCGTGCAAGCAACTTTATGCTTGGGAAGGGATAGTGCAGTCTTTCAAATGCAGTGTGGTATTCTTTGCCTTTTTCCAGATCTCTTGTCTTTCTGGGTGGGGGAAGCACTACTGGGACTTCTTGCTTTTTCATGCCTTCATGCGCAGATGCAGATTGCCTGAGCCTAAGCAAGGGATGCGGTGCTTTTCTGTTCTTTCTGTAGATCTTTTTTACTGGATTCTTTCGGAAATGCCTCTTTCCCTTGATCAGATTTGTCTGCGCAGATGCTTCTCTTTTCACATACCCTGCGTGTATTGCATTGTTTTCTCTCTCTGCCTCTATTGGAGCATACAGAAGCTTATACTCCTCGTGGGTGACCACTAGGCCTGCCATGTCATCTGCGACCTCTTTACCCATGCTTATTTGAATTGTATACTCGTTGTTCTCCTCAACCAGCAACACGTCATCTCTTTCTCTGAGCTTGTTTGCTGTGGCGTGCGAAAAGTCTGCAGAGTACCCCTTAATTCCAGCCACACCAAAGGCCTTGATTTCTCCGCTTGGAATTTCTGTGGTCTTCAGCCAATCCTCGTGACTTTGTATGCTTTCTGCAGAAAGATTGTCCTTCAGCAAGACTATGTGTCTCTTTGCTAGGCAGATGCCAAGAAGTAGAATTAAATGTACTGCTACTACCATACCACCCTATTTTTTCTGCCTTAAATATATGTGCTCACACATTGTAGCAGCCTTCCGTGCCTCTCCATTTACATGTATCTGAAATGTGCTGCGAATATTTATGCATCTAAGCAACCAAACAGAATTTGCAGACTTTCACGCACGCTAAGCCCTTTCATTACAAGCAACACGAAAACCAGCCATCCAGCCTTAACACGTGTGCTGCATACTATATAAACAACTTAAGCACCAGCTAAGCCCTTTGAAGGCCACCTAGTCTTTCTTCAGCAACTATTTTATTTCTTTTATTTCTTTTATTTTGCTGCATACTGTGACCAATGAATAGACTTTCTATCTAAATAAGCTGCTGTAAAAATAGTATCTTATCTGGCACCAAATATCTGGTCTTTCTAGGGAGTTTGTGCAGGCTCTTTCTGCGCAAGTAGCACGCCCTGAAATTCACTGCTGGATGGTTCTTTCATTTTGTGCAATTCTTTGATTTTCCATTACCTTCCTAAAATAAAGATAAAATCAAGATAACAAAAAGTCTTCATATCTATCTGATCTCTGAAGGGTTTAAATTCTGATTTTATAAAAATCAAAGAAAAGCAATTCTTAAACAATACGAAGCCGTGCAGGGATATATGCATGCTATAATCAGCTTAAGCAGATATTAGACTGTGCTACTGGCGGCCCAGGCATAGTCCACTATACTATGCTGGGAAGAATAGGCTATCCATCATGCATTAAACAGAAGAGTAAAAATATATAAGATATACAATCACATTTATTCGATTATTAAACAAAGAAAACATAATAGGCGCAAGAGCACATGCTTATTATGGCAGAGGATATCGCAACCACACTTATAACTGTCTTTGTTCCAGAGCTAATAGATCCAGATCCAGCAGGCTTTCTAGAAAGAGGCTTTCTTGACATTGCATTCTTGCCCTTTGACTTGTTAGCCAGCCTGCTGTTGATTGATCCGTCTTTGTCAATGACTGCCTCTCCTGTGAATGGGCATACCAAGATGTCTTCGTCTCCCTCATGCTCTGACATTAAGCTACCGATGCAAGCACATCCGGCCAAGCAAACTCTGTTTGGATATGCAGACTTGTCTTTTGTGCACCATGCAACCATTCTGTCTGCGCAAATTTGGCTTAAAGACGAGTTGGTCTCATTGTACTCTCTTTCATAGCACACGCACCCAAGAATGACCTTCTTGAAGTTGTTTCCAAGTGCAGGAGATGTAATGATCATTCTCTCCAGCTGGTATTTTTGCACGGTGGTCAGGTATTGTGACTGGTCATCAATGTATATCAAGTACCCAAGAAGCACACTGTAGTTTAGCTTTGCCTTTCTGGCTACATACATTACCTGCACAATGTAATAGTACAGAGCAGCAGAAAGAACTTTGTGGTTTTCATTGTTCTTAATGGCGTACCTAATTGCAGGCTCGATTACCTGTGTGATGTTCACTATGTCTATTTCGCTTACACCACTCTTAGGGGTTTCTGTCACCTGGCATACCAAGGTCTTGACTGCCATCAGAAGAAGGTTCAATGCAGTTATGTTCTTAACGCCCTCTACATCGCTCATTGCACTTTTAGTCATATGCGAGAAAAGTAACTCTGTCTGGCTAATTCTCCTAATGGAACCACTGTTGATTGTAATTTCATTTCTCTTCTTTAAGAAGTCTGCTGGAATAACTTCTCCAATTCCCAAGTTGTACATTTTCTTTGTCAAAAGATCCTTAGGAACAAACAGACCTGCAGAGTTCAGAATTCTATATCCCTTCCTGAGGTATGCCTTTTTCTTGCTATTAGCATACAATTTAAGACTATTCTCGTTATTCAAAAATTGGTTGTGCAGAATACTGTTCAAGATGCTTCCACTTGTGAATACATGGACAATATTATTAAGAAGCACATGGTCCAAAATCTTATTTGGAAGACTGATATACTCATATTTGTTCTTTATACTCTCCATATTAGCTCTTATTTTTTCAAACTCACTGTCACAGCGTGTGCTATGTACCTTCACATTAATTAACCTGTGCACTTGACCACTTTGGCCTTTTAAAACATTATCTATTGTGTATATATTCTCTATGCTGCCTGGGTATTCGGTTTCTTTCTGAAGAATATAGTTTTTTACATTTTTTTCTGTTTCGATTGTAGGAAGGTTGTAGTTCTTGTAAAGGAAAACCTGTATCTTATATGGGTGATCTCCCAATACATGTACAGGGTCCTGGTAAGTTTGTGAGAGCAAACTCATTCTTGCAGACAAATCCTTGTAAAATCTGAAAATTTCACTCCATTGGATCTTGAAACCAATTGAGTTTTCTTCTGCTGAGCAAAGAATGGTCGATATGTTGAGCTTACTGGCTGGCAGTAAGGATAGGCAGGTTCCATCAATGTGCAGGTTCTTTTTGGTAACTAATTTGACAATAAGGTCTCCACGTACTTCATTAGTTTCTGCAATGATTCCCATCATGCTTGGTACCTTTAAGTCCAGTGTAAGCACAATATATTCCATGGTTTCTACTGCTTCAATGTTCAAAGGAACAATGTGATGATTAGTGTATACATCTACACTTTTGTCATTTCTTTGGAGGTATATCTTTGTTTTGGTAGATTCCATAAGTGGTGTTTTTACTCCAGTAAATAAAGGTAGAGTTCTCCAGGCATTTCCACCTGCGCCACCTACACCGCCTGCACCGCCTACACCGCCTACACCGCCTGCTCCACTTGCTCCACCTGCACCAACACTAAAACCCGCTTGGGCAGGAATCTGGGGATTTTTATTCCCAGAAAGACTTGCTTCCATATCTAAATTAGATAAAAATTGAGCAAGACTACTCATGGGAACATTATATTCTCCATTAACTTGATCTTCAGACACACTAGATTGTGGACTAGATTTCGGAATATCTTCAAATATACTAGACCCACATACTGCTGAAAGTGCAAGTATACTAGCACTCACCATAAAGAACAACTTTACCATACGAAAGTGCTGCTTGTCCTCGTATTTATACTTATAGAGTGATGTTTATGCATCAAGAAAGAAAGAAATAAACAAAGAATGACAGAAATAAGTAAACAAAAAGTGTCCAAAAAAGGAAATAAACAAACAAATAGTAAACAAAAGAAGAAGTTGTTAATGAAAATTAATTAAAATGTACACAAAGTATAGTATATTTATTGCTATTCTTCTGAAATAAAATGTAAACTTGCAATTTAACCAGAAACAACAACAAACAAAAGAATAAAAGACATATCACTAAATTATTCAGTGATTTGCATATTCTCAATGCTTCTGGTTGTATTTTTCTGACATGAATTTAATATAAGAACTTCTGTGGGCTCTCCATGCATCCTAAAGGCACACATGCATAGCAGTAATTTGAGTATTTATTTATGCCCTAGGATATTGCTTAATTATAAAGTTAAATTAAAATAAGTCCATTTAAAGAGCTGAGTCTCCAGTGAATACTAAGGCATAGCAACTGCCCCATAAGAAAACAAGTTGAATAAATGGGAATATTCTGTTTCTGCATATTATAGTCAAGAAAGCACCATATATTAAAATAGTCTATTTATTCAGTTATGAGAACAATTACAGTGCAAGTGTCTTATAAGAGTGTCACTTGCTTAAATATATCTGGGTGCTACAAAGATATTTCATCCCAATAAAAATGCATCTAAGTCGCATGTGCCCTTTGTGTACACTGATTTATACGATGGGATACTAATGAACTCAGACTCCTTCTTGCATCTATAGCATACTACAATGAGTTTACCATGATTATATCTGGCACTGCAATTTACTGCAGGAATATTCACCTTCTTGCACGTAAAGCACAGAATACACAAGTCAGCAGGATTCATTTCCACAGAAGTATTAACCAGGATATTCTGCAACTTTTCAAAGAATAAATAAGAAAGACCATTTTCCACGTACCACACGAGTAAACTGCAGAAGTACTGAAGAGTCATTTGCAAATAATTTTTTAATGTTTTTGGAGAGCATAGAGGCAGAAGGTTTCAAAAGTTATGGGGCACACACAGTGATCAGCCCAATTGACAAATCATTCACGGCTATCACGGGATTAAACGGAACAGGAAAAAGCAATATTTTGGATGCAATTTGTTTTGTCCTGGGCGTAGACACCCCCCGACTCCTAAGGAGTGCAAGCATAAAGGACCTTATCTTTAAACAAGCAAAGAGAACTAGTGGGTCAGCAAAGGTCTCTCTAATATTTAATAATAAAGAAAAAGAGAAAGGCCCAATGGGCTACGCAGAAATAGATATAATAAAGCTAACAAGAATAATCACAGAAGATGGAAAGACAAAATACCTTCTGAATGACCATAATGTAAGCACAAAGACTGTGACTAGGCTGCTGCAGTGTGTTGGGTTATCATCAAGCAAGGCAGGGTACAACCCGAATGGCGTGCGAGTGGAGAAGCAGGCGCCTTACTTTATAGTCATGCAGGGAAGAGTAAGCAGAATACTTTCCATGAAGAGTGCACAGTTTCTTACGCTCCTGGAGGAGTGTGCTGGAACAAGCGTATACAGAACAGAGAAGTACAAGGCCAGTAGTACACTAGAGAAGAAAGAGAAGAAATTATTGGAGACAAAAGAGACACTCTCTAAGACAATATTCCCATTCCTGGAGAGACTGAGAAGAGAAAGAGACGAGTACTACGCGCACAAAGAAGCCACAGAGAAGAGGCAGATCCTGCAAGATACTCTGGTCAGGTGTAAAGAGGCAATTCAATACAAAGAGGCAGAGAGTGCAATCGAAGAAAGAGAAAGAATCATTGTAAGGCTGTCAGAGATAGAGAGAGAAATAGAAGAGAAAACAAAAGAAATAGTAGATGTAGATGTGGTGGATGTAGATATAGCCAGCATACAAGAGAGAATTGACAATAGAAAGAGAGAAATAACAAGAATGATGATCGACCAGCAAGAAGAAGAGAGGCATGCAGCCCACAGGATAATTGAAAGAAAAGAGAAGGAAATTCGACAAATACTCAAAGGATGCGAAGACACAATTAAAAACCTAAATATAGAAAGAATGGTCAGTACAGAAGAGACAGAAAACTCAGAGAAAACAGAAGAACCTGAGAAAGAAGAGAAAAGTGCACAGACAAAAATAGAAACCCTTCTGGCCCGGCTGGAAGACAAAGAAAGAGCATTCCTGCAGGCAGACAGACAGAAGGACAGCCTGGAGAAAGAAAGAAAAAGAGAAATGCTCAGCACAGAAGTAGAGAAGATCCAAAGGAATCTGGAAGTTGCACAAGAAGGAATTGAAGTAGCACAGAAGAAAGGACTAACAGAAGAACTTTCTGCCCACAGAATATCCCTGCATAAAAAGTGCCCAGTAAGGCCTCTAGACGTAATAAGAAGAGAAATTGAAAGAATAAAAAGAGAACTAGGCTATCCCATCAGGGACGGAGTGTACGGAAAGGTAAAAGAACTCCTGGAAGTAGTAGACCCAGCATATGAAATAAGCGTAGGTGTTGTAATTGGTGGCCGTAAGGAGTACCTGGTAGTGGAAAATGAAGAGATCGGAAGAAAAGTCATTGATGAGTTATCCAGGGAAGGCAGAAGGATAGATGTAATTCCGTTGAATAAAATCATCACCCGCCGGATTGAGCCAAAAAAGGAAGACAGAGCCAGGGCGTACGGAAGTATTCCCTTGATTGAAGCAATAACCTACCCGCAGGAAATTAAAAAGGCCATGGAATATTTGCTGGGTGGATATATTCTCGCAAAGAACAGGAAGACTGCAGTGGACCTAAGGGACAAAGAGTCTATTTCATCTGTGACCCTGGAGGGTGAATTGTTTGACAGAAGGGGAACAATAACAGGAGGCAGCCTGGACACAAGCAAATACAAATTTGAAAAGACGAAAAGAAAGGAAGAACTGCTTCTCCTGGAAAAGGAAGAAGAACAAGTGAGAAAGACCCTGAAGGAGTGCACCCTGCAGGAGCTGAATGAATCTACGGAATTCCTTAAGTTAACCTCCCTCAAGAAAACACTCTCAGATAGAATATCCCAAGTGAAAGCAGAAATTGAAGTGCTTGGAAGAGAGTGCGTCAGAAAGGATGAAATTAAAAGTATCTCAGAGTCCATACAGATACTCACAGAAGTAAAGAATAAAATAGACCTAAGATACACAGAAAGAGACAGAACCTCAGAAAAGCTTAAGGAAATTGAAGAAGCACTGAAAGTTTCAAAGGAGAAAGAGGCTAAGCTCCAGGAAGAGATAAAAAGAGACGAGTCTGATAAGCTGAATGGAATAAAGAATAATGAAGTAAATAGAGCTAGAAGGTCAATACAGATAAAAGAGAGGAAGAGAATAGAGATGGATGTAGATCTCATAAAAAAGGAAAAGATCAAGCACGAAATGCGCTACAAAAAGATAGAGCATGTAACCCCAATGAACAGAAAGAATAAAAGTAAAAAAACAAAGGAAGAACTAGAGCTAGAATACGCCCAGGCAGAAGAAGAATTGAATTTCATCAAAAGTATCCCCAGGAAGGAAATAAATAAGAAGAACATTGAAATACTAGAGAAGAATGAGGAGATAGAGATGGAGCTGAAGGAAAGAATTAAGAAGCTGCAAAATGACAAGAAAATAATTGAAGAAACCCTTCTGAAATTAAACCAGGAAGAAACCCTGACGATACAGGAAATATTTAAATCTGTAAACCTCAGGATAGGGAAATACTTGAAGTACTTCATCCCTAATTCTGATGCGAAGTTAGAGGCCGTAAATGGCTCAGTCATGAATGGAGTTGAATTGCACGTTAAAATTGGAACCTGGAAGAAGGGCCTGACAGAATTAAGCGGTGGCCAGAGGTCCCTCTGCGCACTCAGCCTGATTTTTGCACTTTTAAAGACAAAACCATCCCCTTTGTACATTCTTGATGAGATTGATGCTGCCTTAGACGCATCCCACACAGAGGCAATGGGAAGAATGATCCAAAATGAATTTATTGGCTCGCAGTTTATCGTTGTCTCCTTGAAGGACGGAATGTACCATAATGCAAATGTACTCTTCCAGACATTCATCCGGGAAGGTACTTCAGGCGTGCGCAGAATGTAATTCAGACTATGCCAGCTGTAAAATATCCCAACAGAATAAACATATTATTGCATTGTTATTTTGTACTGGGATACAACCCGCATACAATTCAGTTGTATTATGGGATATTTTACATCTAGTTATTTTGTGTTTAGTTGGCTTATTATAGACTAATTTGCGTTGTATTTGGTTAAGTTATTTTGTCCTTACTAATTTCTGTGAGATTATTTTGTGCTTTCAGAAAATTGAATGGTATTTTTTGTTTTCTATGGAATTTAAAAAGTTCTTTCCTATCATATGCGAAATATATAGATTTTTTAGGAAAAATGCAAAAACGCCTTTGTCCTTTCCAAAATTATATTTTAATCTAGGGATATCTCCAGCATAAATATATTCGGGTTATATATGGCTATAATAGGCACGAAAGAGACATATATAGCGTATATTACAATAAAACAATCCGAATATAACGAGTTATGGCATAAAACACTAAAATATAACGTATACTATACGATAAAACACTAAAGTATAACGTATATTACTGTAAAACATACACATATTTACCTATATATCACTGTAATATGCCCACATTCCACTATAATCTACATAATATAAACACACAATTTATTCCATTATTGCCTAATATGGCAATTCGTACATGTCAAACCCACTTATTACCTTCTGCATTATGGATGCATCTTCTTCTGTCCACTCACTTGCACATATAAACCTATTGATTGTACTCAGAATATTTTCGTGCGTGAATGAGATTTCCTCCCAAATTTGAAAATAATCCATATCGCATGATTTTTCCAATCTAATCTCTGTGATACACTTTTTTTTCAAAGAATCTTTTTCCTGTAAAATTAATAAATCCTTGGATTCTATTGCAGGCATGAAGGCACTGCACATTTCCTCGGATATTTCAATCCCTCTCCCCAGCAGGACATCAGAAACCACAAAGATCACCCCGAATAAGTCAAAATATGACAGTATCCCAAATAAGCCCACTAACAAGGTGTCTGCCGCCGTGTAAGAGCTCACTAGAAATTGACTAAGATAAGATTCTATGACAAATTTAATCTTCGTTAAATTTCTAGTGGGCTTTATGCACTCTCTGCACGTACTCATGAAAATCCATAAAATCACAAGAAGATCTCTTTGTGATACCCCAAGGCACAAAACTTTTTTTATACGTGCATCATGGATTCCTTCTTGATACAAAGATGTCTCCATGAATTCCCTATAGAATTCCTGGCACTCTTGAAATTCTTTCAAAATTTCCAAGTGAAATTTGTCGTTATTTATAACGTCTTTCAGGGTTCTTTGATTGTGAGACTTAATTAATGCCTTAATAACCTTGTCCCGTGCATTTAAAATTGATGCCATCAAGATTTCCATGTAAATATTCAACTCTTCCTTCAATTTTGGCCATTTCCCAGAGAATTTCCTGATTATTTCGTTGTAAAAAGGCATACATTTCCTATTTCTTGGTGTATTATACAGCTTGCTTATGAATTTGGTGATTTCTGGCCGTTGATTTTCTGAAATAATTATTTTATTTTCGTCTATGAATATTATTACAGTCTTATGCGGAATATTTTTTGGGTCAAATTTAGTCATTCCCAAGATATACGGAATGGTTGTCTCTTTCAATTTTCTGTAGGATCCTGTTGCATTTGATAGTAATATGCCTTTCCATTTAAAGGGCTGAATTGACATTATGATTGTTTGAATGAAATTTGCCAAAACTGTGTCATTCTTTGATATAAAGAGTAATCTGTGCTCTAATAGTGTGTGGTAAATGATGTCGTAATAGAATCTGCAATTATTTAGTGGTATAACCCCATAATGCATGTCATTTAACAGATAATTTAAATTGTCACTACTTTTTCCACTTTGTGCATTACTTTTTACACCATGTGTAATATATTCTGCACTTTTGTCATTACTTATTACACTTATTTCATTTTTGTCATTACTTTTTCCATTCTGTGCAAGAATTAATCCACTCTGTGCATTACTTTTTCCTATTTTATTTATAATTTTATTATAAATATTTATTATCTCCAGTATATTTTCAGTATTTATTACACTGAGTATATATATTATTTTAATTTTTATTTTAATATTATATAGTAATTTATAGGAGGAAATGCAAAGAATATACTGAATACTTTTGTTATTGCTTATGATAGAGGTGGAAATAGAAGTATAATTATGCACATCATAAGAGAGCACTATATCTGTAATTTCACGTAAAATTACATCAGAAATAGGCGGGTACACAACGTATTCATTATTTTTTACACTATGTGTAATAAATTCTGCATTTTTGTTATTACTTTTTCCTTCTTCATTTTTGTCAGGACTTAATCCACTCAGGCCATAAGTCTTGTCATTTCCGTCAAGATTTTTTGCATTATGTGTAATATATTCTGTCATTTCATCATTACTTATTACACTATGTATATTAAGTCTTGTCTTTTCGTTGCAATTAGTCGTATATTCATTATTTATTACACTATGTAGCATAAGTCTTGTCATTTTTTCATGACTTTTTACACTATGTGTATTAAGTTCTGCCATATTTCCATTACTTTTTACACTATGTGTAATATATTCTATCTGCATCTTATTTTTATTAAAATACGCATGATAATATTCTTTATTAGTTCGTCTGCTGGCTATCTTATACAACGTATTATTAAATATTATGACAGTTTCATCTGTTGATTCAGTTTGCTCCAGATAAAATTCACTATTACTTTTTACACTATGTGTATTATGTCTTGCCACTTTTTCATTACTTTTTGCACTCAGGCCATAAGTTTTGTCCATTTTGTCATTACTTTTTACAGTATGTGTATTAAGTCTTGGATCCCTGTTAGAATTAGTCTGATATTCATCACTTTTTACAGTATGTGCACTAAGTTCTGTCACTTCTGTCATTACTTTTTCCACCTGTGGAATAAGTTCTGTATTTTTGTCATTACTTTTTACACTACGTGTATTATGTCTTGTCACTTTTAATAATCCTTTCATCCTCTTTTTGTCCTTTAGAATGTCAAAAACAATTAAATTGCCGTTATTTTCAGGTAATATCTCATTAAACAGAAGATTGTTATCTATTTCCGTTATAACAATATTAATTATTCTTGTTGGTTTACCAGTTGGAGAAGAATCCAGCAAAAGCAAATTCTGCATAAAACAAAACAAAAAAAATATTACTTATTACACACAGCGTATTAAGTCTTGCCTATTTTAAGGAGAGTGGGAAAAAGTTCTGTTGATTTAGGGAAGAAGTGGAAAAAGTCCTGGCAAAGTGGATTAAGTCTTGTTAGTTCTCAAGAAAAAGAGGATTAAGTCTTGTTTAATATTCGGACAGAACTTATGGCATGTGGATTAAGTCTTGCACAAAGTTGTAATACATAAATATAAGTGTAATAAGTCTTGTCATATTTAGAATAAAGTGCCATAAGTATTGTCACTGTGGATTAAGTCTTGTCATTTTGGGATAAGATGGATTAAGTTCTGTCATTTTCAAGTAAAGGTATAAAAAGTCTTGTCAGAATTACTAACCATATTTCCATCCCTTTATTGTATCTTGTATATTGGATTCCTTCTATACATACCCCATGCAGGCACTGTAATTATAACACAAACTAAACATAATATTACATATACACCCCCCATTATAAATATATTATTATAAATATATCCCAGTATAAATGATATTATTATACTTATAATAAGAATAGTATGACGTAATCTATTGACTAAGTGCTGTCCTAAATAGTCTACAGGTGGATCTAGCTTACTGCATACAGTAGATATACTATTAAATGTATTCATAAGAATATAAAAAATAATAGTAATATATATATGTGTATATGTATTAGTAGAATATTAGTCATATTTATATACGTAGTAGTAGGGTAGTAGATTATTAGTACATTAGTAGGGTAGTACTAGTAGTGTAGTAGTAGATTATGTTGTATATTAGTAATATTAGTGTAGTACTAGTAGTAGTAGGGTAGCAGTAGTAATATTATGTTAATATTAGTACATTAATAGATTATTAGTCATATTTATATACGTAGTAGTATATTAGTAGTAATAAATATTCACTAGCAAATATATTAGTAGTAGTATAGTAGTAGTAGAATATTTGCAAGAAAATATTTTACTAGTAGAATATTTAGTACTAGATATATACGTATATTAGTAGTAGTAGCAAGAAAATATATTCACTAGAACTAATATCCATATACATCTAATAATATGCTAATAATATCCATATACACTGAATATTCTGGTTATATCTGGTTACATCTGATTATATCTTTATATATTCTTTGTATACGTTATAACTGCTAGTGATTACTTTTTTTTAATTTTATACTGATGAATTACTGGATAATAGGATTATTACTGATGAATTATGTACTGGGTAGAATGAATATTCAGGATGTACGGGATATTCATTATACTTTAATTGGTGAGAAAGAGGTGATTATTAATCCGGATGGAGCCCTTAATCCATTACGTGGTTATATTACACGCAGGAATGCATATATGCATAATAAACGGTTTTATTCGTGTGAGATAGACACTCACTACTTACTGCGGGTGAAAGACACTGATAACCCTTATATGCAGGAATATGAGTTTACAAGGACCCCAGCCAGTGACAAAGTCTATGATGACTTAAATGAAGATACCTGCACTAATAAGTATCTGAAAATGTATTATTCTCAACTTATAAAGATGTTTCCTTCTGTGGATGGTGATATTTCCATTGAGGCAGGTAGGCCTAATATGCTTACTAACTTCTTAAGGGCAGCACATGTTAAAAAAGACGCAAAATACATTCTAGCAGCCTTTTTGCTTCTCTCAGAGGGAATTGACATAAAAATAAGCATAGACAAAAAAGAAGAAAAGAAGAGGCTTATTATAAAGAGTAAGAGAGTGGAAGGGAAGGAATTTACAAATGTGGAATTATATCTAGCAGGAATAGATCCAGTTACACTGAAATATAAAGAAGATATTTACCAAAGTGAAGTAGTAAAGGGTGTTAACTTCTATTTGCGCTGCAGAGATAATCCGTTAATAAAGAAGGGTGGTGAGTTTTCCATGCCTGCTACAAAAGAAGAATTTGAAAGTGGCAGATTCCTGAATAATGCAGGATTCCTTATACAGACATATATATACGAATACATTGATAATATACAAGAGTATAAGGCATTTTTGGAGGCAGTTTATGAATTGTTGGAAGATCAGATTACTAAAGGATCTGGTGCAGAAGGAAAAAAGAAAGAGAAGATGGAAAGAATATTTAAAAAGTTCTTTCTAGAGAAGGATTCCCTTGGGGAAAACAAAAAATGCATTATGCCTTTCTATAACCTTATGAAGGCAGCAGATGATGATTCTGTATTTCCCTTCTATAATTCTAGCCATTTACCGCGGTACACTAGAGTGCCTTGTTTAAAACTAGACAAATCTGGGTTTGATTTAGACCAAGCTGCATACTACAGTAATTGCGTGGAGACAGGCCTTCTTGGTCTATTTTGCTGCCTGGCATACAACCCAGAGACAAAAAGGTATGAAACCAGTCACATGGGAGATAAAATAAGTGATGAATTGAAAGACTTCTTTGAAAAGTATTTTAGACCAGCAGAAACCACAGACTTAGAGATGCACAAAGAATGGTGCAAGGTTGTTGCTTGCTTGGAAAATGACAAGATTAACTACAAGTACCCAAAAAATGAACTTTTCTCAGGGGTTGCAAATATATTCCTTGCAATTGCAGAAATAACAGGAGAAAAAGCAGAAATATTAAAATTAGTCAAATATATTGAAGAGTGCACTTCTGGGGAATTAGATTACTCACAGCAAGAATATATTTCAGATAAGATAGAATTAATTATTGCTTCTTTGTCGAAAAACAAGAATGTGCAAGTAAGCTGTGATAAAATGGAAATAGAGCAAGGGACAGCCAGTAATCTAGATCTGTTCTGCAGTATTAACATTAATTATACCTTTAATGGTACTTATAGTGGTATTTCTATATGTGTGAAAAGAGGGCACACAATTCTTAGTCTTCTGTCAGAACTAGACTCAAACTCAAGCATTAAAGAGAAATACGTAGAAGCCAGAAAAATATACAGTGGAATGAATAGTTACACAGGATGCATGATTACACAGTGCATTGATGTGGAGATAAATAATACAACAATGGATAGTTTAGATGTTGAAGGAGATTTCTTGAAAAAGGTGGATACCATAATAGAAGACGGGTATGAAAATATGTCTAAAGTATTCTTATTAGAGAAACTTGCATACATTAATTTTAGGCCGTATTTTATAGAGAAAATTATAACTCACTCATTGGAGAAAGAGCTTACCCCAAAGGATCCTGCTACTCGTTTTGTTGCAAATATTTTGGGAAGTCTGCCCCTTAATGATGCTATCACACGACACGCCTCAATGGAACTATTTCCATTTCATTCTAACTGGCAGACACTCTTCCCAAGGCTTGGGTATGCACCATTGCAGCACCTGCCTGAGGCAGTTATTATGAAATTATACACACTTAGACGGTATTATTCTCTTGTGCAAAAATGTTCAGTTTTTGCTGCAACCAAGGCACTGTGCAACTATTTACAGGCTACTGTAGATAATAGAGGCAGGTACTATGCGATATTGTACTTCTCAGAGACTAGAAATGTGTTTGAAAGTATTTTGAAAACTCGCTTAGTACAGCACTTAGCAGAAATTCATTCTGTAATTGAGAAAACCAAGGACCCAAATGATTTGGGGCGCATTAACATAGTTTACATCTACTGGTTTATACTTGCATGCAAAGAGAAGGCTAATTTCTCCTTGGAAATTATTCAGATGGTTTACAGATTTATACACTTTGACCACTTGCAAGGCATTGATAGTTCCAAACTAAAAGAATACTACGTATATATAGATATAGTCATACGTATTCTAGAAGAAGAAAAATCTCTTTTTTTAACGGAAATTGATAATGAAAGCACAAAAAACTATAATAAGTTGCTAGAATACTTTAAAACAATTGATCTTTCGGCTGCTTGCACATGCAGTTAATCTTGCAGATCTTGAATATTTTTGCACTTTCTGTGGGCATTTTTAGAAAACCAAGGCACTTATACTATGGAAATAGTGCTAAAAATACAAAGAACAAAAGGCTGCATATAATTGATGCGGATACATAGCAATAAAGCAACAAAAAATGACCTGCAAGAGACCAATAAAATGCTTTTTGCTTGAATGCGTATTTCCTTTATTCGTGCATTTTTGAAGCATCCTGTTCAGAATGCGTCTTTTTTTGGATTGATGACATGGTCGTTTCTATTTGTTTGGAGCAAGCAGACAGATTATTTCTAGTCTTTTCAGCCAGATACACCATTGAGAAGACAAGTACTGCTGGGACAGTTTTATATGCTATATTTAATACCCTCTTTTTAATGCAACTTCCATTGCTTGGGATATATTCTTTTCTCTTTTTCTCTTCCTCCTCTAGTAATGTATTCTTTTCATTTACGCAGCCCATCTCAAGTGTTATATCATTCTCTCTCTCATTTATTCCACTGTATTCAAATCCTTCATTTATGTAGCCTTCATGTACAGCAGAAGATCTGTGCTTTGTGGTCCTTAAGGAGTCATCCTGGAGTAATCGATTTAATTCACTCTGGCTACTATTCTGTTCTGCAGCGGCTGTTTCTCTTTTCATCCGTTTTTAATAAAAATTTCATTAATATATGATCATAATTGTCTAACAGGTTTTTAAGTAACTGCATACAGAATATGTATAAATCTATATAGAAATATGTTGATTTTTTATGTTCCCAAAGGAATGGCTTTTTAGTCTTTCTAGTACTATATAGAGTATAAGAATATTTTGTTGTAGATATATGTGTCTCTGGGTATATGGGGACTTTTAGTCTTTTTGCTTTTCTGACTCTTCATTTTCATATGTGCTGCTTTTATAATACTCTTCTGTATTCACTAGTGACTTTGTGTCTTAGGAAGAGAAAAGTGTGAATTTCACTGTCTTTTTATGGCTAATTTATTCTGCTTATTTTTCTGTACTAAAATACAAGTTATTTCATATATACATTGCTTTTACTATATGCATAGCATATACTCGCATACAAATTTAATTATATATCTGCGAATTCTTAAATATATAAGTCACTGAAAGGCACTAGTGTCTCTTTCCTAAGACTCTTCTAGAATATCTGTAGACTGCAATGAATAACTGCTTCTAATATCTAAGATGCACTAGTCTAACTATAACCCGAATATTAGTGCTTATTTTCTGCACTTCTTTCTGGCTTTATATAAATACTTTTTGCACTGCATGGAATAATGAACAAAGACATAATAATAGAAGCAGAAGAAATAATTCAGACAGGAATGAAAAAAGAACAGCTCTTGGAGTTCATTGAGCTTGTCTCAGACAGAAACATCTCTTGTAATGGTGTAATAGAAATGGCCAAAGAGCTAAGCAGATATTAAAGAATAAAAGAATATTTAATTATAATACCCTTAGATTAAAGAATGCAGGACTTTCCTTTGTGCTATATTATTACTCAGCCATGTTCCTGCATGCAATAATTCAAGATTACTATTTTTGTGATAGAAAGTGATTTACATTTGTTTGAGCGTATACTGTGCTAGTAGTAGAATATGTCAAACTCGGTTCTTAAGGATGTGACAATATAATAGTTATTTAAGTCTATCATATTCTTCAAGACTGCAGTAGTTGCTGACTTTTTGTCCTTTCTTGGTCTGCCTCCTTTTTTTAAGTATCTTTCCCCTATTTCCACTGTGCTGCTTGCGCATCTGTATGCGAGGTCTTTAATTTCTTTTATTATTTCTTCTCTTTCTCTTCTTTCAATTAGAACCTTCACGTGTATACTTAGTCCAAGCACTTTGTAAACTCCTGTTTTTTTGACTGAGGTTTTAAACTCAATATATCCTTTTATTATTATTTTGTCTTTTTTGAACACATTAAAGATGCAATATCTTACTCTTTTGTCTTTCCTAAGCCTTTCTTCAATTGTTTGTTTGAGATTCACGCCATTTACAGTAAAAGTCCATCTTCTTCCTGTTTTATTTGCTTCCATAAAATATTATTTGCGAATTCCTATAAGGTTAATTATTGATATATGAGGTGGCTTGATTAATAATTCGAGAAAGCAGGCAGCAGATGGGCTTAATCTGCAGTATTTTAGTAGCAGAAAGGGCATAAATTGTGGTAAACAGATGTTATTAGGCAGTATTTAGGATAGAAAGGCATATCTTGCTTGTCAAGTAGTAAATTCTTACTGAGTACTGCATATTATGTAATGTTTATACGCATCTATGGAGATTTCTTCAATAGATTGTCTAGAAGTGTTTAACAGAAATTATTTAGTAGATCTTTCTTTATGGATTATTCTTTGCTTTTAAGAATGCAAAAATAAAGTGTACGCTTCACTGCGTATTCAATTTGTTTTACTGAATGAATTGCATATTTTAAAGCAAAGGAATAAAAAATCCAAAATAAGGAACTATTTCAAGAACCATTAATGGTTTAACTACACAGAGAGTCTCTTATGCATATATAACCTGAACTAAGAGAGAAGCAAATAGAGAACAAAATGAACCTGTATGACCTGATATTTCATCTGACTGGATTATCACTGATAGTATAGTGATATAGCCTGAATTAACCGTAAAACAGCATATTTTACCATTAAATAACCAGCTAGTGCTGAGTGGTAGCAGTCTTTTTACTGTTCATTAAAGGCTTTTTGCAAGCACACCCATTTACATGCGAAAATTAAAGCTAAGCTTAAAGAATCTGCAATGTGCAAGTATTAGCGTATATAGATTTATTACTTGGAATTTCTTAAGAAATAATTCTTAGATTAATAAAGCATTCTTTTATACGGTGCACAGTTGACGCCTCTTATATGACTATTTGGACTTCTTCGCTTTATTTGGCTCCGCTTTATTTAGCTTCGCTTTAATGGTTGTTAGAGATTCTGTGTAAATATATTCTACTTTTTTTAGTGCATAGAATTTTATAGCTATATTAGTTAGACTCTTTAGAATTGGCTCAGAAATCGCCATAGTATTATGAAGATTCTCTAATATAATAACAAGATCCTTTAAATTCGCTATATATCTCTTATGAAGTGACATTCTTCTTTCAGCCAAATCCACATTCTTTTTTAGTCTCTCTGCATGCTCTAGCTCCAGTTTTCTCAAACACCCTAATAGACTCCCTTTAGTGTTGAGAAGGTCAAAGGACTTTATTGATAGTTTAATCCGTGACATATCAGCCTTTTGAGCAGCTATAAGGCCCCCTAGGTAATATATATTTCCATTCAAGGTTTTATCTGCATTTTCTTCTAGTTTTTTCAATTCACTAATCTTCTTGCTGCATAAATCTGTAGCTTCCTGCATAGTACGAATTATCGGCATTACCTCTGCATTAATGAGACTAATGGACTCTTTGGTTATTTTATAGTTGTAATTATCGCCTTGTGGTATGGATAATATATCACCGCAGTTATAAGATATGTCATTTTTGATTTCCATTATAATGTTCTTTGAGGTTTGCCATTTTTCGAAATAGCATGTCGCTATAGACTGCATCTCTGCATAAATATCCTCAAATTCTTTTCTTTTTTGATTATACTCAGAACCCACTAAACATATTTGTATCTTAGCTTCTTCTAACTTTTTCTCCTCAAATATGCAGTCTACTTCTGCCAAAGCATTGTTCTTTTTAATTTCCTCCTTCCATTGATTTACTGCGAATAAAAGAGATCTCCACTCAGGAGGGTTTTGGCTTATTTCTTCTATAAAAAGATTTTCTAGTTCTTTGTAATTATTCTTAACATTCATGGGTATTATGTAGTTGGCTGGGGAATGAGTGCCCATTGACTCTATGGGGATATCTACTGGATCATTTGCTTTGCTTCTGGGGACAGTTCTATCAGAGAGTTTTTTCTTTGCGCTTCGGGTTATATCTGAGCGCGAATCACTATTCAAACTTGCTGAATATGTGCTTAGACTACTGTTTTGTACTGGATGCTCGTATAGGCCTGCTCTATAAGAGAGAAGACAGGTTCTAACTGAAAAGTCAGAAACTGTACCCTCAGAACAGCTCATTGCAGCAGATTCTTCTTGTGCAGATTTTATGCTGGGACTTGAGTAATAGTTAAATTTGCCTTTTTCATCTACGTCTTTGCCTATAAGAGAGGATGCTACTTTTTGTATTCTGTTATGGAATATTGTGCTTGAATTTTTTTCCTTTTGAAAGGACGCGTGCTGAGGATGAATTATTAAGCTCTTTTCATCAGAAGGGACTAAATCAGATGCAGTCTGTCTATTTCCATTAAAACTTTCATTCTTCAGGAGCTGGTCTATAAATGAAGCAAATGGGTTCGCTGGTACTTTATAATACTCTTCTATCTCTTGCAGGTCGTAGTCAGAATCGAAATCTAAATGGGTTTTAGCAGGATTTGGGCGTTCTTTTTGTGTGGATATCCTTTTAAGCTTCTCTCTTGGGCAGATCCCATCACAAGGACTTTCAGTTCTTTCATGCTTAATATTTAGCTTATTGTCTGCAAGTATGTTTTTTCTACGCGCGCGACTGAGTCTTTCCACTTCTTTTGCTAGATTGTGCATTGAATTCGCTTGAAAAGGCAAAGCACTTGGCCCTGCAATATTCCTGCGACTGCCATGAGCAGCCATAATATATACTTCTGCCCCAAGGAAATAAGTTATGCATATAAGTAGTCTAGAAAATTCTAGGATAAAATTCTTCTGTCTCTTTGTCATTTGAATAATATTTCTTTGGCAAATAGACTAATATAAGCAAGCAATCATATTGTTATATTTAATAATTCACTCAATTAGATAAGATTATTCAAAGTTACTACGATTTATATCGCATAAAAATAAGTATATACGTATTCCTGTTGAATATACAGCATAAATACACGTATACAGCACAATATGCTGCTGTATATCTTGCTTATTGCTAGTTACGTATTACTGATAAATTAATTCCTAGCTGCCTATACAGAAGAAATAAAGAGTGAAAAATAGGAGAATTTAAGTATGCTAAGAGAAGTACGCTTGGAACAAAACTCGAAATATTATATTTACTAATACTATTCAAAGAGGAAATAAAGTACGTATAACATGGTTATTCGCACTCTAGGTATTTCTCTAAGATTCTAGCTGCCTGATTTAAATAGGAATCATTCACTTCTATACTTTTACTTTTCTCATTGTATTCTTCATAGACTGCAGATATATCCTTTGCAATGCTCATACTGTCACTGGCTAGATATATAAGGGCTCTATGCTTTTTAGATAGACTTTTTAATATTTTAACTCCATTCTCTAAAACTCTTATTTTACGCTTTAATTCTATACCTCTGTTGATTGTCTTCTTTTGGCTTCTTATGTTTGCCGTCTTTATTATTTCTACTGAATATATAGACTCAATAATGCTCTTTATATCCTGTAAATAATCTACTAGACTTAATTCTTTCTGTTCTGTTTCTGTTGCAATTTTTATTATATACTCCATATATGCTTCTGGTGTTTCGTCTATACTTTCTACAGTAGGGTAGGCTAGCATTAAATTATTTTGACTTTCTGGAGATATGCCTTCTGAGTTCTCTGAGTCCTTGCATGGTACATATATATGCAAAGGCAGTTGTTCTATCTTATTCACAAGATCTTCATGTTCTTTTGGTAATTTTTTTGTTGTACTTGTGAGTTTTCTACTGAAATCACTAACTAATTCTATTGCTTCCTGTATTCTGTCTACATTGTCATTGTGTTTACTCATCTCTATAGATGCCTCTAAGTACACACTTTCTAGAATTTCTATGCTCCCATCATAAATGCCCTTTTTCTTGTACATTTCTTTATTCAATCTTAACAGCTCTTTATTCTGTGCATTGAACTTTTCCTTTGCTGCTGCCATGCACTCTTCCAAGCCATCAAGCATTTCTTTCCGGACTTCAAAATCTTGCAATAACTTTTCCCTGCATGGATACCTGTAATCTGGCTCTTTAGGTGGGTCTAAGCATAAATCTACATTATTCTCTGCGATTTCCTTTGGCTCTTCTATTTTGAACTCTAGCAATGCATCTCTTTCACGCATTTTTCGTTTCTGCTTGTTTTCTGCAAGGATTGTCTCTTTGCTCTCACTGTCTGTACTATCAGAACTATCCAAGTTCTTCTGTGCTTTCGTCTTTTTTCTAGAAATCCTTGGGGTTTTCTTTATGGCACCCTGCTCTGCTCTAATTTTCATGGCTTCCAAGTTTCCACTTGACTCTGTGCAAAGCCCATTTCCTTCACTTGGATTTGCAGCTGCAGAAACATATGCATCTGCTTGTAATAAGCACAATACAAATGCAAGGACTGATAAAATCGATATGCACAAAGACTTCTGAATCTTGTTCTTTTTGTCGCCCATAGAAGATGGAAATCCAGAAGGACAAGTGGATCCACAGAAGATATTTCTATAATCTATAGAGAACATGATATTACGCTTGGATAAATGCATTCTAGCATATTTATAAGGTCTTTTGTCATATTCATTGCTTTTAAAAATGGGTTCTACTTCCATACTATTCTTTTTAAATTTAATCTACAATAGAATTTATACTTTCAATCATAAGATTGGCATCTACGGCTTCCTTGGTCTCCAGAGTACATAAGTTATTTAGAAAAAGTACTTCATCTGTTGCTTAATATTATTCTACTGCACAAGAAGAAATAAGAAATAAATAAGGATAAAGCCACAAAATAAGCCTAAAAACAAGAAATACCATAAGACCAGTATATTATCACTGTCTTCTTGTATAAATAGGCATATCTATGGTATTTTTATACTATTCATTCATGCATCTTGAAATTCATCTAATAATTACTTCATTTGTGGCCTTCTGTAGATTCTGCTATTTTTCACGATAAATAATCCCAGTGCATGAGAGTCCGTGGGCATGCAGCAGGTTAAAGTATAAATAGTGAAAAATTTAATAAACCATGCATTTAAGTAACAACAGTCTATATGACACCCAGTATAATAGTGTAGAAGAGACTAGGTTTAATAATTTAATGGCAAGAGTAGAAGCGGAAGAAAAGCAAAGCATAAATAAGAGATGGAGCAGATGGATGGAGCTTGCAGTTCTGGAAACCACCTGGGGAGAGAAAAGCAAAAAATTAAAGAGAGAGCTAATAAATGATCAAGAATTCAGAAATGAGAAGCAATGGCAGGCGTACAAAGGACTTTTGAAGGAAGAACTAGGAATAAAGGGAGTGCAGCTGGATGGCATAGACAGACTCATCCGGTACATGATAGAGATGAAAGTAATTGAAACAAGAGAGAAACAGGATGCAGAAGAAAAGAAAGCACAGAAAGATAGTGAATTACAAGAGAGAAAGATGCAAAAGGAAAAAGAAGAAGAAAAGAAAAATAACGAAGAGACAAGAGAAAGAAGGAATGAACTATTTGAAAATTCAAAGAAAAAGGAGCAAGAGAGATTATCTAAAGAAAGAATAGGAAGAATATTGGACGAGATGGATGACCAGAATAAAATGGACATGGAGTGCTACACTTGTGGAAAGAAAGGCCACAAGACAGTAGCCTGCTGGTATAGAAGGGGAAGCAGAAGCCTGAGCACAGGAGATAGAAATATTCACTACCCTGCGAAGACTAAAGAAGAGATAAATGAAATTCCAAATAAGACAGTGGATGGAGAGAAGGATAAAAAGTACACTATATGCAAGGATGGATTAAAAAGAGAAGTGCCTGAGTGGGTTGAAAGAAAAGAGTTAGTGGAAAGAGTGCATTTGGAGAAAATGCATGCAACAGCAGAGCAAATAAAGAAGTGCATCATAATGGATATGGGAAAGTGCTGGAAGGGCATATGGGGTGATGCAGTGCAGGCTGTAAATAATTGCGAAAAGTGCTCGGAGAATAGTAGTGGACCAAAGAGTGTCACTGAGTATGTGGTGACCAAAAGAAAATTGGAGAAGGTGATACTGTGCGTACTTGATGAAGCAAAGGAAAATAAATCTATTATAGTGATGGTAGACCACTACACAAGAGTGATGCAGGCTAGGGCAGTTGAAAAAATGAATGTGCGGGATATAAAAAAAGTCGTTGAAGAGTGGATAAAAAGAAGAGGAAAACCTGAAGAAATAATATCTCCTTGCATGACAGAACTAGTGGAAGAAGAAACCCAAAGATATTTTGCAAGAAGTGGGATATTACACAGAAAGATAGGCTTGAAGGAACTGTACAGCAAGAATCTAAGAATGCTCAGAGCAGCCAGAATAATAAGAGAATTATGGGCAGAAATGAAAGAAAGTGAAAGCCTGGAAGACGCACTGAAAATAATCGAAGAAAGATACAACAGCAGATTCTACAGTGTGGCAAACTGCTCTCCAAATACAGCATGGATGAATAGCTCTGAAGAGTTTGATGAAATTGACATCAAAGAGAACGCGTGCACAGAACAATTTAAAAAGAGCAAACTGGAAGAATTTAAAAAAGGCGAAAAAGTGGGAATATTTGAGGATGGGGGCTCAGAAATGCAAGGAAATAAGTATGCAGTAGGATGTATATCAGAAGGAATAATACTGGAAGAGTGCAGAGATGGATCATATTTAGTGCGAGAAAATAGTGGAAAGATATCAAAAAAAAGGCATTATAACCTGAAAAAAGATTCTGCAGAGTGAAGTCTATTAGTCTAGACTGTACTTTCACAATAAAATCTATTCTTGTTAGGGATATCTAAGGGAAATCTGATAAATAAATGCATTTTCTTAAATCTGTTTGGTTTTCAAATTATTAGCTTCAGGTACGTTATTCTTACTTATTTGACTGCATTCTCTGTGCATGCGCATGGTTATAAGCCCGAAATATTTTAAATGTTTATGGAATACTTCTCAAGCGAAGAGGACAGAAGTAGTGTTGATACCACCCCGCAGCAGAAAAAGAAGAATGTTTCCACGTGCATGGCTATTTGCATATTGTCATTTGCACTTAAAAAGGCTCTTTCTCTGATATCTCATGTAGAATTCAAACCACCCCTGCATGAATCCCCTTTTAACACGTACATGCGAGAGAAGCAGAAGGAAAAATACGAAAACCCTAATAGAAGAGACAAATTAGATCGTCTTGCACTATTCAAAGATCTATCAGAAGCAGGGATTCTTTGCAGGATAGTTTATAAAATATCAGTAACTGACTTGTTTTATGAAGAATCTCTGGAAATTCTGTCTGGAAAAGCAGTTATAACGGATAGTTTAGTCACAAAAACAAAATTCATTCATGTTTCAGTTGACTCTTTTGGAACGGTAATTAATCACACCGTATACACAACAAATACAATAAATGCAGCCATCAGCACTGTTATACCCCGCAGTAATGCGAAAAATAACAGTTATTTTCATGAGCACGACTGGAAGACTCTGCACACCCTGCCTACAAACAGACAGGAAGGAAACACCCACCCCTTCTATAGAATAGAGCCAGAAAGCAGAAGATACGTTGTCTACCCCCGGGAAATAGGACATGTAGGGGAGATAAAGGACAAAACACAACGGCACACGAATAAATCAAAAGTGCAGAAAAAGGCAGCACTCAGAATATACCCCATATCACACATACACAAGCTACTGACGCAAAATGAGCTGTGGCAGCGCAACAAAACTATCCCAAGTGAAACTGTCCCATACAGAATAATAGAAACAAGCGGAAAGCCAAAAATACCTGTAATTAATAGCAGTACAGAAGGAAAAGTACTTCTATACGCCCCGTGGCAGACAATAGACATAGAAAATGCACAAGACCCAGATAGTAAAGAATATAGACTGTTTACACTAAGGGATATACCCCAAGATAGCATATATCTGCAAGAAACAGACTCAATTAAGTACAGCATAAGTGGAATAGGAAGCATTCCTTATATAGGGAAAGTATACAACCACCAGGAAAAGAGAATGGAAAGGGTTTACAGCGGAATACTAATTAAGAGAGAAGAATATCTCAAGCAAAAAAATGCAATTGTAAAGGACATTCATAGAAGCCTTCTTAGTGCAATTCTTATTAGTAACCGGAAATTATTGCTAAATATGCAAATTATAACAGAGCTAGCACTAAAGTACACCCAAATACTAGAGGAAATCAGCAATAAATAAGTAGGTCTATAGTGATACTGCAAGAGATAGCAGAAGATCAGAAAATATATCTGCAAGTTATCTGAAAGTCTAGACAGGAAATATCCTATCCTTCACTTGCCCTCTATAAAAGTGTCTGTTCTATCGTATACTCATGATATTTCTAGCTGGAAATCCTTTACTTTTCAACTGCGTATCCCTAATTGAAGACTTTTCATTCCAGGGCCTTAAAAAGTCGCTGTTTATCGATGCGTCTACTAAAGAAATCCAGCCCAAATAAGAGCCTTCTAAGACAGATGTAATATGCAGTGTTTAATAATGTATTAGTGCACTCTCATGCACACTCAAATAAAAATAGAAGAAACAGCAGAATACTCCAAAAATATTCAAATAGACAGCAAACTTCCAGCTCAGAAGAAATCACCATAATTTATCCCAGAGTGAAAGAAAGCCCAAGAAGAAGTGCACAGAATATTTGCAGTCATTGGATACTTCTCATCTACTGCTTAAGAACTATTTTCCCTTTTAATTTGCAGTATTTCAGTAAGAGACACATCTCTTGTTACATAGTGCGAGTGCCCTTCTTTATATATATACCGTGGCTCCTTCTGTAGTGCTTGTTTTTCACTGTTTTTGGCTCTTTCTTGCGCTTGCAGCAAACACTCAAACATCACTTAAATAAAAATATTCTGAATACTTCTAGTATACCTATAAAGACTCTTATATTACACAAACAAACACTAAATATACACTGTAACCCATGCACTCAGCCACATATACTGTATACACTAAAAATAACAAGAATTAAATATCTGTAATTTTCACACTGGAAATCTCAGGGTAGACAGCCACCTGAAATTCACACAAACAGAAGGCACCCAGGGCCCTCAAATTATTTTATTTTTCAAGCACCAGGATATCCAAAGATAAGCCAAAAAAACACTTAATTCACTAGAGTGCACTCTCACTTGCCCCCAGGCCAATTTAACCAGAAGTAATATTATTTATAATCATTTCTATTTATTATTATTTTATTTTATTTTGTTATGGCAGTGTCTGAAGAAGAGTCTCATGATATATCTAATAGCACATCCGAAAGCATCTGCGATGATAATGAAGAGATCATAATTAAGTACACAATGTATGATAGATTTTATAATAAGATGCTATCTCTTAAAGAAGTCTCTCTCTACTATTATTCTCTGTTCTTACTATCATTATTACTATTTATTGTTAAGTATGTTATACTTTACTGTAATATAGACACAGCTATAACACTGTATAATAATAGCACTCAAATTACCGTAAATCTATCGTATATTATTTCCCTGCTGTGCATAGCAGTGTTATCTTATACGATTATTGATGTATTTCTGTATTATGTGACGGGTTATCTGTTAAATAGAGATATTTTGATATTAGTGCTATTTTACACGAACAATGTGACAAGTCTTGTCTCTAGCATAATAGTAATTATAATGAGCATTTTGTACATGAAGATAAATGATCTGGATTATAAGCTAAAAAGTACTCACATAATTGGGCTGGAGCAGGTCCTGACAACCTGCTGTTTATCACTGCTTGTCATCCTGAGCAAGGATATTTTTGTGAAGAAAGTCAGAATGGGTTTCAATCACAGCAACTACCTCATAAGAATACAGAAGTGCTTGTGGGAGCACCAGTTCATTAGGACACTGGAAGTTGTGAAGAAGCGAATTAAAGCATTGAAAAGTGGAAGGAAGAAGTACTGGATGTTCAAGGACACAAACAACACAACCAGAGCAAGTGAGAGAGGGACAGTCCGGGAGAGGCACTCAAGCACAGCAGAGAGAAATCCTGCAGGCACTCCTGTCCCCAGCAGCACAGGAAGTGCATCTCGCATTGAGAACCCAGGAAATGCAAATGATCCAAGCACTCTTAGTAGAGTAGATGACACTCAGCCAGATAGAAATAATAATCTCACTCAGGCAGATAATAATGAAGGCACTGAAGCAAACGACAATAACGAAGAGTTTGATGACATTGCGTACTTTAAGCCAAAGACACTAAATCCTGCACTGAATGACCTCTCAGACATAAAGCAAAAAATGATCATCTTCAAGGAATTTGAGAAGATGATGAACTTAAAGATATACCACGTGGATAGGGGAATACCTGATATAAAGCACGAGTCAACAAAGAAAGCAGAGAAGATTTGCTACTGGCTCTCAACAGAGAAGAAAAAGTTCCAGATAAAGCATCTTAAGAAGTACATTGACCCAGAGTATATAGACCACATTTCTTCCCTTCTGAATCTCTCTGAGTCGCAGTCTCTCTCAGAGAAGGAGGTTTCTTCTCTCATTGAGAAAACAAAAAGAGAAAAATACGCAGTGAAAAAGAGTTTGGAGCAGATGGATAAGGCACTCTTGCGGGTGAGCCATTTTATCACAGGAACCATTTTCCTGTTTGCAATTATTGCACTTTTGGCCCCAACTATCTCTGCAAATGATGTGGTGAAGGGGGTCTTTGGAACCTTTTTTGGTCTTGGGTTTATCTTCCAGACAAGTGTCAAGAATGCGATTGACAGTGTGATATTTCTGTTTATAATACACCCGTACGATATTGGGGACAGAATAAGAATAGAGATAGATAAGGAGGAGATGAACATGATCGTGTCAGAGCTGAATGTCTTCTCAACAGTGTTCTATGAGTGGAATGGGTCAAAGATATACATACCAAATCACGTGCTGCTGCAGAAGGCAATAGTGAATGTGAGAAGAAGTGGGCTGATGGCAGAGAATATAGTCTTCCAAGTGGGCTTTGACACGCTTCCAGAGAAAATCCAGCACCTAAAGACAGAAATAACAAAGTTCATTAAAAAGCACCCGAAAGACTTCTCTCCGTATTTCATGTTCAACTACCACGGGATAGAAGACGCGAATAAACTGCATCTGAAGATCTATTTGCAGCATGCAAGTAACTGGCAGAACTATGAAGGATACTTGCAGAGAAAGGCAAAGTTCATTATGTTCTTAAAGCAAGCAATCATAGAGCAGAAGATAGAGTATGCACTGCCTGTGCAAAGATTAGAGATTGTCAAGTGATTTTCTAGAAATAGTTTCTCTATGAATAAATTGTTTGTCCTGTAGCTTTTACTTTTTTATCTAGAAGCCTTCATTTTTCATATTTAAATTGCAAAATAATTACACCTTTATACAGAAATACTTTGCACCAGTGAGTGTAAAAAATGAAATATTTTATGTTTCACTAGTGTTCCTATATACTGCACAGAAGGCCCTTATAGTAACCAGATCCTTCTGTATAACAGCAGATTGTCAGTGCTTCTGGGTCTAAACTTGTTTTGCACTCTTTAACAGAAGAATCTGCAGAAACTTCCAAAAGAGAGTCGAAAAGACAACAGAGTAGCAACAGAACAATAAGACAAGAGATATGCGCAATTTATTAATTGGTATATCCTGCCATGGCACGTGCTGCTACCCCACTATTTTTCGGATTATAAAGATCTTCTAGAGACGCAGTCTATTCATGTAATTAAAATTAGCAGAGCACAAAACAAAAAGGTTCACTATAAGCTGAAACTTTATAAGAGGCGAAAATATATGCTTAAACCCTCTATTTTACTATAATTCACTAGATCAGCATGTAAACACCCGCTGTAGACACTTCTTTCTCTAATCTCTGCGCAACGGTTGATAGCCTCAGTGTTATGTAGAGTGCAAGTTGCAGGATGCGATAAATAGCTATAGGAATAGCCTTGTACAGTTCTGTATACGCTATGTCAAGTAGAAATACAATTAATATCACAATAATCACAGCAAGCATAGTGTAATTCTTTCTTTTTCCCCGGAGTAATTCCTTTATCTTTCTTTTTATCATTATCTTTGGAACTCTTTTTACTTTTCGCTCTGCTTCATACTGCGTCTCATAGAACATTTCCTTGTAAACTGGAGGCTCCTGCGTGTTTTCCAAGTACATTATGAAATTGTCCCTGAGATTTGAATATTCGTAGATGACTTCATTTGCGTTGATCCTGTGGTCCCGTACACTCATCCTGTAAGAATAGCTGTGGTCAAAGAGATGGCTGCACGGTAAGTTATTCTCAATGAAAATGTCATTTTCCAAGAGAGTGTTCCAATGGAATATTAGGCTGCGCAAGAGCCTTTGACTCATTGCCTTATGATTCTTTGACACAAACCAAAATATTCCTTCGTATCCTATTCTCTCATATATTTCTTCTAAAGTGTACAGTCCGTAATATCTTGCATCCTTTGAGTATCCTGAAATAAAGTGGTTTTTCAATTTGCAATCTGAGGACGTGCACTCTACAGCCTGGATAAGAGATATAAGTGCATTGGTGTTTGCATAAAAGTATTTTTCTCTTGCAGCCATGCACTCCTGCAATACTTCTGAATAAAACTCATTTCTCTCGGGATATGCCAGCATTAGGCTCTTAAATATTCTGAAAACAGCAATGGATTCAGTTACTCCTTGGGACACCATTTTTCTAACCCACTCCTCACCTCCCCCCTTTCCATTGACCATTTGCAGTATCGTTTTAAACTTTCCCCTGTGAATTATTCCATTCAAGTTTATTTTAAGCCAATTTGTCTCTTCCTCGGAATATTCCTGGCTCTTGAAAAGACTTTTCGCTAGATCCAAAGAAAGGCTTAAATACGCCTGAAGACTTCCCAGCAAAATATCTTGATTTATGCACATCCTGCAATACGCCTGCACGAAAATAAAAATACAAATTAGCACCTAATTAGCCGTATAAGGAAATAGCAATTCCCGTGTAATAATAGTGCATTTTCATCCCACTGCAAGTACATATATGGATAGTCTCTATCTGCACGGCAATAAATTCATGAACACCAAAAATATCCGAAATAATTTCACTCAGCACAAAAAAGTGCACATCCTGCAATGCACCCACCTGAAGCACAGCATAAAAGACAGCACCCCACACTACAAGACACTGAACTTTGAGCAGGCATTCTATGCCCTTCCAGTAGACAGGCGCATTAGGGTTATCAGGGGCACAGTGGCAGAATGGTTATTGCGACGGCTTGCTAAGCCGTGACCCTTTGGGTTCGTGGGTTCGATTCCCATCTGTGTCGTTTTTTGCTCTTTTTAAAAAACACCCCATGCACTTCTGGCTGCCCTTCTACCCAATTCAGAAAGTTCTTCCTGAGGAAATATCCAGCAGAATCTCAGATACGTCAATATATGTCTACAGCCACACGTCAGAGTACGAAGAAATTCAAACAAGTCCTTCTACAGATAGATACCAAATTAGACAAATCCTGGATGATATCGTCAAAAGTAAAGGATGCACGCGTGTCACAAAGTACTCGCCTTTCCATTTTCATCTAAGCACGCAGCGATGGGTGAATTTATATTCAGAAATAGGGAAGAAAGGAATTATTTCTTTGTTCAAGAAATACACTGTGCTTGACAGACAGGAAAGTGTCTTTACTTTGTACTTCGCAAATGACCCTCTGCCTGTCAGCAGGAAAGAAATGAAGCTAAAAGAGAAAAGTGTTTTATGGAGGCCTGGGGATGCAAGGGACCTTAAGACCGTAGATGCCTCGGATATTTTTAGCTTGGAAGTACATAGTGAATTTTCAGCAGAAATTAAGTCTCTACTAGAGAGGATAAAAAGACAAAATACGCACAGAATGGCTGCAATTTTGGCAAAGTCAAAGAAGGAAAGTGTAATGCGCAAAAACCACAGGAAAACATGCAGTAATCCTGTGGAAAGTGTCTGTGAAGAGTTTATATCTACTCCTGGGTGTAATGGGAAGAAACTTAATTCTGTGCAAAGTTCAAGAGAACTGTCTAGCATAGAATTCTCAGATATAGATGTCTCAGATATAGAGATGAGTTCATCTGCTGCAGAGCCACTGAGACTAGCAGAAACAGAAAAAAGACCAGAGTCAAACACTGAAAAAGCATCACTCTTGGAGTACGAAATAAGCCAGGAGACAGTTATTCGCTTCCTGCATATGGCCATTCGGAAGATTCTCACGGGAATTATTCCTGCCCAGTGGATGCCCAGGATTAAAAAGAAAATTAGATTTCTTCTGCAGGCAGGCACTGCAAGAATACCAAAGCACGAGATCCTTACAGGCCTTAGAACTAGCAAAGGGAGAGTGGATAACCCGCTGCTTTATAGGAAATTTATCACAGAGATTTATAACTACATATTCTTGAAGTATATGCCTTCTCTTTTCTCCCTGCACTTCCGGTGCTCAAAAGGACTGCAGACAATCCCCAGATACTTCCTACGGACAGAATATATTGCATGCTCAAACGCCTTTAAAGAGGCGCACCTTCAAGAGTATTTTCATAAGGAAAATGAACAGAGCCAAGATGCATCTACCTTTAGGATGCACCTTATCCCGAAAAAAGACTCTTTCCGGGCATCTTTCATGAAGATTCAGAGAAATGGATTTTCGCTGTGCGCAGAGACAGCGAGGCGAGAAAAAATGATGTGCCACATTCTATCCAGAGAGGCTGTTGAAAGAAGTGCCTGGGAGGTGGAGAAAAAGGGAAGTGTCCCTAGGATAAGAACATATAATTCGATATTCCGGGTGACTGACGTATTTCCCAGGATTGATGCATTCAGAAAGAAGTTCTCTGCATGTTTTGCACAGAATAGGCCGCTATTTATCTTGCTCCTTGATGTGAAAAAGTGCTTTGACACTCTCCCTGTGGGTAACGGTCTTTTAAGAAAAATTCCAGGCCATGCAGAATACGCAGTCCACTGGTGGAATGAAATAGACAAAACTGGCCTTAGCATAGCGAAAAAGCAAGTTTTGTACCCAAATGAATCTGCAATGGAGCACAAGGGGCACTGCATTAGATTCATCTCTCACTCGTATAGAGATGCTTTCTCCCAGGAAGAAATTCTTGAGGCAATCCGAAAAGATGTTGAAGGAGCAAAGGTGCTCCATAATGGGCAGGAGTACAGAAGAAAGGAAGGGATATACCAAGGCAGCAGATTTTCATCCCACATATGCGGGTATGCAATGGCAGCAAATGATCCATATCTGATGGAGGGTCTTTGCGAAACAGAAATAGTCAGGTACGTGGATGATTCTCTTGTGCTGTCGTGGTCTCTCAAGGAAATTGAAGAAGTCTTCGCGAGAATGAAGAATCTTGAAGAGACCGGGATTAAGCTAAACAAAGACAAGTGCAAAATGTTTGTGTCTTCGCCTGAGGTAGGCATGAAGAATATTGTAGTTGCAGGGAAAGTGCAAATCCAGTACAAGGAGCACTTTACATGGTGCGGCATGCAGTTTGACACAAAGTCACTTTTCACTAAAATGGTCTGGTTGCCTGCAAGTGGAGTGAGAATGGGGCACAGCAAGAGACTGATCATAAGAAAAATCGCGAATAGCTTAAATGTAAAGCACATAAAGGACCTTATCTGCAAAAATAACCCAAATAAAGAGAAGAATATCCGGCTGTATATAAAGTGCCAAGTGGATAGAGTGCTGTGGCACTTAGAGCACCCAGCAAATTCTCAGCTAAAAGAAGAAATTCTATCAATTCTTCAGGAGAAGATCTGTGCAATATTCAAGAAGCACCAGGCAGGATCAGTAAAAAGGATACAGGAATTATTCCAGCGCACCTTGCTCATATGCAAGAACAAAAAAGAAATTGCCTAAATAGAAATAGTCAGAAAATAAACTATGCTTATTTTAGTGCAGCACACGCAAAGAAATAATTCAAGAATTTAAGAATTCAAAAGAATTTAAGTTGCACAGACGTAGTGTGCCATGAATAATTAGGACACAAAGAGTCTTAACAGACAATAAATAATAGTGCACTTTAGATATGTTGTAATTTGGTTTGGGTTATTCAGGAATTATTCAGTCTATGATACTTTCTGAATTCTCTGTTTAAATTTCTTTATTCCATTGGGCATCTGCTGTTCGTTGTAGACTGCATATTTATGCCGGTTTTCCTGCAGCTAATTCACTCTAAAAATTTGCACTAATTTTATGCCAACAGTTCTTATTGTAGACGCCTCTGCAGTTATCTCTTTAACACTCTCTGAGATGGGGTACACAAAAGGCTACCTACCACAAGTGATTGCAGACGAAATAAAGTGCCAAGATAGTTCAAAGCTTCTGTCCCTGCATATGTGCAAGCTAGAAATAAGAAATCCAACAGAAGAGTCAATAAAAATAGCAGCTGACAAAGCAGCAGAACTGGGATATACTGGACTAAGTGCGCAGGATATAGAGCTGGCTGCCCTGGCCCTGGAAGTCTCAAATGAGTACACGTCTATTTTCTCTTCTTGGCTTGGGCAGGATACCCTTGACTCCACAACAGAAGTAGTCGTGGTAACACTGGATATTGCACTGAAGAATCTTGTGACGCACTTAGGCCTGCAGTTGCACGACTCCTTCAAGGAAAACAATAAAAAGTATTTGCAACGGTGCTACACGTGCACACGCATATATAAGACAGATGTGAAGCAAGACTTCTGCAAGTCATGCGGATACCACACAATAAGTAAAGTGTCGTACACTGAGACAGACGGCAAGATTGAGCTAAATCTCAGCAAAAACTTCAAATATACAGAAAAAAAGATACACACGCACTACGGAAAGGAAATTCGCACACAGGACCAAAAGGAATACAAACAATATAAAAGAGCAGAAAGATACAAAAACAAGAAGAATGCAAAAGGACTCGAACTCATTATAGACCCAGAAGGATGGAATTGTTCATAATAAATAATTGTTTTCTTTGTTTAAAATGTATTTCAGAAAGAGAGGTACCACAGACAAAATTGGTCTCTGCCTAACATACGGCCTGATTACGTATATGGGGGCAATATCTGGGCCTTTTTTACTGTGGGATGAACTAAGGGACAGCCCAGTTACTCGCATGGGTCTGGTGTTTTTAAATGCAATGGTATTTCTTGACATATTTTTGCTAATTTATGTGAGCACAACGAGAGGGTATGTGGAGACAGAGGAGTATGTGCCGGGTGGGAAATTCTGCTATGACTGCAAGAAGGCTAAGCCTGAAAGAGCCCACCACTGCTCAAGATGCAAAACATGCATTAACAGAATGGACCACCACTGTCCTTGGGTTGGCTCTTGCGTGAATGCAAATAACTTGGGAAACTTCATTAAGCTCATAACCTGCATATTTCTGAGTTCTGTTTTGTGCTTAGGTCTCCATGGGTACGCATTCCATAAGAAAGTGCAGGTTTTGCAGGACCCTTTTTCTGTAAGCACAAAGATCTGCATGATTGGGCTGAATATATGCTTGCTTACGCTTATATCGTGCGGGGTATTATTGATTCTCATACGGCAGCTAAGGCTTCTAGCTCGAAATATAACGTATTTAGAGTCCTTGCAGATAAGAATTTTGAAAAGACTTGGGGTGGTTGTGCCACATAACCCGTACGACAAGGGCACACTGCACAACATAAGAAATTCACTCGGCGGAATTAAGGGGTTTCTTTTGTGCCAAGAGCCAGAGGATGCGCACGAATTCGGATACTCCGAATACTGGCCACCCATGCGCATGTCCAAGTCTGTTACAAGCAGCAGGGTGGCAATTAACACAGACGGCACGCGCAATGTAGAGTAAAATATGTAAGTATTTTGTGCAAGCTCCGGATATATTGTAGATCTAGTATCTGGTGTGCAGGCCAGAAGTAGAAGGCATAATTGCCGTGTGCATGGTAGAATTTAGACTATGTAAGAATTAGTGGGTTATTAAAAGGCCATCTAATTTTTACTCTGATATTTAGTCTTACCATTCTACTATTGTTGTATACTAGATTTAATTAAATCATTCAACTGCATATCCTGTTATGTATCATAAGATATTATTTCTTGATAGAATAGATATACGATTGTTGTGGCTCTTTAATGGAGTATTTTATAGGATTATTTAGGCTGTGCACTCTGCAAGAAGCACCCTTTGGGTGTCATGCAACAAAGAGTGCACTAAAAATTACTTTGCTGCGATAAATAAATAGAAAAAGTCATAATTATGCATATAGTGGATTATTGTATATAATACAGCCTGAATACTCCTTCTATGCACCTTATTATAAAGAACCTTCTAGATAGCTTATTTCTAGTGGAAATTAATTCTATCCAAATATTCTACTCTAAATATACCATAGCACGATTCCCCACTTAAAATAGATTCTTTAATAAGCTTAGTCTTCTGCAACTAACTTCTGTTCTCCTGCTGTGGCACTGGTATATTATCTAGTAAGTCTTTATTCATTCATCTACTAAGTCCTCACTTAATGCACAACCGGATGCATCACTTATTGAGGCTTCTTCTGATACTAAATCTTGTTCGTCTGTTACACCAGATGGCGCAGTTTTTACTTCTTCTGGATTCTTTTCTGGAGCTGCAGTATTTTCTTTCTTTTGTGCTGCAAGTACTTGCTCTAGTGGTGCGCATGTCTCAAAGCAAAGAACCACTTTGCACATTCTGCAGATGGTTTTAGCCTCTCCACAGGGCTCACACACTATGTTATATGCCTTTGTTATGCTTTTTTCTAGGCACACTGTGCATCTAGATACATGTGTTTGAATTTTGTACTTTCTGTACTTCTTTCTCCAGTCAATTTTGTCAGTGCATCTTCTGCACAGCCCAGATATTTTTATTGCTGCAATTTCCTTGGTCAGTGATGAGTTTGGATTATGCCTAAATGCAAATGTATTTTGATGCGCTTGTTTTCTCTTTGTCTGTTTCTTTTCCTTTGAATCCATAAGAAAATTTGCACTTTCATGAAGAAAAACCCCTTTCAATGCAAAAAGCAGCAGGAGACCACAATAGAAAAAGTCATCCAGGGCGTGCTTGCTGAAGAGTGCGAGGAAAGTACAGACAAAAATACAGAAGACCTGGATAAGACAGAGGAAGTATCTGCGGTCAACGAGACGGACGTACTAAAAGCACTCCAAACTCATAAAAAAGAACAAAAGATACTTTCAGAAATACCTTTAAATTATATTTATAATTACACCCGGGTGGTCTCTGCAGATGAAGAGATTAAGAATAGGCTAGAAGAAACAGTAAAGAACCTTTTGTATTATCAAGTGCCAGAGTCACATATGTTTAAAAAAGAAAGCAGTTCTGTCTATAATAGTATTTTTGTTAGCTGGAGACAAGGCCTTACAGAGCTATTCTCTGAGTACAGAAGAGCAAACACGCAGGGAAGCAAATTTTCATTCTATGTATACTCTGACAAGCTTGTCTACTACTTTCATACAAACAAGTATAATGGCTGTGATAAGCCATGCTGCCATAAGGCAGGGTACTCTCTGTATATTTCTGCAAAGAACATGAAAACAACGGATATTTTGGAAAGATTTGAAAGCAATTTTGTACAGAGCGGCGACGAGTTTTACTTATCTGGGAAAGAAGTCTTGTTTATTCTTGATACAATTCTAAACACGCAGGTAAGCACAATACAGTCACTTCCTTTGGTTCTATCAAAGTATCCTTTTGTGAATTCAATACTGAAAAAGCCTACATATACTGTTAGATCTGAGAATAGATCAGGAAAGAAGGCGTTTAGAATTATTATTAAAGGATGGATAATTACAACAGACATTGCGTTTGTTAATTTGTCCACACAGATAGAAATGAAGCACATTGATCTAATGAAGTAGTGGTTTCATCTATGCAGGATATAGTGCATACTTTGGCTAGATTTGGCTGTATAGGCTTCTTTGTTTGCCTAGCAACTATTAAGCGTAATCTACAAATATAATATTTAAAACGCAGTCTCTTGTTTAGACATACTCTTTGTGCGCTGTGGCCAGTATAGCCCAAAACGGATGCACTTAATAAATCTATTCATATGTGTTATAAAGGCCTGCTATAAAAAATGAAAAAAATACTGCACAGAGATAAAATAGGCTAAGTGCGGTGGGAAAGCACTAGGCTTACTGTAATCTCTAAAGTTATAAGAATAAATAGCTGTTTTTACCTATAGTCCGTTTTCTTAATGAAAATATTTTATTTATGGAGGTTATGATGAAAAAGTCACTAAGAAAAAGGATTACTTTGGTATTTCTATGCAGCTTTCTTCTATGTGCAGTCTATGTCTCTGGCCGTATTTTGGAAGAAGATATTGAGCAGGCGGCTGACTATTGGAAAAGAAAGGTTAAATTGTTGAAAGATACTTTTGAGCGCAGAGACAAGTTTCGCGCGCTTATTAAAAAAGAAATAAATCAAAGAAAAGTCCATAATATCCTGCAGGAAATAGAGATAGATCTTGCTCCTGGCAGAGAAAGTCTGAAATCTATGAATAAAGACTTAGAAAGAATTTCCAGCTTGATAAAATCAATAGCAGATATTTCTAGCAGTAAAAGTAACAAAATTCCTATTGATAAAAGGGCATCGCAGATTGAAGATAACATATCCAGCATAGATATGCTTCTTTCCCAACTGTTTTTTACATTTGAGATAGGATGCTCAATTTTGGAAAATATTGACAGGCAGTTTCTTGAGATAATTAAGATGCACTACACTGAGAATAATAAGTTTGCTTCTTTGGAGTCTTCGCCTATTTGGTATTTGTCCAAAGCAAACAAACCAGTGGCAATTGAGCTAATACAGTACTTCTTCTTAATTAACCCGAAAAAAATGATGGATTGCAAAGCCTTAGAAGGGATGGCGCGCGATCTGCATGTAAGAATGCCGCATATTAGTGAAATGCATTTTGGCCAATATGTTTCTCTTGTAAGATCATTGTCAGTGGTATATTCCAATGATATACTGCATGCAGCGGGTGTTGGAATCGATAGCTTAGTGCATAACTCATTCTTTTCTCTCAGTGCATTCAAGAGCCAAAATTCGTATGCTGAAACATACGCGCACCTTCTTAAACTATGCAAGGAGTCTTCTTCAATACAAATTGAGTCGAAAAAGATAAACCAGAAATCCATACTAAATATGATATGTCTTGAGTATTTTTTATCCGGTGGGCTAATTAATCACAAGAGAAACACTTTGTTAAAGGTGATAGAAACAATAGTGAATTCTTTGCATATGATATATTTAACAGATAAAGGGGAATCGAATATAAACCGTGTAAAAAGCTCAAGAGATTCGCTGCTTAGCCTATTTAGTATGTTGTGGGAGGTACGCGATGAGTCATTTTCAAATGTCTCGAATATATCCCGGGCATGCAATGAAATGGAAATAAGCCCAAAGGCAGTCAGGTTTATAAGGAACGAATTAATTAAGTGTAGATGGATGTATTCATTGGACTTTGCAGTAGAAAACACTCTGCAAATGAAAAAGTACAATATTGTATTTGGTAAGATGATTAGCTTGTCGCTTATCCATCCCTTATGGTATGCTTGCATAGAAAGCACTACTTTGAAGGAAAGCATACAAAGATACAATACAGATATATATACTTCAGTACTAAGGATGACAAGAATACAAAGTGCCAATTCAGATGCAGTAATATATCCCAGCCTAATATTTAATACTGAAAAAGGAAAGATGCCAGATGTTATGCGATCCTGTATTGAGCTGTGGTTTACATCTGATATTAAGGTGGTTATAAGTGAGCCAGCTTGTCACTCTAATGTCTGCAGGGTTGTCACTAGATTTGTTGAGTTTCTCTCTCCTGGCAGAACAATATCCTTTATATTTTAATTTGGCGTGTACCAAATTGTCTATACCTACTATAATAGCTAGTCATGCCACCTAAGAGGCGAATATTATTCGATCTATATAAACTTTAGCAATTGCAGCGCCAAATAATCCAATGCTTATTGGGTTATTTAAAATTGGTGTTAATAAACCAACCTTAGATAATTTTATATAAACATGTATTAAGAAAATAACAGGTCCATCTATAGGCCCATGGCTTAAAGAGCCCCGAGAGTTATATTATTACAAATATTTGTTAAGAAGTGTAGTAAACCTACTACTTCTGCAAAACTTTCTTTCTGCTAAATAGGAAATAAAATAGAACAACTGTAACAATATTTTCCTAAAGTTACGTCCACTGTCCTATTATATAGTCCAAATTTACTCCTGCAATGTATTTAAAAATGACAGAGTACTTAAAACAAATTTATTATAAGTGCAGAAGCCAAGAGTATTTTTTCTAAAAATAAAAGTTGTTTGCTTAGCACTTGGAATTATATTTAGCCACTATTTTTTGGGTTATTAAAGCTTTCTTACCAAAAAGCATATGGAAAATAACGTCGAATTTTTGAAAACCTTTCCATACTCTCCCTATCTTTCTTAACACACACTAGGTCTTCTATCTCTTTAAGCACATTTTTTATCTTTCCAGTCCACTTGTCACTACAATAATACATATAGGCACCATCATCGGTGGCGATTTCTATATCAATTAAGTTATAGCATTCTTGTGCTATATTAGACCATCTTGTATATTTAAATGTTTGTGCGGAGCAAATAATCCACATCAAAGGCCGGTTGCCAAATCTCTTACAATCACTAGCTGTATACTTAGTTTCTACTCCCTCCATAGATTGAATAATTTTAGTAATATAGTCCATAGTGGTTCCATTCAGTGTTAAAATCTCGATAAGCAAAGGTTCGGATAGAATTATAGAAACCTGGTCTTCAGGAAGATCATTGGATTTGTAGTTATCATTACTACATTTTCTTTGCAAACTAATCATTAAGTCAGTTAGTATATTGGCATACGTTGTCTGCGATACAAATTTTGTAATTTGTGCTAAGTATAATACATCACGTATTGTGGATGGAATATATTTTTCATCTATACTCTTGTCTATTCCTGTTAGCGGATAATGCTTATCTACTGGGATGTGACTAAGAAATATAAACATTGTATTTCTAATCTCACTATCCATAAAGCAAGCACTGCCCAAGATGTTATCTGCTAGGCGTAAAAAAGGATGATTTTTGTCAAGTTTTTTTTCCATTCCATATAGAAGCAGCAGCCATACATTTTGGTTTATGTGATCCATATTATGGATTGGAGGATTAAGCAGGAGAATATCAACAACCCTGTGCTCTTTTCCATACAAAAAAGTAGGACCCACATGTTTATTCAGTGTAGAGGGGTTCCTATTCTCTTCTTTGGGTTCACTTGTCTTGATACCTTTATCTGTATAGGAACTAAGCATCCCTATAATAGGCGATTCTGTAGATTCGTATATATCCTGCTTAGTTTTATTTAACTCGATATGATCTTTTCCCAGTTCCGAGCCAATTCCAATCGAAATACTAACTGAATAGTGATATTCGTCTTCCAAATGCTCATTTAGTTTATATTCGATTTCTATTCTTTCTTCAAGATCACTGTACTTTTCATTAGTAACCCATTTATGCTTAGATAGACATAACTTGATATTGTTATTGAATGAAAATCTCTTAATAATTTCATTTAGATATTCAAATACATCATCTTCTAGGCATTTCTTTCTAGATTCACATCTAGTTCTGTACTCACTTGTAAAATCAAGGATAGAACCTTGATTTCTTTGATCATTCTCCTTCTGCAATTCCTCTATCTCTGCCTCCACCATAGCTAAACGTTCTTCAATTTCTGGATTTTTCTCTTTAAACAATTCTTTTTCCTTAAGCACTATTTGTTTCTTCTCAAGAACTTTTTGCTTCTCTTTAAGAAATGTTTGCATCCTCTGGATTTTTTTATTAAACATGTCTATGAGATCCATTTTAATATTCGCCTTTTCGCTAAACTCATCCATATCTGTAACCTTATTGCAATTACTAATAATAATCTCATCATTATTTATCGCATCCATCAAGTCTCTAAGCCTATCTATCTTCAGATTCTTTGTATCACTGAAACCTGTTATCTCTTTAATAACATACAGCATATTGATCATGCCGAGCGCAAGCTGATTTCTGTCTGGTCGCATATAGCGTATTTTTGGATTGGGCAGGCCCCCCACTACTTTGTTCCAGTCATTGTGCATTTCCTTTCCTACTCGTTCACGCACGCTCGAATATTTCTTGAAAAAGCTTTTCAGCTCCTCAGACGCAGACTCTATGTGGTCAACTCTGTATATATTATTCTTAGCATCATATGCAATAGACATTAGGATGGCTAGAAGCACTGTCTCTGCAGGGTCAGTAAATCCAGACGATAGTGCGGGCTTAGCATCCTCTTGAATATGCTTGTCATCTAGGGAATTTATTCCAAGCGCAGGAGAAGAAGAGCTCAAATTGTTTGTCTTCATTGGGACAGGAACAACATCTGAAGCTACACCTACATATAAAAGATCTCCGAGCAAACAAATATAATCATCTTGCAGAGGCTTTTTCTTCATATGAGTTATGTCGATCTTCTCTATATCAAATGGGCGATTCTCTTCTGACACTATGGATTTGAAAAAAGCATTATCCCTCTCAGCTCTTCTCTCTCCTTCTTGCTCTATATATCTACTTATTAGATATCTTGCAATGTTTTCCATCTTCTCTTTTCTCAAGGATTCTTCTTTCTGTAGCATCCATTCGCCTAGCAAGCAATAGGCTGTGTGAATGAATAAAACTGCCTCTTTGGTAGTTTCTAGGCAGTAGTGTATATAGGTTTGTATAAGGAAGGCTGGGCTGTTTACAAACTGAGCTTTCTCATGCATATCACAGTCAGATGGCTCTGAGCTATCTTTCTCTTCTATAAAGACCTTATTTTCTCTGTTTTCTATAAAGAAGTTTATAACTTCAATTGCCTTTTCTTGCAGCACCTCTTCAAACACATCTGTAGACTCTGTTCCTTCTTTGCTAGTTTTAACCAACACATTCATGTTGAGTCTGAAGTGCTCTTCTTCGCTATTTGTCTTCCTCAGAACGAGCTCTGTTCTGTTATAACTTTTATTAAATGAGAGTGGTACACGCTTTCCCTCTGCAAGCATTAGCAATGAGGCAAGTATTTTGTACTTATGCTCTTTTACATTAGCACTATTAATAAATGTATAGAAAGAGTCAAGATCGTCTGACAATATGGACACACATTCACCTAGTGAGGGAAACATGTTAAGAAGCGTATTAAAGTACTCTTTTTTGTACTTGAGCAAGCCACCTTCATATAAAAGCTCATTATCATCACGTACTTTGTCCAGACTGCAGTCTCGTGAATTTATGTAGTCAGTAGATTCATTGTAAAACTTATCATGTGTTATAGAGTGGTCTAGCTTTATCTCAGGCGAAAAAAACCTCTTTCTGTGCATAAACCCAATGTTTCTGGCTTCTTCTTTTAGCACTGGCATTATTCTACTATCTACGCCGACTTCTTCTGTTTCTTCAGAAATAGCAGCAGCTTTTATCTGGACATTTCTTAGCTCATCTACTGTCAATACTCTGTCCCACACATGGCACAGTATAGCTACTCCAATGAGCATGTATATCTTTGCTCTGTAGATAGCTCTTTCCTTCTCCTCTTGTCTTATCTTGTGAGTTCTTAAGTCTTCTGTTCCTACTTCTTTACTCTTCAATTGTATATCTAATTTCATATTCTTATCTAAAAAATTTCAATATTTATATTTTTGAAAATTCCACTTTATCAGAGATTTCTTTTTATTACGGAGTTTTCCAATCTGAATGATAGAATTGATATGTTCAAAAGAGGGGCAAAGTTCCAGTCAGGAGGTAGTATAATATACGGGGTAGTTGCCAAGAGAGGTTTATATTTACTATCTGGATGTTTTTGGTGACTGTACCCTTTTCTATTCTTGTTAGATGTATTTCTTACTGCTAGCATGTACCGCTTCTTTTAATATTTTCATACGCTTAGTGGTCTTTTTATTTATAGAATTCTTTCTGGAATTATTTTCCATCTGTGATGTTCTCTCATGGCCTTGGGATAATGATGTAGTGGTTTACTACACTTTATACACACCATATACGTTTATTGGCCTGATACAATCCAAATTCTAGCTAAAATACTTTTACAAAGCTTCTTCAAGTAGCACAGCTAAAATTAAAACATTTTATTCATAGGAAATATGCAGTAACCAGCTGTTAATATGCCAGTGTACAAAACCAAATAGACTCGCTTTAGAATAATTCTAGCCACTGCTAGTTAGTGCACTCTTAAGTGATATATTTTAAAATAGCCTATTTACACAGGCACACACAAGAAGTATAACACATTTTTAAACCACTTTGTTTATTTAAAGCCTTCTTACTTGTACTAAGATTCATTGGGTAATTTTAGAATTTATGCAAACTTATTCGCACTCTTCTCTACCTTCTTTAACACATCATGTGTATCTTATCTCTTTAAGCAGTTCTGGTATATTTATGTCTATACCCCATTTAGAAGAAAATGTCTCACTATTAATTTTTTCTATCTCTGCTATGTCAATTAATCCCTGGCATTTTTTTAGTTTAGTAAAAAAACTCTTATGGTTACTTTCCTTTATGGCCCAAATAAACCATAGCAGGAACTGGTTACTATGCTTCTCATAATCGGCAACTGAATGTTCTTTCTCTATTTTCTGCATAGATTGAACAATTTTAGTAATATGCTTAATATTGTGTCCATTCCGTGTCAAAATCTTTATAAGTAAAATTCTTTTGTCCTCATCCAGCTCTTTAGCAAATGACTCCAAACTTGAATAGTAGCTATCTTCCAAGCACGTTTCTCGGAATTTAATCATTAAGTCTGTGATTATATCAGCATATTTTTTATGGCTTATGTATTTTGCATCAGTTGCTAATATTAATACATGTTTTAATGCAGTTATAAAACAATTAGGGCGTTCTTTAAATGCATCCATGTCTATGGGTGTATTTGGATAGCACTTGTCTGCTATCTCCAAGCTATGCATTATAAGCACTTCACCTTTAGTAGTATTAAAATTATGGCAAGAATTTTTCATAATATTCTCTGCTAAACATGCAAGAGGATGGATTTCTTCAAAATCTTGGCCTTTTGCGAATAGAAATAACCCGCATAGAATTGTTCTTCTATCCTTACCCAAATAGATTTGTGGATCAAGCAGAAGCGTGTTAATACTCTCGCTCCAGTCGGCATAGCTATGCTTGGGCTGCTCTTGTTTATTCAACTTAGAGTTTTTCTTACATTCTTCTGCCTTTTTTCTACTTAACTGTATTTCTTCACCTACATATAATTCAACTTTCTCTATAATAGACAATTCCTTCTTTTTCTCTACCTTCTTCTCTTGCTTTTTCTCTTTCTTCTTCTCTTTCTTCTTTTTCTTTAATTTTAGCTTTTTTGATATTTCTTGTAAGTGAAAAGCATTAAAATTGGTTGTCCATGCCAGTTCTTTACCATCATTAGAACAATCAGGACATATATTAAATTCATAACAATATGAATAAGTTTGGAAATCATCCCTGTCCTGTTCATTAATGGGAGTATAAGATATTTTTAGGCCCCCAAATACATCACTGCAACCATCTTTAAAAGACATTTTAGAGTTAATGGATGTCTGAACACTAACATCATAACCTAACGCAATTTTCTTAATTAGCTCAGTCATATATGCGCTTATTATACTCTCAAGTCCTTCCTTCTTTTCTTTCTCTATTTTATTAGAGTCATCTACGGAACCATTAATGTTCATATCATCCACCCTTCTTCTAATCTCATTTATCTTACTTAAGTCACATATACCTGCTATCTTTGAAAATCCATACAGTATATTTATCAATCCTGGCATAAGTGTTTTTCCATCTATCCACATATATTGTGTTCCCTGGTTATTTTCTCCAAACACTACATCATCTACCCAGTCTTGGTGCATTCTCTTTATGATTGCCCTGTCTGTGGGGGCGATCATGTACTTTCTGAAAAAGCCTCTTAGCTCCTTAGAGGCAGACTTTACATCGTGAACTGTATATATATTCTCATTTTGTCTATATGCAGCTGAGCAGAATAGGCCAAACAGTGCTGTCTCACAATAGTTAGTCTGGCCCATACTGCTATCCATATTCTCTTTTTTAGAAGCAGGATCCTCAAGTGGTTCGAGACATAGCTTATGAAACACTTGGTTTCTGAAATCATTGTACAGAGATCTTTTTGCCAGATGAGTTATATCTATTCTTCTTCTTCCAATTGAAATATATTTCTTTGGTATATTGCATTCGGCACACACACTCTTTTTTTGCACTGCAGCTTTGTTATTAGGCTTTTTATCTTCTGGTTTGACACATATCTCCTCCATATACAAACTTAGAAGATTATTCACAGCCTCTTCTATGCGCACTTCTCTTGAAACTCCTTCTTTCTTATCTATAAACTCATTTAGTAGATCATGCACTGTTTGAATGAATAAAACCATCTCCTCAGTCTTCTCTATGTAGTGATATATATAAGCTTGTATAAGGAAGCTAGGGCTGTTTAAAAACTTGTTATCCACAAGCTTTCTACAGAAAAGTGACTGTAGAGTGGGCTCCTCTTTTTTGTAAACTGGATTTTCTCTGCTTTCTATAAAGAAGTTTATAACATTAATTGCCTTTTCCTGCAATACCTTTTCATGCACGCCTGTGGGTTTTTTCTTATATTTATTCTTGTTAGCCATAAAAGTCATATTAATTCTGAAGTGCTCTTCCTTTCCATCTGCCTTCTTAAGAACCAGATCAGTTCTTTCACCTTTATTAACTTCCAGTGGCACATTCACTCCTTCTGCAAGAAGCAGCAGCGAGGCAAGTATTTTGTGCTTATTCTTTTCTACAGAAGCTCTGTTAATAAATTCATAAAAAGAACAAACATCTTCTGAACATATTGACGCAAATCCACCTAGCGAGGGAAACAGCTCAAGAAGCATGTTAAAATATCCATTATTGTACTTGAGTAGACCATCTTCATATAGAGGGTTATTACGTAATCTGTCCTGGTTGAATTTTCGTGTATGTTTGTAGATAATAGAATCACTTGGAATGTGCTTATCCGAGTTATCTTCATTGCACGCCTCTATATTTTCAGAGTCTTTTTTGAGAACTTCTATAGAGTGGTCTAGCTGTATCTCGGGTGACAAAAACCTCTTCCTACTCATAAATCCAATATTTCTAGCTATTTCTTCTACTGTGAATTTCTCTCCACCTTGGCTGCCTTCTTTTGTTTCTTCAGAAATAGCAGCAGCTTTTATCTGGAAATTTCTTAGCCTGTCCACTGTCAATACTTTGTCCCACACATGGCACAATATAGCTACTCCAATGAGCATGTATATCTTTGCTCTGCAGATAGCTCTTTCCTTTTTCTCTTGTCTTATCTTGTGTGTTCTTAAGTCTTCTGTTTCTACTTCTTTATTCTCTAATAGCTGGTTCTTTCTCTTCGAAAGATTAGACTTCATTATACTAAACATTCTATAGCTTACTTTTTGTTGTCTATTTATAGACCATAAAATTAGCAATTTATCAGTATTCTGTGCTTATAGTTAAAATTAATATACTTTTAATTAAAAGTATTCCCGAATTAACTCTAATTAATTTAATTTTAGCAGAAAAAAACAAAGCCTCTTATATTCTAGTAGTCTACAACGAAATCTTGGAAGGCAAAGACCAGCATACATCTGCATTTCTAACTCTGGGAAAGAA